TTTCGTAACACGCGGTATTCTCCCACGCGATATCGAGCGGCACCTGTCAGATATGGTCAGATATCAGATTCAGTCGGCGTAAGGAAAAAAGCGGAGTCAAACCGTTTAATTAAAGCGAACGAAGCCGTGTCAATCTGGCATTGACTTGCCTCTCCCTTCACAACCGCACCGTGTCTCTCTCTCTCTCTCTCTCTCTCTCTCTCTCTCTCTCTCTCTCTCTCGACGCACGACGGACGCGCACAGAGTCTCGAGAGTGCCAACGAAATTAATAGCGCGAAGTTGCCGTGTAACTCGCTTTTAATATTCGAACATAACAGTCACGCTACACGAACGATACGCCGAGACGCCTCTTCATAATCGACGTGCTTTTAAGCACGTCGAGAGTTAAAAATCGGCTAATAAGCGAGTTCGTTAGCGCGTCGAATGGGCGCGATTCTTTCCGCGGATAGTTCGCCGGTACGTTCGCAATACCGGCTTAGCTCCGGTAATACTCAGCCAGCTGCAAATGACCCATAATCAGATTTCACGGTTTGCCGATGGCCAGCCGTATTTTTCCACGTCGAGAAAATTCTCGGTGAACGAGCGAGCGCTTCGCCTCCATCCACGCCCTTTCTTTTCGAGCACGTCTCCGATGAAATCTCGTTGGGGCGCGAGTCGGGTAATGAAATTACCAATTGGCAACGTTAATTCCACCGCCGCCACCGTCGTCGTCGTCGTCGTCGTCGTCGTCGTCGTCGCTGCTCGTAATCGCACGGCGCAATTGCAGGTCGAATGTTCGTCGAGTACGCTGCGAGTACTATTCGACGCTCCGCCTCCGACACCTTCGTCACCTTCGAGATCGAGTCTTGTTCTTCTCGGCGGCGTTGGCGCTCGCGCTCGCGCGACCTCGGAGCGCGAAATTCGTGCGGCGAAGAACCCTGGCGTGCTGCGCGCGATCACGGTAGGATACACCCGGTTGCTCAGATGGGTTACCTTTTCGCGAAACCTTGCGCTCTTATTTGCATATCGAAGTGGATGAAGATCCGCGTCGCTGGTAGAATCGCGGCCGAGTGAAATTTCGGTGAAATTTCGGTGAAATTTCAGCGCGCGCGCGCTCGAGAAAAGCGCAAGTGATCGCAACCATCGAATGATTTACTTGAAGCGGAAAATCTCTCGCGGCGGGTCACGAGCGCGATCTCGAGCCCGGCGATCCTTCTTCGGGATCGTGACGACAAGATACGAAACGAGCCGTTATTTTCAACGAAATCTTATCTGACTCTTATCATCCGCGCTACTAACTAAAAGTTTATAACTCGCTGCGTCCCGGGAGGAACGATTGAACGCAGATAACGAGAAATTATCCATATAGCGAGGGACTTCCAGGTAATAACGCCTACGTAATGTTCGAGAGATAACGAAAGGCGACGTTCGTTAGACGATCGCGAGGGAACGTCGAGTTGCCTCGCGATCTGTCGACGACAATTATTCGACAATGTTCGATCGATCGAACGATTTGTCTCTTTCCGCCTTTTCGATACCGCGCGATGCGCGAGCAGTCACCCGCGCGAAATCACAAACTCGGACTCGACATTAAATTCGATTCATCTATCGCGAGTCCAGTTTCCACGTGAGAAGGAAGATCGAGAGGAAAACTAACGAGATTACCCGCGAGTGTTAATCTCTCGCGTTGCGAGTCGGAGAGACTAATCGGACAGACGTAGCCGCAATCGCGTTTATCTCGATTCGCCTGATTTACATTTGCTCGCTACATTTACATTACGATCTCTAACCCGCGCGTTATAATTATTCGCGAGTTGCAAGAAACGCAATTTGCTCGGCCTGGCCTTGCTTTTACGTAAGCAATGAAGAGAATTGATCAACAAGGATCTCTCGATCTCCCGATCTACGCGAATCGAGATCGAGCCGTTAGAATAGCCGTCCTCTTCCTCGCTTCCCACTTGGGAAGTAAGAAATGAATGTTTTCCTCCTCGGACGATAGACACGTAATGTGTCTTCTAGCGAACAATTTTTTACACAAATTAGCATCGCGAGAGAGCGATACTTCCGTGCGCGATAGTCTGACGTTTAACAGCGTCGCGTCACGACGGTGTCGAACCTCGCCCTGGCAGGAAGAACGGCCTGTGTGTGTGGTTACATAATTGCACCGACCGGTTGCGGCGCAAAATGTTTTTCTAAAGTCGCGCAACTCTAAGTGCAAAAACGTGTCATCTCGCAGTCGGCAGTCGGTAGTCGTCTCTCATCCTCCTGTGTTGCGACGACAGTTGAGCCATTTTTTTCTTCGGTCCCTTCGCAAGCAGGAAGCGAGAGAAACGCGTCTAGGATTACTGCGAATAAATATACGTTTCGTAGAAGGAACCGACGAGACAGACAGACATATATATATATATATATATATCCATAAATGTCCTTTACCTTGAGAGAAAGGAATTGAGTGTTAGCGACTGGAGTAAATCCTGCGAAAGCTCCGAATCGAGGTCTTCCGTTCGCGCCCGCGCAATTAACACACGCAAACGTATACACGTGCAAAGTAATCGAGTCGCGGGCGCGCATTATAACGTAAATGAGAGTGTCGTTGGAGCAGCAGCGACCGTTCTTGTGCATTAAACGGCAATGGTGTAATAAAGTAGCCTCGTTGCGGCGCGACGCGTAGCTTCCGCGCGCGATCGGTTCTCACGGGCGACTTTGTCTCGCGCTAGTTACATAGCGGCAACAATTAACGACGAGTTGCGCATGTCAGCGTGTGTGTGTGTGTGTGTGTCGCAAAGCTTTTGTAGCCCGTGCGATCATCTCGCCGATGAAAATCCCGCAGCGCATCGTTCCGTAACCGCGCTGCACGATCGCTTCATCGCGTCGTCGCGTGCGTCGACGAGCGCGCGAGTACCGCTATGTGCAAGAAGGCGCGATGCGCGCTCGGTTCTTCAAGTGCGGCTTCAACTGTAGTCAGTCGGTCACTCGGTGAATATGAACTGTTCGCGTAATTTCAGCCCAGCGATCCGCGCGATTCGACGAACGGCCGCAACGACGACGATCATAAAAAGACACGCGCGCGCGCTGATCATCGCTCGGCGGCACGCCGGCACGGAAGATAATCCGTAATGGGAGCCGAATTTCTGCGCAGACTTTGGGCCCGTTTCCTGTATAGAAAGTAGTCCGTCCCGTTTATCTCGATTTGACCCGGCCGCGACGGCCGGTAATCGATGCGTAGAAAATTATCGGTAAACCCACCATCGCGCTATCGCGGCGCGGCGCGGCGCGGCGCGGCGCGATGCAAATTGGCCCTCCGCGCCCTCGGCGCTCGGCTCGGAGCGCGAGCAACATTTTCTCGCGGGAGAAGAGAACATTTGTGGAAATCACGCTGATCGCTTGGTGGAACGTCAATTACTCCGACAGGCGAGCGCCGCAGCAGGCAGCAGCCAGTCGCGATCGCGATTTCCGACGCGAGGCTCAGCGAGAAACGCGTGCCGCGGCAAAGGAAGTTTGCTCCTGAGGGGAACGCCGGGCGTTTAATGATCAAATACGTTGGAGTTTCTGCGAGATTCTTCTCGCCGAGACACACATCAAACGGAATTCACGATAAATTGCTGAAATGTACGCTTGTCCGGCTGTTGGCTCGCGTTGGCTCCGCGTATCTCCTCCACACAAAATTGCAAGAGGTCACACAAGCCGTAACCTGTTGCACCTTGGCCTATTGAGACTTATTGCACGTACACTTTCGAATCGTGCGTCGCGAATGAACTTTTTTTCTTGAGGCGAGTGAGATTCTCACTTGCGAGCGAAACGACGCCGACGATTCGTTAGGTATTTCCCTGTCAATTAGCGACAAGCCGACAAATTCGCCGTAATACCAGTTACATCGCGCGTGCGCGCGCGCGCGAGATTACGAAACGAACAGTCAATCTGAACTTCCTAAAACCGCGAGTTGCATCGCGAGATTCCTTCGTGAAGCGGTGAGTCGACGCGACGGCCGGCGCACAGTGGGAAATTTCGCTCACTTTTTGGACAAAAATCTTGTTAGAGCTCAATTCTTCATGAAATTGAATGATTTTTCTTTTTAAATATTCGTAAGGACTTTAAGCTGGTACTGCGGAAATTTAGTTATCGTTAAACCTACATTAAAGAAAGATGATCAAATGCGAGTAAACTTAAAACTCATATATCAACCATATACTCTTAAATATTTAAAACGTAGAACCTTTAGCCTTTAGGGTTGAAAAATTTAAGTTTAAGGGCTTAGGCCGTTAAAGCGTTTTGAGGGTTTAAGAGACCTTATACAATAAGCAATTAGTCAAAAGCCGTAAGCAAATTGACGAATCATATTCGATTATTTTTTAAATTATCGACTGTGGTTGGTCAATTTGCTTACGGTTTTTGACTAACTGCTTATTGTAAAAGACTTCTAAGAGTTTAAGGCTGAAGGTTCTACGTTTTAAATATTTAAGAGTATATGGTTGATATATGAGTTTTAAGTTTACTCGCATTTGATCATCTTTCTTTAATGTAGGTTTAACGATAACTAAATTTCCGCAGTACCAGCTTAAAGTATAAGTCTTTACGAATATTTAAAAAAAAAAATCATTCAATTTCATGAAGAATCGAGCTCTAACGAGATTTTTGTCCAAAAAGTGAGCAAAATTTCCCACTGTGCGGCGGTCGTACGACGCCGTCAATTCCGGACGAGACGTTCGTCTCCCGAACCGGGAGCAAGTCCCAAACCTCCGCACCTCCGCCTGGAAGGTTTCCAGCGTAGGTCCGGTCTTCGTCCTCTCGCCTTCGGCGATTCGAGCGAGCGAGCGAGCCCGAAGAAAGTCGAGTCACGGCTAACGAGTTTAGAGCACGGGAGCGATCGAGGATTCACGTTGGTGCGGCCAACGGGAAGAAGAGAACAGAACCTCCAAAGATCTCTCTCTCTCTCTCTCTCTCTCTCTCTCTCTCTCTCTCTCTCTCTGTCTCTCTCTCTCCTCCTTCCTCGAGGAAACCGGACGAAAGTGTAACAGCACGGATTTCCCGAGGCGAGCCGTGCGAGCGGCAGTGCGAGCACGGGAATCGACGGCGTCGCACCACGACGACCGCGCGTTCTCTCGAGATCAGCTAAGTCTCTGAGTGCGTCCGACGGGATATAGGTGAGAGGATGTCGGCGAAAGGTGGAAGGAGCCGCCGCTTGGAGGGAAACGATGAAGATCAGCGCCGTATCCGATAAGGATACAGTCTCAGTATTTTGCCGATCTTCTCGCCGCTGAAACGGCCCACCTCCGCTCTCTGCGGGAGAATTAACTCTGCGAGTAATTACGGCGACGAGGCTCTCGCGAACACGAGACGAGTTCGTCTCTCCTTTCCGCGAAGGAAGGAAAGAAGGAAGGAAGGAAGGATTCTGCGGATTCCCACTTTTGGCCAGCGACCAGAGGCCAGCGCGAAACGTCGGATAATAAACTCGGCCAGACTCGGCCGCGACAACGACAACGACAACGACAACGACAACGACAACGTGTAGAAGAAAAGCTCGGGAGAGTGCTGCGGCGATTCGTTCGCAGGACAGCGCGATCCGATGAGAATTTTTTTTTCACCAAGGCGCCTGGTTGTCTCGTTAAGCCGCGAAAGCGACGCGCGAACGCTCCCGGAGCACAAAGGCCGAGCAACATTATTGAATCCCAGGTGGGAGGGGGTTCAATGCAAAAGCCTCGGGGCGTCGCGCGAGGAGGCGGCACCCTTTGTGCCGCCGCGTCGGAGTCCAGGAGTCGGGGACTTTATCCAGTCGACAATGATCGATCTATTAATTCCGCAGTCAGCGGGTACATCTGCTGAGGAGACGCCGCGAAGAGAGAGAGAGTAAAAGGGGGAGAGAGAGAGAGAAACGCAGCGTGAAGTGAGAAAAAAGAGTCGTCGCGGCGCACGTGGGACGTGGATCTGTCTCTCGGGTTCGCGGGTTGCGATCGAAATCACGTCGCGCATTAATCGTCGGCGGGATCGTAATGAAGCGCCGCGACGCCGCCGGCGAAGACGAAGCGTAACAGGAGGAGGAGAGCGCGGACGCGCGTCAACGGTTTTCCCGATGCGACGACACGTGAGTGCCGTCACGCCGGATGAACCGAGGACGATTCGCAGGTGACCCCCAGCCCCCGAGAGCTCGATCTGCTTTCGCCGCGGTGAAAACGTGCCCAATGTGCCGGAAAAGTCCTAACGCCGCACGTGGCCGCGATCCGCCGTGGCCGGATCGATCGTCGCCTCGCCGCTACGGAGGAGTCCTGTGCGTCCTCCTGCTACTAATCGGGATGTTGCTCGGTTGCGAGGCCGGAGGTGAGACAGAGAGAGAGAGAGAGAGAGAGAGAGAGAGAGACGGGACGAATCATTCGGCGCGTGTACGCGAGCGTCTCGCGAGCATTCACAACCCAACTGTACGCGCGCTCTTCTTCGCTTCACAGCTAACGACGGGGATGAACGACAGAGAGAGAGAGAGAGAGGCTCGCGTCGCGTCGCGTCGCATCGTCTCACCCGCATAGCAATCTGCTGAATGCCAAATGTACAGTGCGTCTCGTATCAGTGTGAATGGTATCAAAGAATCGCGCCTATTTATCCCATCGAATCGATATCCTCGCAACATTCTGTCTGTAACACACGATACAGCTACAGATATTTCCATGCATATCTGATTTTAATATAATATCACACAGAAAATGTCGCCGGCTCCCGCGGCGACCTGCACACACGATGAAAGGCAAACAGTGACGCGTTCACGCGTCGAGTAGTTTGTCTCTTTGTTTTTACACTGTGATCTTCGCTTTTTTCCATCCGAGCGTTTTATTAATAACGGCCAAGAGTCATTGCGCGTCGGTCAGATAGCAAAGCTCGAAAATAAATAATCTCAAATGTAAAAGCGAAATATTTCACAAAGTACTCAAGTACCGAGAGAGAGAGAGAGAGGAAGGTGGGGGTGTGACTCTTTTCGTTTTTATTCTTTTTGAGCGACACGTAGCAAGTATTAGAATTAATTACCGAGACATTCTCACAGCCACGTTATATTTTTATCTCGCGGCTGATGTGTGTATCGTGCGCGAATGCAATTACGCCGTGTATATAATTAGCTCCGTCATCTATGCGCGAGAAATCCACTCGCATCATTGTCTCTCGCATTTCGCTAAGCGACAGTGGTTTCTATTCGTCGCGACTCTTAATCAGTCGCTCATGAAACTCTTTTGTTACAATGGATAACACGGCAGCGACGCAAACGCCCGTACCGCGCACACGCGACTTCGCGACGCGCTTCGAAGAAAGCCACGTGTGTGTGTGCACAATTAAATATCACATCTACAAAGTAGCAAGTCGCATTTAATTGCCTCGATTCACATAACCGAAACTCTCACCGAGGTCGCGCGACTAACCCCGCGAGATAACTAACGGAGAAAATTAAAACAGTCGCCGACTTGATCTGCTTAATAAGCCTTCGAAATTATCGTACACATACGTAATTAGTTTAAGTAATCGAACAACGTGACCTTTCTTGCGCGATCCAAGTTGTCTCGTCCTTGTTCGCGAGACGAACCCGTGTTTTACACATTTTTCACAATCTCGATTCCTTTTAACCCCCCCCCTCTCTCTCTCTCTCACTCTCTCTCTCTCTCTCTCTCTCTCTCTCTCTCTCTCTCTCTCTCTCTCTCTCTCGTTCTGCCTAATTATTATTTGATCGAACGTTATAACGCGGCCAACTTGTAACATTTATCTTCCGCAGATTGAAGTATCAAAGTATACGTTTTTTCGACAATCCACTATCGACGGTTGAATCGCGCAACCCGCGACGTTTCGCACGCCCACCCACGTAGCGGTTGCGTCAGTTAGCGGAAATTAACGTATCAAATTTTTAGCACCATGGAAACCGCGAAGGGCAAAGAGAAAGTACATTTCTCGCGAATTATACGGACTACCGCGTCAGACTAATTAACGTTACAGGGCATTATTATGACAGCCGGGAGTCGTTGATTGTTACTGTGATTGTATTAAAGCTGCGATTCGATCGCGTCGTTTCATTTCTCGCAATCTCAATTTAGTTGTTGAGCAATTCTGTCACCGGAAAGAGAGAGAGAGAGAGAGGGAGAGCGGGAGAGAGAGAGAGAGAGAGAGAGAGAGAGAGAGAGAGAGAGAGGGAGAGAGAGGGAGAGAGAGAGAGAGAGAGAGAGAGAGAGAGAGAGAGAGAGAGAGAGAGAGAGAGAGAGAGAGAGAGAGAGAGAGAGAGACCGAGAGATGATGGCGATAAAACGGTGCATAATCTCCCCATTTCCCTACACGACATGCGTCAGCTACAACAGGTGTGTACAGTTATAGTAATTCGTTACAGTAACTTGGGCCGCTACGATGCCTCCGCACACGTGTCTCGCTAATTAACTCGATCTAACGTGATATTTCGTGATTCCATTCCGACAACACAACTGTAAATTCGTATTGTACACAATATAATTAATAATGCCGCTGTATTTAACGTAGCGATCGACCACCAACGGACGGCCGCTTGAATCGTTGCTAAGAATCGTGAGTGAGGAACAAGAAGTCCAGCTTTATCCCGAGCTAGTTTCGAATTGATTGACGATCGATGTCACGCTCTGTTTGTCGCAATCCGTATAGTTGTTTCGCGATGCAGCCTGTATAATTCGCATTTACCTGCTCGTTACCTCTTTCTTCTTTAATTGGGGAATTTTTCACTTAGGCAGAAACGGGTGAAACAGCGAAATTCCATTAAGCCGAAGGCTGTTTGCAGTGCTCGAACGCATTGACAGAACATTACACGATTGTATCGTGATGATAAAAATCTACGTTCAGGCTGCGCTTGATTGCGATGCACTTGCGCGATTCTTGCATACTTTTACATTTGTCGGAGAAAAATTTGCGTTTCCGAAAAAATATCGTTTTTAAGCGTTTTCCGCGAACGCGGTTAGAACGCGACCCCGTGAAAAATGAAACTCTTCCGGATGGGATCGATTGTACAATAACAAAGAAAAAACGACGTACTGCGAGAGCTCGTTTCGCAAAAGAGAGCCCATCCCGTTTCCGTTTTCGGTGCATTCAATCCTCCGAAGTGGTGGTAGCGATCCGCGAGTGTGCGATAGATGCAATTCGCCACGGAGATGTGACGAACATTTCAAAAGGAAAAAAAATTTTTATATATCTGGTTTTCTGTTGAGATACGTGCGAGATACATCGGCGTTATTTAATTAGCTCCCGATAGCGCAGCTTGACGTACTATATAATCAAAAACACGCATTTTTCAAGTATCTCTCATACTTTTGGCCTCTTATTTGCAAAGATAAATATTTTCTTTCTAAAACACTCCTTTGAGTTCAACTGTTAAGACGCATATATACTGGAAGAGATGTCAGCCGTTGGAAAGTCGCGTATAAAAATAATTTGATGACCAATTTGCGATAAGATATAAGATATAAACCTCTGACTAATAAATAATAAATAAACGATAAATAGATGTATGCTTACTTCGACCGCGACCAATGCTGAAGTTATCGGTCGTGTATGAGAGGACTTTTTTATAGAAAATAATTTTTCCCCGGGCTTGCCAAAACGAATTGCCGAAATAATCTCACGTGAGACGTCCCGACAATGCGTTCTACCGCTCTCTACCGCCTCGACGGATCGAGGGAGAAAGAAAGATCCGTTTCAATAAATGAAATTGAGAGATATGCACCTGCCCCCCTCCCCCCCGCCGCGGCCGTCGCCGGGTTGTGTACCGATCATTCGGCATAGTTGTAGACGCACGCTGCAATGTCCTTACCAGTTACCGGTGCGAAGGATCGTCAAGTAACGGTTGAAACGGCCGCAAGTGGGATAAATAAGAGTAGCTTTTGGTCCCGATTAGGGACCAAGGCGAAACAAGATTTCTGCCGACCAGGAAAATCGCATCGGAATCGGATAGCACATGCGTGCGGAAAGCGCACGCACTTTCGGGCTCGCGTAAGCGCGAGAGGAAATTCCGCGAGAGGAAATTCCTTTCGCGATATTAATTGCCCGCTCACGCGTGGAAAGTGTACCGTGTCCCGATTCACCTTCTAGGAGGAGGATCATTTACGCCGTTACGATCGCGCCGAGTTTCTGCTCAAAATCGCGAAATCTTGAGAAATCTTGAGAATTTAGCGAGATAAATGTGATAAAGTACGCTTGAACTCCGCACACTCCGTATTATAACTGTATAGATCGCGCGTCCTTCTCATGCAACGATATTTATTTCGTGCCATCGGCACTTTCGTGGCACTTGCAGGTAACGGTACGCCAGATGTTTATAGGATACTCGGAGGTAGCGGAACGCGCCACGCGGATTACGATTATCCGCGTATGAGCGAGATGGACGATGCGAGACAGCAAGGAGATCTTTATATCGGTCGCAGCGGCGACCCGTGGACCAGTGTCTCCTCGGCTCACAATTACGAGAAAGATATTCTCGTGCGCGTACCGCCGTCGGCGAACCACACGAACGCGCTTATACCTGTCGCGTAAGTACCGAGCGAAGATATCGCGAGGGAACTTGTTCTCACGTTTAACAATCGATGAATCGGGCCTTCAAATGTTGATATCAAACGTTCGGCCGTTGGCAAATCGAATAAGAGAAGAAGTGAATAGGCCTCGGACAGGAAAAAAAAAACAAAAAGAAGAAGTTATCGAAAAAGAAAAGAGAATTTCTTTTGCGCCTGCTGATTAAAGTCAAATTGGTACGACTTTGAAATAACCTATTTATATAATTAATTAATTAAGACTGGCTTTCGATCTGATAAAATCCGATAAAATATTTCGTTCTTCTAACGTCTAACATCTGAGACAAAAGTTGACAAGACAAGAAAAACACGTTGGCACGTTGGCCAACGTTCTGCCAACATGAATTCTCAAATGCCAAAACGAAGTTTCCTGAAACGCAGTTTCAGAAGCGCCGTTAAGGAGACGTCTACTCGTGCGAGATTCAAGCGAGGAGTAATACATCTTTATAACATGGTGGTGTGTGCCACAGGATGTAATCCTTTGGCCTACAAGGGATACGGTTGTTACTGCGGATTCCTTGGATCCGGTTACGTCATCGACGGTATCGACCAGTACGTTATTCATTCGTAAGGAAAGGAGAATGCCGTACGAAGCTCGCGTCTACCGATTATTACCGAGTAACGCAGGTGCCGCTAGGTAACAATTTGTGAGAACGGAATGTTTCAGGTGCTGCAAGATGCACGATTGGTGTTACGACGCCACAGAATGCCCAATGTTCTCGGAGTACTTCGTACCGTATTACTGGAGATGTTACCGCGGTTACAAGCCCATTTGCGGTTCGTTTTATTTTTATATTTATTGCTTTCTTTCCTCGCGACCTGATCGCCTCACCTGTCTCGCAACCTGTCGAAACAGCACGGTGTATCATACATATTTTAGTTTATTGTCTGAAACATTACCATTCTCCCGTTGGAGAATTTGGCGTTTAGCGCACACAGAGATGACTTTCTCGTCTTCAACACGTGTTTTGCACAACACATGACATGCAACATGCGACAGGACTGCGAAAATCTCCTCCAATTCAGTCAGACTCTTTGTGTTGCAGCGGTTGAACACGGCGACTGGGGAGGGTCTGGATCTTGCGCTCAGCGTTTGTGCGAATGCGATCGTTCGTTAGCCGAATGCCTGAAGAGATACCCATGCCCCACTACCAAAGCAGTTTGTACCTCGTCGCCTTGGAGACTCGTGCAGAATCTCTTTATGATTATTTGAATGTCCCGCTTATCTCGAAGATAGCGTCAATTCAAATTTTCAAAAGTGCAATAAAAAGATGGCTTTATGGTCTCGAGAATTCGACATACCGCGCTTTCACGATAAACGAACGTGAATATCGCAATCGTGCGATTAACTCACAGGGACAAGGATAATACAACGTGTACTGCGATGCCAAAGAGAGAATGCTGACCGTATCAGCGAGCGTTTTCTATGTGTGAAACGAGTTACATGAACGAACATTGATCAACAACGATTATCATTCTACTGCGTTCGTACAATTTTATTTTCTCCCCCGTTTACACGTATCCCTTCTTATCTCCCTTTGTTATCGATGAATTGAAAGTAGAAGAATAGAAAATCATACCGCATACTTTACACGACAGTAAGAAAGTCCATTTGCTCATACTGTCTTAATCAAGAAGTTATGTACACGCTGGACGCATCCCCGCATTTAGTCAATTTTGGCCGTTCGTGGACAATTTACTGTGAATATTTACAATGTATTTACACCACCAGTCAAGTGTACCGTTCTGTTCTTGTATCTCTTGGAGATGTCTCGTTCTATCTGCAATTGGAGATACGCGATATGAAAAATCTATAAGACATTTAAGGGACCGAATAATCTCAAAGCTGCAACAATAGCGCGTGAACCGTACATAACGTACCTCGGTTTGCAATTCCCTGGTTCTTTGCACAACGAGTCTCAATAGCGGACGTAATTTATCAATTTCATCCTGCGCGTCTTTCTGTTTCCGTCGTACAGATTCTTGCTGGGCCACCATTCTGTCGATCAGCTTCAATTTCTGCTTCAAACCGGCAATCACTATATCCGCGTATCTACAATTGAGCCATATGAACTACATATGAACCATCAGAGCCTATAGAGTCGTATCTATCGCGTATTCGATTGATCGTACCTCGGATAATGCTTGATGTTATGTAAATGATGAACATTATTGTGTAATATTTCCGAGAGGACAATTTGGATATTATCGAGCATATTTTGCGTGCTCTCCGTGGTGGAAAGTTGCAGGATCGAGGAGGCGTCTTGCATTTGACTGAAGCTCAACAGATTTTTTTTATCGTCGCCTTTAAATTCGTACAAACGTAATTTCATGAACGCCTCCAACTATGAAGATACACACAATTTATTCGAGTGAGAATATCGATACATCGAAATTATGTGCTGCACGCATTTACCATACCTCGAATAATTGATTGATGAATTCGACTCTAGTTGCGGGATTATCCAATATCGTATACGCGTCACGTCCTGCAGCTATGCCACCCTCGTGACCGACTGCTTCGACAACGATACCCGACTCTTCCAAGGAGATGTCGCAATCTATTTCCTCCTCCCCGACGGGGGGTTGCACCGCAGCACTTTCGTCTCCCCAATCGATATCACCTTCCGCGGTGCTCAAATCGACCTCTTCACCGAAATCAATCTCTTCATTCAAATCCAAATCACCAAAGTCAATGGTCTGTCCAAGTTAATAAAGATGAATTCAGAATAATTACGCAATGAAAAATTCATATCATCGTAATCGTTTTCTTAATAATTAAATTCTTATAAACTTAATGATTAAACTCTTATAAATAAATAAATTCTTACAAACACTTCGTACATTTGTATCCACATTCGAGTTAATTGTCGCGTTATTCTCTTCCTCATCAGCTTTAATATTTAACGGCGGCTCCACCACTGACAATGGCGCTTCTCCATATGTATATTCATACGTTGTGGCGTTCCCTTTCTCTATAGAAATGTCCAACAACCTATTACATTTTTATCTTCTTCTTATCTGAGTGCACGACGTAACCACGCGTTTGTAACGTTTAGCAATTCACTCACCAATTACATATTTAATCATCGATACGCAACTGTTACCGTCGTACCGCCGCCCGAGAGTAAATTCAACAAACGCACTGTAAAACTCGACGACTTTGTCCAAGCTCCTTGTCTTTTCCACTACACTCTGATAAATGGCTGGCAATTCTTTAACTTTCTCCATCAATTCCTTCCTAGCTGTGTTATGGCTACTTATACCCAATTGTTTACACAATACATTATACTCTGCATGCGCCGTATTTTCCGACTTTTTATATTCCATTTCTTTCTTCTCTAGATCCTGACAGAGAGATACATTTAAATACATAAAATTTCATCGCACATATACAAATACATGTATACATGAGATACTTCTAATACATATTATGTAAATATATGTAAGCTCACAATTAATGACTGTTCCAACTTCTGTATCTGTTTCTTGATACTAGGGACCTCATAATTTACATTTCTCATGAGCATTTGCGCAGCCTCCGCGAGATAAACATTATCCTTTTCATACCGCTGTAAAACCTCTTGCCAGTCTTTCATTCTCTGAGAGCCATATCGTCCAAATAAATTTTTTGTGTCTGCTTCCGTTTCCTTCAAAATCTCCACAATCTTAACGCAATAGAAATAGTTTATATCTGTAAGAAAATATGTAGAATCAGAATCGACTAATCTTGTATAAATACTTGTACTTGTACTTACTTTACACTACTTACAAGCACCGCATAACAAGGAAGCGATGCCATCATGAGCAGGCATATCTTGTATCGCATTATTAATTTTTTCCCTAATGGCCAAGATGGTTGCATGCCAATCTTTCTTACAGTGTCTCCTATTAACCAGCCAGTCCAATAATTTCCCTGTATTAATGTCGATTGGTATATCTTGCTCCTAAACAATCAACATCGCAATCACACACAAATCTGACTTATTTCAAGAGTGCAGAATAAATATGCAAGGGAAGAATTATGAAACAATAATACAACAAAAGGTGTTTACTTCAAAATATGTCACACGTTGTTATGTACATACAGTTGCGTTCTATTATATATACATATATATATACACAAAATTGATGTCGTTTATGATAAAACAATTACGCATCTGAGCATCTGAGCATCTGAGTGATTATTTACCTGCATTTTATTGCCAAGTCTAATCAATTTTCGGACAGGAGCTTTTAAATCCGACCGTAGAGACAACAGGTTATAACAGCTGTTCTTTCCTCACACGTCAAGAGACATGTCCACGACAAGTTTACTCTTTACAGCTGAACTTTCTGCACGAGGTGCACAAAGCATGTAACGTATCAATTACAAAAATTTCAAGCGTAACGCGAATAGAAAAATTAAAATAAATGTTCCATGATGCATTTATTACATTTTTGATTAAAATAAATCTGTCGTGCAGAACCTTAGTTAACGAAAGAAGAGATCGGAAATTAAACACAGTACACGGTATTTCTCATTTCACAACGCGATATATCGGTACCATATACGACGAGTATAACGTTGTGAATCTAACATGACCAAACAATAAAGATTGAAATATGCTTCTGGAACTACCGTTATCTGGAAATACCGTCGCTACCGTTATTTTTACAAAAGTTAAAGTCTCTTGAATTCATCTTCCTGTTTCAATAAAAGATATATAAGAGAAAAGCGCATCTGATCAGCCTTTGATTTAGATTAGAAACAGAGATAGCGGCGTTTGACCTACTGTTGAATCGTATCACGACTTCGATTCCTCGACGAAGTAAGGTGCCAGTTTTTATGTAACAAGAGACTTCGAAATTATAAAGATAATAGTTCTAATTTACATTTAGAAGCTCGCCCTTATTTTCTCTTCGGAATCTGATTCTAAGAGCAAATAGAGTGCGAAAAAGAATGATTAAACCTATTATTTTCGCGAATTAATTCCTTGAGTCTCCACTACGAGCCGTCACGAAGAGAGATTGAGGTCGTGGTACGACTTAACAATAGGGTCGGCACTGGATAGCTTCATTCTCCAAGTAGTCCTACTCAACGGCGAGTTAGACGCGATTTTTATCATGTATCATGAGAAGTGGACGAAATTCAACTGTAACTTTGGCTGTAACTTTGGCAAAAATAACGATAGAGAGATAGCTCAGAAAGTACTTTAAAGCTTGAAATCTCTACTTTTCGAGTAGATATTAAATTCATAATATTATTATTATTATTGTTATTACTTATTATTAAGATATATTCAATTAAATAAGAGATGGAGGCTAATCAAATTTTCATTTCATCTTCCACTTCTTTTTTTATATTAAAAATTCTTTTTTAATATGTATACAAAAATGTAATATAATACATTTTGAAGCGGAAACTTTGAGCTCTCTATTCGTTTTGTAAAAAATTACCAAAAGGTTTTGACATTCATAAAACGATTTTTACTTCAATAGTAAATAAATTTATGAAAAAAAATCCGATTGTGTGTAACCTACGTATATGCAAATTAAAGAAGAAAGTTTGTACTTTTAAATGATATACATGCCACATTTTGTTTACACGATACAACTCGGTTAACTTGATCAACATTTTTAACATTCGATGAGTCTCGATTTATATTCGTGTAACGCCGTGGGAAGTAATTGTGTGTGTGTGTGTGTGTGTGTGTGTGTGTGTGAAATATTTGGAAATACATGCGTGATTTAAAGATATTTCAAGTTTTATAAAATTCCATTAGTAGATAAAGTTCAAGTTCAATCGATTAATTTATTGATGATTTCAAAATTCGATCGGTTACAAAAGATTGTTATGTGTTCTTGATCGATTTTTTTTAGAAGCCAATTATTTTCCTCAACGTCATCTAGCATTTAGTTAGTCAGCATAAATAATAACTTGAAAATGCCTCGATGTGGATATTGTACTGGAAGTTTTATTAATTTTTTATAAATTTTCACTTTATATAAATCGAGAACATTGCGGAACGCGTTCGCTATTTGCTGCGTGAACGATTCTCAAGTCGGCAGCAAAGTATAGAGTGTAATTAGCATAAGCAGCGGCTGAAGGGTATAATTTAAAAGCATGACTGCAGACGACTAATGATCGCGCCACACTTGCCACCAGCCCAGTTTCCCTCACTGACGGGTACGTCAGTGTGTGTTATTTGATAAGCGCGTACCCGTCGCGAGTACGCGCTTATCAAATAACACACACACACACACACACACACACACACCGAGCGGGAAAGACACACGCCAGGCCAGACGTGGCATGTGCCACGACGTACGAAGCGGAAACGTGTTGCGCTCGTTATTCGTACGGCATGCCGCATCGCTACAAGGAAGGCTGCGAATGTTCCGAACGAAATGGGGGAAATCGCTCAGTTGCATTAAATTGTAACGAAACAAATTAATAGTAAAACCGCTTTATTTAAGTAACATCTACCCTGACTGATAGCTTAGGTTTCGATAAATTAACGGAGGCGACGCGACAAATAACGACGAGAAAAACGGGAAACAATCAGAACGCTGGCGATACAACGTACAGGAGAGGCATTCGGTATACACAAATATTGTTTAAATTTATTATGTTACACATTCACACAAGTAAGAAGAGCACGATGTTCGTGTTTCAGTGTCCGTTTTACTGTCCCAAGTACCAGTACATAAGTACAAACTTGAGAATGCCCGACGGGTAAGCAGAGAGAGATGTACAGGCAAAGTCCTATTGCTCGCACTTCTTCTTGCCCCTTTGATCGCCCAGACTCTTTATATACTGGTATCCCCGACTCGAGAGATGGTTGTAGCTTCGGTATTGATCGATGCCTGAACGTATGATACGTGCGAGGACGTCTCTCTCATCTTGCGCTTCTTGACTGACTCGTACTCGTTGAATCCTGATCCTCACAAAGTTCTCCAAAGCGTATTATTTCTCGCGTCGTCGAGCTCGCCGGCGCTGACAGATGGGGCTCGCCCCGCCGAGAGAGGATACAGGCCCGACGCATTTATACCTGCTGATGTGTTGCGATGGCACTTTCGACCGAGGATCGAGACGACAGCGGTTACGGCCGCTTACCGTAAGAACGGACGACCCACCGAGCCGAGGGGAGCCGGATCAACAGGATCGACCACAAACAGGCTCGATCGCAAACGAGTTCTTCCTTGGTTTACGCTTAGAATTACTTCGCGGGTGCACTAATAACTCTGTGAAGCGCTTCGATCCGTAAAGAAGTTCTTCAAAATGTATGTCTGCCCTACTGCAATGCACAGAATGCACGCTGTCTCCATCACCGACCACCAAAGCACCCGCTCGTTGAGCTCTTCCGCACGCTTACGACCCTGCGCCTCGCGCAGACGATGATGTGTCTGGTAATCCAGGATGCTGATCAGATTTTTATGTACTTCCTGTGCGGAGGACTCCATCTGTGAGTAAAAAGAAAATTTGCACTTGTCGGATATTGTTTCCTCGGAATCGGCGTGCGGTATGTAGAGATAATTTTGTGTGAAATAAGATTCACCTGAGTCATGACCGTGACGTGTTCTCCGAGGCCTGGTAATGGCAGTTCATCTCCCACTTGAAAATCCATATAAACTAGCTTGTGCGAATATGTGGAGAATTCATTGCTGAAGCAGGCTTTATATACTCCCGACATGGCTGGTACAAATGAATGCGAATCAAATTGTGTCTTGACTTGTCTATAAATAATTTCCTTGTTTGGTGCCTCTAAAGTTACGTCTACATCGTACTGGCCACCTGTGACCACCTAAAACCAGAGGACAGAATACTAATTATTAAATATACATATATCTTAGACATTCATTACTTTGATTTCTGTATTTCTTGTTTATCCGGATTTACCAAGCCAAATGGAGCAATCGCGCGGTACCAATTGAGATATTATCGTCGCTTTCCGTCTACATTAGCATACAAGATTTCTCTTTAGTTTCTCCGATTCGTTTCGAGAGTTAAAACGGATAATAATTGTTTATGGCAATCGCACTGTGGCAATATGTTTCTCTCTTCCTCCTCCTCCTTCCTCCGAAATACGAATATAATTTTGTTTCATGACAAATACGTATAAAAAGTGCAGCAAAGTGCAGCCGAAACGAATAAACGGCCACGCAAGCGAGTCCGCCGCAGTGGCGGCGTATTGCGTCGCGAAATTATCGCGCCGGCGATACATCGCGACGTGTCATCGTGACTTCGTGAAGGCAATCGTCGAAGCGGCTTTATGAAAACGCAGGTCGGACCTGAAATTCCAATGTGGATGAGACGTTCTTCTCAATCTCCTGGTAGAAGCACTCCTTGGCACTGTCAGATAGTTCAAAGGTTAGCTCGACGCCGCCCGTGAACAGGAGTGCGGCGAACAGCGACACGAGCAACAGCCAAGTAGACCAGCAGTCCATTCTGACAGTCAGTTGGACAACTCTCTCGCGTCACTTTAGATCCGCACTTGGCATTTACGAACTTGGCGAGAGATCACTGAGCCAACTGACGCGCGTACACGACACCTCGTCCCTTCGGTGGCGCTCACCTTCTCACCTTCGCTTCGCTTCGCGATCTCTCCTCTCCTCTCCGTTCTCCGGCGCATACGATTCTGTCCAAACAAGCTATTTTAACGTGGCCGGATATCGGCCGCGTGACGTAACCCGCTCGCCGCGCAGCTGCGGAAACGACTATAATCACGTCGCGGCGGGCGAATTCGAGTCATCGCGGCACGCGTCATCGCATGATCGAATCGAATGATTTAACTGCACTTTATGCCCACCCAAAGGGAAAGGGAATCTCGATCGACATATTCGTATGTTTGAGAGCGGCTGAGCGAGAGAGAAGGGTAGAACGAAATGCGAAATGTAGAGAGTTTAACGGATCTTTAACGGCGCAATGGCTGACACCGAGTCAGCGATCATTTTTGTCCATCGATGTCGAGAGTCGCGATTACGATCGCGTCGTGATGCTATGACGAAGAAACACAAGTCGCGAGAGAAAGATTGCCGCAGAGGAAAAATGCCGACCCGGGAATGCAGCTAGACTATAGATTTTAGGTGAGTGCAAATAATGAAGCTTAAGATCGATTATATATATATATATATATATAGTAAGCTTAATTATCGTAGCCTGATATTTATATATATATATATTTATATATTTATGATATATTTGTGATTCGTGAATAATAATACTATGTGAAATACGAGATTCTCACATATACATATAGAAAGATGGTTATCAGTTGATGGTTCGATAATTCAAATCTCTGATAATATAGGAGTATAGCTTGCAAGAATATTTATTGGTTGCTACTTTTATCATTACGTTAAATACCGTTTGAAGGAACCTTAAACGGTATTTAAATATTACGTGATACGTTTTTACATTATGCAGCGTGCACAATTCGATTGATCGCAATCGCCAATTATTTAAATACGTTATATTTTATACGACGAAAACTTCGCTAAAACTATATTCATCCTTTCGTACAAAAGCAACGCTTTTTTCATCAAGATTCTCGAGAACAATTGTGATGTTCGAAAATTCTTAGACTTTCCCACGGGGGCACCATTGCTCGAATTCTACTATAAAGACATATTCAGTGCGAACAGTATCGTTTGAAGTATCGACATTTCCCGTCGGGGGGAAGTTTAAGAATATCCGGAATGAGACTTTGCAACAAATTCAGTTTCGTGTCGTTGTTTTCGATCGTTTTCGTGATCAAAAAAAACTCTGTGTTCTCTGTTGCATTCGTACATTTGTGTGCTTGCGATACTTCTATTTCTTACTACATTGATGATTCTCGCAGATAATCGATACTCTATAAGGTATTCAGGTATTTAACATTCAGAAATTTCATAAAATTTTGATCAGGATTGTCTGCACACTTTTCCCTTCTTAATAATCGGTCTTGTCAATTGTCTAAATTATCTCGCAATCCTTTTCGTAGCCCTCGCGATCATCTCCTTGGCTAGAAAAGTCCCTGAGAATACAAGCTGCATACAAGTATTAGAAAATATTAAACATAGGCGTTTATTGATCATTTCTACAAAGTACAATACTGCGTGTAAGTATAAAAATAAGCAAAGAATGCATAGAGTGCATAGTATGAGCAAAGTATCTATACAGGGTGTGACAATGGTTTGACAACGAAATAATTCGCGAAGATGTAACAAAAGATAGTCGTTATAAAAATATTTATATCCTATTGACCTTACCTATCAATACATTCTATAAATTAATATAAATATATACATATTTTATCCTCCAAGTATGTAACTGTTGGCTATATAAAAAAATCGGAATAAAAAATTTCACGGCTCTCAATGTTACTCGTCGACTTTTTGTCAGTCGAATCGTCTGCGACAAAAGCCGCTAGTTGTTAAATGATATTTCGTGCGCTAAAAAGTCGACGGAAATAACATTCGTTCGTCGAAAGTTTCGACGTTAATTCTACTTGATTTACTTAGTTTTGACGGTCGAAAGAACATTCATCTTCTTCCTGGTCCAAAAAATCGTGCAGTGAGTGCAGCATCGTTTCTTTGAATTCCCTGCGTCGCTTCTCGGAAAGTTTCATAATGTCCGGAATAAGACTCCGATAGAAATTCAATTCCGGCTGGTTCGAGTCGCGCGCCTTCGCTTCAGCGAGGAGAAAATTAATCGTTGGTAAGATCATGTCCTCGGATATCACTTTGTAGTTTCGTTTATCAGCACTCGAGGGGAAGGATGAGACAGGAGCGCTCTCGTTTGGCTCGGCGTTTCTGAAATCGGTGATGTTCTGCGATTGTCGAGCCTCATCGCCTGTCTCCGTCGCAAATCCGATCGAGTCTTGACCGTCCACGTTGTTCCGCATCTCGTTCCAATAATTGATCTGGCTATTGTTCGTCTTACTTTGTTGATTCGCGTCAACGTATACAAAGTTATTGAAGGCAGCACCGTTTACAGTGTACGCAGCCTTCTTGGTCCTCGTATGTGTGATCGCTTTCACGGGAGGGCTCCGTAGAGGCTGCAATTTCGTTGGTATATCTACAATTAACAATTAGAAAAAAGCTTAAATTTCCCGTGTCCACTTTGGAGGTTGGGATTCTGTCCTTTTTTTATCCTTTCTTTTCTTTAGCGCGGATTTGGTCAGTTTCTATGGAGCACTTATCTAGAGCTTATCGGAGCTGTGAACAACGCTTTTCCTTACCGGAATCCTCAAGACGCGTCGCCATCACAACGCACTGGCGGCTTTTGTCGGATACTTCCGACATCGCGACATCCGCCATCCTCGACTTTCGCCGCTGTGCCGCCAATGCATCGCTGCCAACGGTCGCGGCTTGACTTTGTCTGGGCCTGTTCCTGTTCAGCAGAAATCTCAACGCTTGATAGGCGAACCACTTGCTGCGGTAGACCGTGAATTTGTTGGGAATGGTGGCTGCCATCTTCTCCTTCCTCACTTCGCGACGGAAGTGACTCTGCAGATTACTCAGCTTCCTCTCGATCTCAGCCTTGCTGACATGAAATCGTTTCGCGAGTTCGCTCATGGTCTTGTTACGTTTTCGCCGATCTTTGTAGTCGTCGTGTCCAAAGTCCCATAGAACAGGCCGCTGCTGAAACATCCTGATCAGCTGCAGTGCCTTGTCATACGGCCACTCCACGATGTCCCGCATAATGACGATCGGACGCGACTGGAAGAAAGAAAACTTGAGAGGAGCTTTCGAGAGCCAGAGAGCGACACGCGCGCACGCGCGCGCGGCTTCCGGCACAATGTAGTACCTCGTGCAGTACGTCGGCAATACAGTTCTTGCCGCTTGCCGCCGTTCTGGCTGCGTTCGACTCATGAACATAAGGTGCTTCCGAAATGTCTAGAGTTGGCTCGAGTTGAGTTGCTTTCACTATAGTATCCGTCACATATACTATAGTGGAAGTAACTCAACTCGACCCAACCCTGGACGGGTTCGGAAGAGCACCCTACAGGCTGCGTTCCGATATTCCGCCAGCACTGAAAATCTATAGTATACGTGACACAAACTGTGTATTTTCAGTACCGGCAGTGAATTTCGAAACGCAGCCCCAGACTGAATAATATTCGAGGAGCGGGGCTAGAAAAGGATGCGCTCTGTTTTGTGTTACGCGACATACTACACAGTTGTGGCAATTACCTCCCCTTGTTCCCCTCCCATCGCGTGTGCGAGAGAGAACGCACAGACACAAAATAGAATGAGCTCACTCCTCCGCCGCTCCTCAAACATGCCTGTCTGAGTCTGTCTGAGCGGTTCGACGAAATTCACTGCCAGTATTGAAAATATATAGTTTGTGTGGTATCTGTATTGTGTACTATATGTTTTCAGCGATGGCAGCGAATATCGCGGAACGCAGCCTAGGTGTACCGTGTCTATGTAGTAAACGAAATCGCATATCGTCGTTGCGCCGTACCGTCGTGCATGCTCGATTGAAAGCAAAGCCTTGCGATACAACGGAATCCAAGAGAAAACAAATATCACACTCTCTGAACAGCCGTGCATTCTATTTTCGACGGATGATGGCTTTCTTCGAGAACGATTTCATCGTGCAGCAGAAATGTCGCTCCCAGCATCACTATTGTGATCGCTTCAACATGACACAACATAACATACGTCATAACGAGTGTTTGGAGTGGCAGCTCGTGAAGCGTGTACGTGCATGTCGCGGCCGCGACATTTATCACCGTGCGCTAATCAGAAATTTCCGTCACGTTTCCCATCACGTATATATATATACCAGCGCACAGCTATATATTTAATTATTAACGAGAATGAAAAGAAAAGTACTGGCTTCCCTTCTCGTGTGTCACGAGGCCACAAAGGGCTCCCGCGCGATTTGCTAAATATTAAACGCTCGTGACGATGCAAGAAGGAAACGTGCGAGTGTTGAAGCAGGAAGACGCGATGAAATTGTACCTCGTCGGCTCGGGGAGAGAAGAAGAAAGAGAATTGTTTACACGAGTTGCCGTTTCGCGACATTTATTCTCCATTCAAATTTCATCACGGTAAACACGGGAAAGACGTGTACCGCGCGTATCTGTCCGCAAGCTGCTTGGAATAAATCGGAGGGAGTCGCGACTTGAGTAAAAGCGCAAAGACCAAAACGACGAAACCGCGATGAAAGGGATTCGTCGTTGTCGAGTACGAGCAATTTGCAACGTGCGAGCAATGCGGCAGATGAACAATTGCTTTCGTACTCTCCTTCGTATTCTCGCTAAGAAGAGCTTAGCCGCGAGTTAGACGACGGCGCGGATCCCGTCCTAACGAAACGAAAGTCGCTGCGGCGGGATATCCTATAAAACGTGCGCTCGCCCAAGGCGTTCGGGGCCGTGTAGAAATCGTCAGTGACGATAGCGGCGGCGTATAGTCCGCCGTATATAATGCACTCACGTTGCTTCGCGTGAGGCGCCCTTAGGTGCCGCCCATCGGTCTCGAACGAGTCGCGCCGCCGCGCCGCGCCGTGCGTCATGTCGTGCGGAGCGTTGGCGAAGCTGCGTATCGGAGAGCAAATGTAGAATATGAAGGAAAGGGAGAGAGAGAGAGAGAGAGAGAGAGAGAGAGAGAGAGAGAGAGAGAGAGAGAGAGAGACAATGGGGGGGACGGTGGGGGGGGCAGAGGAAAGAAAAGAGAAAGGAAAGGCATGTGCGTGCGGTTTGCTCGAAGGGTTCCCTCATTGCGACGAGAAAGCTCGCCGTTACTCGCATCGGTGTGCTCCTCGCGCACATGTCGGTGCCTCAAATTAATGTGCGCGTAATGTGCAGGACACGTGGAGGGCACGCACGTCGTCCGCATGAGGCTCAATGGACCTTCGATGTACTCTTTACGGCGCGAGTCCACGCGCTGAACACGCGCAGAACGCGTGCGTGTAGCGCACGCTAATAGACGACGAGGCGGAAAGTACGTCGCGAAAGCACGCGACTTGATCGAAGAGTTTCGCTTAATAATAAACGCGCGTGGTCGCGCGCTAACGAGAGAGAGAGAGAGAGAGAGAGAGAGAGAGAGAGACACGCGGGAAACGCGACGACATTGAAAACTGACTTTGCGTATACGCGCTAACTTTACACACACACACACACACACACACGGTTCGCGGCATTTGTCCCTAAAGGAAATTCCGAGCGAGCGACTTTTCTCGCACAGAAGCTACGTCGAAACGTCATTTCCAATTTCGCTTAACGAAATACACGACAATCCTTCCACAAAAGCTTGACATCCGCGCCCGGTATCAAGGATACCAAGGGTATCACGCGCGCGCGCGCGTGCTCAATCATACGTCCCTGCAGGGCTCGGCCCGTGTAACCGACGTATCATTAAGACCGGGCCGCTCTAAATGAAAGGGAAGAAAAAGGGATCCTCCCGTCGTGCCTCAGATCGGATTATACAGATACGACGGCGGTGCGTGACGAGTACGCACCGTCGTAGTCGTGCCTGTGCAGGATCGTGCGCGCGTCCTGCCAAGAGATACGAGGCGCCTGGATACGATGCACTTCGCTCTACGCTTCGTCGTCGTCGTCGTCGCGCGATATTATCTCTCTCACCTTTCGAGCATCTCAGATAAGCCGCTCGGGAGAGTCGCCGCGATAGACCCGCGGCGTGTTCTCGTGATCACGCGATTTTTACCCCTTTTAATCTACGCGCCACGCAAGACGCACACGAGCGCGCTCACGCGACTGACAGTCCCCGCACGGAATACCCGTGCAGCTTCAAATCTTGTCGGGCTATCTTTTTTCGATATTCACTCGGTGAAGATGTCGGGCATTCCGCAAAGATTGTTCTCGCTAGCCCACGAGTAAAGTCGGCATTCGTTCGTTTATTATTCGCGAATAAATTGCGAACGCGCGGAGGTTGAGATTGAATTGTTCCGCGTCGCGCGTCGATATGCTTCCCAGTATTGTGCGCTTTCGATTCGACTCGATTAGGATCGAGTTGAACACTGCATCGGAGTCTCGTGCAACACAAGACACGTCCCGACCGTAGGGAGTGCACGGCGCCAGCGATACGGGCTTCGGAGGTAGTATATACGATACGCGAGGGGTTTCTCCTCCGCGATTAACTTCCAGCGGCTGTGACGGCGGCGGCGACGGCGGCGGCAGCGGCGGCGGCGGCGGCGGCGGCGGCGGCGGCGACAGCGGCGGCGGTGGCGGCGGCACTCGGCAGCGGCAGAGCGACGACGACGACGACGGCGGTGGGGGTATACCGTGACGGCTGCATCAAGCGCGTACCACGAGTTTTCGGACGGCAGCGTCGCGAGACGGTCTCTCTGCCCGCGGCTCTGTTTCTTTCTGCTAGAGAGTTTTCTTTGTCGTCGCATTTTTCCGTCGGCTCTTCACTCCTCGCGACCGAGCGGGATCGCGCGCGCGCGCGCGCGCTCTTGCTGACGCTCCGAGACGCGAATTTTCACGCCTGTGCACGTTATCGCGAGTGACTCGACGCATGTTTTGCCTCTTCTACGTGCGCCCCAAGATACTGTGACAGAGTGCGAGACCTCTTCGACACCCTCATGGTCAGCGATCACCGCGGACACCTGTAAGGTAACTATCTAAGCAAACGAGAGAGAGAGAGAGAGAGAGAGAGAGAGAGAGAGAGAGAGAGAGAGAGTACTGTGTATAAATGTGTATGTGTGTATACGTATTCGTCGAAAGTCGAGCGTGGTCGATACCGGAAATTGAAGGTTTTGTGGCCGATGACCGATATAGGGTCGACATTTCTTTAAAGACATCTCGGAAAATCGGTAGTGTGCTGTTCAGCCCGCGTGTTGAATTGCGCACGAAAATTATCGATCCGATCTTGACTACATTTTCTTACACTTTCTACATATTAAATGTAGACGAGTGGTAATGTCTGAAGGAAGGGAAAAATGTGTAAAATTGTAGAAAGTACAGCTGAGAGAAGAAGCAGTTTCAAACGTATCGCGTATAGCGTGCTCAATGTTTTAAACCGACGCTTTATAAGCAAATAAATGAATAAAGGAAACACTCGCGTGCTGTTTTACTGTTCAGTCAACGCTTCCGTTATCATTTGTGTACGGCGCTTAAGCACCGTACACAAGTATCACGCGATAAAAATCGTAGCGAAAGAAAGCCAAGATGATCAAACCTCCCTGCGGCGAAGAAGGAAAAAAGGAAAACGGACCGTTCCGCTTTTCCGGGCTTCTTTTTCCTCTCTCCAAGCCGTGCGTTAGCAAATCGTTGGCCTAATTTAGCCTTTCCTTGAACTTTGTCGGTTATTGGATCGTCTTTCAAGTGCTTGAATCGCCTCTTGTTGGCTTCCTTCGAAGCACGTTCACACACACACACACACACACACATCTGGTGTGACATTCCACGCTGAGATATCTTGAACGTTATCGGGCAAAAGTTGAAAAATATTGAGATCTTTTGTGAGAATTACTGAAGATTCGGAGCATCGTCTACTCCATAGCCGCTTTGCGCGGGATATAATGTGCTCTTCTCGAAACCACCGGGCAATGCACTTTTCCCTCAAACGAAACGTAACGGTACGCACGGCACGAGTAAACGACGCGGTAAATGCGGCAAAACGTGTAGCGAGAACGGATCGTTGCTTTGCCGATCACTGTTGTTCGACCACTGTAATCCGTTCGGCATGGCACGGCACGTCGCGTCACGTCGTGCATCGCCGTCCGCGAGTGTAGAAGAGAGCTTGGAAAATTGGTGGCGATAACGCCGCGTTGAAACACGTGTTGTGATGCTGCCGTTCCGCAGTTGTTAAGCGCCCCGATGGACGAGAACCTTGACGCGCGGAACGCGCACGCGCGCGCGCGCGCGATTAGCGCATCTTTAAATCGTCGTGGAGCTCGCGCGACGTCACGCAAGGATACGATAAAGCGACACATTCGAGTAAAAATGTCATTGAGAGAGAGAGAGAGAGAGAGAGAGACATGTAGGGGTGAATTCCTGACGGGAGCGTGCGCGATGGGAATACATTCCCATCGAGTTAATTAATTTAGCGTCGACGTCGACGGAGACGCTCGCTATATTCGGAATAGTGTCAAAAGTCACCGACCCCGCGGACACGAGGGAGTTCAAATAAAAAGCTCCTGATGTATCTATATATATAAACAAAACGATATCGAGCTTGCACAACGGCTCGACCGATTTTCCATAATTTCGAGGAACTCGGTGTATGCGATTACATCGTGAAAAAATCTCACATCCATTATTGATATCGAGTTGTTCAATTCGATCGACTTCTCGCCGAAAGCAATCGGGCAATCCTTTGCCCACTCGGTAGTGAGAAATCTTCGCTAGTAATAAACAGTCGCTGCGAAGTGTCGAAGTAAGAGCTCGCAAGCAGTCCGCGGGCGGAGCACTAAAATTAGAGAAAATCCGCGTGGAATTCGCGTGGCCGGTGTGGCTATTATCGCTTTACGACGGCCGTAAGTAACTGTTGTTGTGCGTTAGTAAATTTGACGTAATGCACCGAAGAGGACACAACACCTCTCTCTCTCTCTCTCTGTCTCTCTCTCTCTCTCTCTCTCTCTCTCTCTCTCTCTCTATCTCTCTCTCTCTCTCTCTCTCGCCGCAAGACATGTATTCTTGGCGCACGTTTCTCGCGTAAAGCGCCAAAGGCGCCGCCGATTCTCGCACCGTCTGGCGGCTTCACGTCTCGGCATCGCACGTGAGAGCCGGCATCGTTCGCGATCGATCTTAACGTCGTCCGGCAAACGATTTAGCCGCCACCGGTACGTGCCATCGTCGGGGTCAACGGCCCGGCGCGTAATCGCGCGGCTACTTCGCCCTCGCGCGTAATCGGACCGCTCTTAAAAATAATGCACTCTGCAACCGTCCCGTCACGCTAACGCTCGCGATTCGAGCGCCAACGAATTGAAACGATCGTCGCTACGTTTTCCTGCTTCCCAGGACTGCTTCCAATGCAGTCGGATGCTCGCTGTCGCAGCGGGCGACATGAGCGACATGAATTCAGCTGGCAATTAAGACATTGTGACACGGCGATCATTGAGACCGGCGCGACGTCGCGCCGTAACTATTGTATGTAACAATAGGTGTTGAATTTGTCAGAGATGCTCAAGAGAAGGAAGCCTCCGTTCGATAAGACTTCTAAAACACGCTGCGCCCCCCCCCCCCCCGCCGCGGTACCGAACAATAGTTTCTCCGGTCGCTGGAACATGTGAATCGAAAAGAAGCATTGAACGGTTTAAGACTTAACTGTTTTGTTTTCTTCCGATTTTTGTTTCTCCAACGACGGAAATGAAGAGGAGCTCGGCTCTCCTTCTCTCGAGAGAAGCAAAGTTCAGATAGATTCTCGCGAACTAGCGAGCGAGCGAGCGCCCCCACCTGTTTCTTCTTCTTCTTCTTCTTCTTCTTCTTCTTCGCCATCCAGACTGGTTCCGGTCATGGACCACGGAGCAATGCAGATGCGTGAAGCCGCTACACGCCTCCATTCTTCGCGCGCGCATTATCATAGAGAGAAGCGCTCCGCTTCTCGCGGCGCGATGCGCGAATCGCGAATCGCTTTTACAACGCGTCCGCGATCCGCAGTGGCCGTGAAAAGCCGGCGCCGGCGATGCCGCGCGCGACGATAACGAGCCGGATTAACGCATCGCCGGAGTGAATTCGTTAAGCGGCGAAATCGCGAGCGAAATACGTGGGGAAACGCTTCCTCTCACGACCGAGTGGAAACGCGAGATCGAACGAAAGCGCGTCTCTTTGCAGGGAGATGCTGCCTTTTCGAGCATCGAATGCGCCGTTCGAGCGGTAATTCTTGCATGAATGCCTCGGTGGGAAGACAGACAGAGAGAGAGAGAGAGAGAGAGAGAGAGAGAGAGAGAGAGAGAGAGAGAGAGAGAGAGAGAGATCGCGGTCCATTTGTTCCAGATCTTTTCTCTTCTTGCGGAGATTGTTGTTCGACTCTTTCACAGTGTTGAGCGCGGATAAAGGAAGATGGAAGAAAGACCCGCGAGCTCTTTCCACGCAATTTGCTCGTTTTATTTATCGCTCGGATAATTTATTTCGCAAGAGTTAATTAGCGGGCTTATCGGGTGCGAGATAACTGTGTATAATTTCACGCTCAGAATCGTCAGAATCGTTATTGTGCCGGCAGAGATACATTCGCACGTGATGATAGCTGAATAACGCTCGCAGATGCTCGTATTTTATTTGGATAATTCGTAATTTCATTGTTCGCGATGCATTCCAATATTAATAACGAGAGCGATGTCGGTTGCGAATCAGTGCCGCGTGTGCAATTCGACAGAGGCCCGGCCGGCCAATTAATGATATAAAATGCGCGCACTCGCGCGACATTTTGCCCGTGGTGCGCGATCCTTGCGAAGTGCGCACATTTCGTTTCCTGATTACACATTATAAGAGGCAAATAGGCTCTCGGATCTCGGCGGATGTGCGGAACGCTGCTGCGTTTATCCCACGCACAGCGCTCGCGTATCAATAGCGAAATGTGAAATTTCGCGAAAGTAGGTAGCTTTTGGAATCGAAACAATAACAACCGCGAGCTGTCCGTGAGACGCGACGGTGAAATCGCCAAAGTGCGAGCGATGAATGAAGACCCGAAGTACGCAAAGATGTCGCGAGAAGAACGGCAGACACGGGCTTATTATACGCACAATGGAGAGAGACGGCGAGAGTATTTGGGTCGCGCGAGTTAATTTCGCATCATTCTTTCGTTTGTTATGTACCGACGATTATAACACGTCGCCGTGTTTCTCGTAACCGTTCGCGCGTGTCGGGATGTCGTTTGCTCGAGAGAGCGCGCGCGGGGCGCTCACCTGTCTTTTATGTCTCTCTTCGCGCGTTTCGCTACTCGGCTTTCAGCTACTCGGGATGATTTGATCAGGGGGGGTAGAGCCTTCTCGGGCACTCTCGGTTGAAATCGCCATGGACGCGTATTGGATACCAGTTTCCTGAGCACCAGACGACGACGACGTTTACGCACGCACCAAGGGAGGGATACTTCCGCGTTCGCACGCGGAAGTAGCTGACGGTGAATGAAGTCGCACGCAAGCGAGATGAGGACTCTCGAGGTTGTGGAAACCTTATATAGCGATAACGCTTCTTCGGATCTTTCTGCCTGAAAATCGCAAGAGTCATTATCTTCCGAGTATTTTTGTTCCGAGACAGAAGAGAGAGAGAGAGAGAGAGAGAGAGAGAGAGAGAGAGAGAGAGAGAGAGAGAGAGAGAGAGAGAAGAAAAGTCCTCGCCGTAAAAGTTCATTGTTCATCAGGGCTCCGTGTTTCGGTCGCGGCGCAGCATGTGTCCCCGTAAACACACAATTCTCCTTCTCGGGCCTTCTCGATCGGATGCGGGCCGCGCGCGCATCTGGCTTTGCAGTTCTCGAGAAACCGGTCGGCATTCTCGTCAAGGCTTTTCCATCTTCGGCCGAAAGCGCCGCTGTGCGGCTATAATTAGCCGCCACGCGGCCCGCTGCCAAACGCTCTCCGTCGTTTCCTCCTTATGAGTTCCACGTGGAAATGCGCGCGGGTCGCGACAAGTCCAAATATAATCAAGGTACTTGGGCATGGAGAATAAAGGACGATCTCCCCCGTGCACTTTTCTCCGCTAAATATACAGCACGGTGGTGGTTGCTTTATCCGCGGAATCGCGGGAGACGTGTGCGGTTATCTCTCTCAGGCGATCCGTACCAAGTAGACGTTTTATTTAAATCTGCCCTTTCGCGTGATTGCGGTTAATTAACACCTTTTTGCACTCACGGCAGCGGTGATTAGCATCTCTCGCTCGCTCGGCGGTACCGCTTGCGTAATCTGTCATATTTTCACGGGAAACGACATTACGGTGAGAATGCGCGTCGGTTCCGCGAGAAGTCTAGGAAAAAAAGTCACGAAATTACGCTCATTAAGGACTGGCGGTGAGTGGTAAGATGCTCATGAACGAGGAAGAGAATCAGACCAAGTCGCGCCGCTGCTCAATTGGAGTGTCAGCTCTAACGTTTCTGCTGCACACTGCTGCCAGGGAAGAAAGAATTAAATCAGATGTTATCACCGTGAAATATCCCGTTGAAACCGTAATGACGTTAATCATCACGGATGGATCATCACAGATTCGCGTAGCTGGTTCCAGTGTAGAATATACTGCGAGTCAAGACCAAGCCACATTAGGAGTTCTCCGGTGATACTAATGATAAAATCGGTCGGACAAAACGGATCCGATCGACGAGCTCGGGGCGGCTCGCTATCGATCCTCCGCTGAACGTGTGCCGGCCGTCGGTCCGTCGCGTTTTACGCAACAATAGAATTAGCGCGGTTGGAAAATCGCCGGTATTACGGATTACTCAATTTCGACCACGATGCGCCCTGATGTTTGCGTTTGTGACTCACGCAGCAGCACGGCGCGACGTAATGTCGCCGAACCGGATTACGCTGGCCATGAAACATGGTACATAAAGGCGAAAATCCCCTTGTCACCCCTGTTCTCGTTGTCCCTTCCGGCGACCTAAGTTTCACCCTCGTCTGTACTTTTTCTTATATATATAGTTACCACGCGCGAACACCATACTCGCGCTATGTACGCGCTATATGTGTATAATGTACGTTCGCTTCGCGAGCGTATACCAGGCGTCGTACAAAATTCGCGACACCTCATTGACGGCACGAGTCTCGGAGAAAACGTCGACGTTGAGCGCGAGATTTACGCGAGTCTATGAGATCGAGTCCTCGCTAATTCATCGTCTATCGCCTCGTTGAGGGATTGAGTGAAAAAACTAGTCAACAGCTGGCTCGATATTATTTCAGTGCTTTTTTTTTTTTATCTTTTACCGTGCCTAGTGCAATAAAAGTGACATCGATTGGTATCATGAGTTGAATTTCATATCGCTGTCTTTCGCACGTTCACCGGGGCAATACGTGTTTTACTTCAAGACACACGGTATGCACACGCGACGCACACGTGCATCGAGTGCGTGCATGTGCGTGTGTGTGTGTGTGTGTGTGTGTGTGTGTGTGTGTGTGTGTGTGTGTGTGTGTGTGTGTGTGTGTGTGTGTGTGTGTGTGTGTGTGTGTGTGTGTGTGTGTGTGTGTGTGTGTGTGTGTGTGTGTGGCGCACTTTGGCTCTCCCACAATCGATCGAACGCGCGCCGCTCGTGTGTCGTACACTCTCGAGCTAGACGATGCACGACGCAAGTTGCATGCACTCGTATGCACTTTCGGGCATTGTCGTGCGAGCGCAAGTGCCAGATGGAATACCCGGATACCCGAGGGAGAACGAGCACGATGTTTCTTCCCTTTGAATCCGACAAAAGCTCCTTTTACAGAGAGAGAGAGAGGAGGGGGGGAGAGAAGAGAGAGAGAGAGAGAGAGAGAGAGAGAGAGAGAGCACAACACTCCACGTCGCATTCGCATGAATTCGCTGAACAACAGCGGACCGACTGTGTGACATCCCGTGTGACGTTTGAAATCTCGGATTCTTATCTCCGATGTTACGATCCCGAATTGCACTATGAGCCTCGATACGTCGTCTCGTATATCGTATATCGTATCGTGTGTGTGAGCTTTTATTATCTGCAAAAATCTTTATCGTTCCTCGCTCTTACTTTCAAGACAAGACTGCTCGATATTTACGCGCGTTCTATCCGTGTGTTCGGAAACGCGCACTATTTTGCGAATTTTCATCATCCTCGCGGATTCTCATTTCGCAACAACATGCAACTCGCGGCACCCCGGGGACTTCCATCTGCGAAAGTGATTTTACACGCGCTCCGGACAGCTACAGAGCCGAGAGCGTCTGTTCTTTGATGGGATGAAACATCTCTCTCTCTCTCTCTCTCTCTCTCTCTCTCGTATGTGTGCTCGCGCGCATGCGCGTGTATGCCCTCAGCATCTCGTATGAAAGTACGTGAGATTAAAAACATGCTGCTCTGCTTTTTATTCAAGCGTCTGGAAAGCACATGCATATTATTCAATGCACAATGTCATAATTTCGCAAGCCTTAGCCAACGCAATAGTTTGCTGTTGCAAAGTCCGTTTTGATTAGAGCTAGTCTCATCTGTGAGCTACGCAAAATTTATACGAGTATATATATATATATATATATATCAGTTGTTGATTGTTTTCCTTCTTCTCGCGGTGCGTCAGTAGCGAAACATAATGTGTCTCTTATTCCGGACAAATATATCTCGTCCGCGCGAGCCGTGAGATCCGACACCAACACCGGGTTAATTAATCTTGCATTCCGCCCGACACGGCCCACCTCGCCACTCGTATGAATATTTCACTTGTGTGTTGCAGAATTAAAGTCGGATGGCTGTTCGCACGAGGCTCGTGCGCAGGAGCGCGGTGAAGCACGGCAAACGCAACAGCGATGACGCTACCAGTTTCCAGCTATGAGGAACTTCTCGTCCAAGTGCGCGAGCTCACTCACGAGACGATCCTCCTGCAGCGCCAATTGTCCTCCGACCTCTTCGACAACACTGATCCACCGGACGTGAATCACAATTTCTCCTTCGCACGAAAGAACTATGAGAAAGGTAAGGCGATGCATCTCTCTCTCTCTCTCACTCGGTCGACTGGAATCGATAAATTTCTCGCGGTCTCGGCATTCCGTATCTCGATACTGATAAAGAAGTCGTTGACTCTTTTCTTGATAGACTTGGGAGATAGTTGTCGTGTGAAAATGTTGTAGACGAGGTGCGAAGGTTCTATCGATTCTCTCATCGTGTAGTCGGCGGCGCCTCGGCCTCGATGTATCGATCTTGTAAGACTACATTTCTTATGTCGGTCTAGTCTGGAGGTAACTATACTTACGTATGACAGCGCAGCTGGTGCATTGAACTCTCGTTGAGCCTCGTGGTCGCGGCAATAGCCTTAACTGCGAGAGGATGCAAATGAGCGCCCGGCAAAAAGCTACATAAGCGATAACGCGAATTTGTGCATGCTGAATTATTCATGTCTTATTAGCCTCGTAAAATAGCATTATGTTTTATATATATATATAGAGAGAGAGAGAGAGAGAAAGAGAGTAGTGAAAGAAAAAAGAAAACAATAACGACCAAGACCTACCAAGCGGTACTATCGATGGCAGATCCGGATGGCAGACGCTCGCGTGAGAATTTTTCAAGGTATTCGGGTTGTTAAAAAGTCGCGCTCGAATGCTGAGGCTAAGGTGGAGGAGCCCTCTTTACACGTCTAGGTGCGTTATCAAAGCGGACAGGTTTATTCGAGAATCTCCGAGATAACCCTCGCTCGTAGACTCTCGATTCCCCGATGGTGTTATCTATGCTAGACGATCCCCGATCGTCGACGAGGTCCGATTTGAGTCCTTTATACGGACGGGAGATCCCAGTTCCAGCCATCGATGCTACGCTATGGCAAGTGGCGTCTAGAGGACGTCGAAAGCCAACGGTTGGACCGATGCCATCTAGATGCCAAAGCGCTTCACGTCGGGGAATAAGGCGGGCGGGCCGAAGGGAAATACGAGGAGCGAGTCGGAAAAGTCGGGAGTAAAAGCACCGTGACATCTCCGAGAGCAAGAGTTCCACCACTGGCGGCGGCTCTCTTGCCGACGCCGCTCGAAAACTGTCACAGCCAATTCCGCCTCGTCCACCTCCGCCGGCGAGAGCTCGCTTTGCATCGCGATGTCTTTACTCGTTATCCCTCTTGTATCTCAAGACAAGGCGAAATCAATGCAATTGCCAAACCCCATTTATCCTTGCCAACATTCAGTGATCATATCGAGAGAGAGAGAGAGAGAGAGAGAGAGAGAGAGAGAGAGAGAGAGAGAGAGAGAGAGAGACTCCTTCTTTTATATTCCGATTATTTTATAAATATAGAATGATATTCTTTCTTTCTTTCTTTCTAAAGTAGAAACGAAATCAATCGGCAACGAGAGAGAAATAGTCGAGAAATAGTCTTTTCTCTTCAGGTCGATCGACACGTTCGGTATCGATAGCAAGTTTCAGTCCGTTGCACAATATTTTGCCACTCTGTGCACGCTCGCACGCGAGGAACAGTTGCGAAATGACGGCGATCTATCAAAATTCCAAATGAATTTGGAATTGCGCGATAGATCTCCAGCGACTTGCGTGTGCAAACTTGCGAGAAATTCGTAATTTTAACAAGAAATAACGCGAGGTTTACGCTAAACGTGGCGGCTCGCTCTCGTCTTTCTTGCATCGCGAGATACGAGAGTCGCTTGAAATATAGTTTCAGCAAGGTTACACGAATATTATTATTTCAAAAGACCCGAAATACGATACGATACGTACAAGAGGAATTATTTCTATCGTCTCACGCTGACGGTATAAAATGTCTTCGAGAAGACGCACGAAAGAGAATGGATTTTTTGAGTAAGTGTCATTCACCGTTTATTCTAACACATCAACATTTTTGATTGTTCGGCACGACATTCTGGGCCCATCAGAAACAGAAACCTAACATCCGTTTGAAATAGCAATACCTCAAATACCAATTTCAAATAGTCAATAGCTCGACTTTGTTCAGTCCCTTTCGAGGTTCGATTACGCGCGGCGAGTATCGCGTATTTACACGCTTTCGTCACTGCGCTTTCAGCATCGTCGAGTGCGCCGTCGAGCTTTGCATACAATGCATGACGGGGTAGCAGTCGTAATGAGGTGAAGATAAATATTAATCCGGATTATCAATCCGGCTTAACATTTGATTTTAGCACGCTGTAATTTCTCCATGTCAGCAGTCTCCTCCTCTTCAGCGACATACGACGTATTTTGAAAGTGTGATTTTCCTGTCTATTCTACATATTCTATATTCCTCTCGATCACATTCGCAGTATTAGACACATTTGTAAAGTGAAAATTCTGACTCTCGATTTTATTCTTGTACTTATCGTAAAATCACGCTCTCTTATTCCAACCCGATTTTCAGAGTTCTCAATAATTCATAGCATCGGCAGACATTACGACATAAATAGGCATCCCGTTATTATACAGAAACATGCGGGGAGACTCGAGTTTACGATGTCGGGAAAAGAAAACAGCTACGAGCTGTTTTCGGTATCCGCCGTTTCATCGACGATTTCTTCCACGAGCCACGAATGGCTGAGTTCTGTACGTCGTTCCTTCACGGTTTACTTTCTTCCTCCCGCAGACACACGGCTATTTTTGAAAGAGTCGTCGACCAACACGAAGAATCCGTACGGTTGTCCGTCATATTTTAAAACCCAGTTGACCCAGTGACATTATTCTTTTGTGTGATCTCCAGAATCATTAGCAGAGAGAGAGAGAGAGAGAGAGAGAGAGAGAGAGAGAGGGATTCGAAGCAGAATAGTTTAGTTTACAATCATTTAATTAAGACAATCGTGCATTTTGACATTCAATAATTAATAATTGATTTGCGCAGTAACAACCACGCTCAGGCTCTTGTTAGCCTTCGTCTTAGCTTTCCTTTTTAGTTTCTACAGTTTCTTTTTTATCTTGAGAGTAGGTAAACGACAGCTATCTGAGTAAACTTGTCAATCGGACAAGGAAAATCCAAGAAATTCGGATATGTTCTTCTCTTCCTTTCGGCGACGATGGGAGAAAAAAAGTTGAATGTTACGCCAGAATGTGTTCTCGACACGCATTACTTGTACAATGCAATCTTGTGTTGCAGAAAAGTTCCTGACGGATAACGTGGTACGGCAGTATGACAAGACGCGGGAATACGAGACAGGACAAAGTCCTCTTGCCGAATGCAAGTGAGTACCTCTGATCAAAGTAATAGCGTAAATACAAGAAAAATATATTATACTTTTGACGCTAAATCACGAGACCGCTAAAACGAGTTTGCGTTCCCAAGGGGTCGAAGGGTTTCGCGAGTGAGAAGCGACAAAGAACCGTTGCATCGAACAGAAGCTCTTCGGGAAATATTGCTCTTGTAAGAGCAATTCCATTTGCGGAGCTTCGAAGTGCACGCGACGTCGTCCTCTTTTATCTTGGCGCGACTATCGCATGGCGCTCGCATATCGCTCGAATAAGTCTCGATAAATCGCGATGAAGCTTGCTCACGCGCGTGCTCTTTCATGCGCATACACGTGTCTCTTACACGTATATACATTACGCGTTGCGACGTAACGTAACGTCACAACGTAACAGAGTTGTAAAAGCGAAATAAATCGCGGACCATAAATCCAACCGATCCAACCAGCCCCGCGGTGCGTGTACTGTCTTTTTTTCACTTTCACCTCTATTAATAGACTCATCTCGCGAGTAGAGCTTATCGCGCCGGCGCGATGACTAACGTTAATCGCGCATTGTTGCAGCGATTTGAGATTCCGGCCGAGATACTGTCACGATTCGGAATCGTCCGAGAGCGCACGATCGGGCGAGCTGACCAGTCGACTTTTAGCCTGGCGAAGTCGCGACCGCTACCCGATAATATTTCAGGTAAGTCACTGCACCTGTTCTGTGCACAACTCTCGTGCGAACTGCTACGCGCATCCTCGTCGGCGTATCTATCGATCGATCGATCGATCGAGGCGAATCTGCGCGCCCAAACAACCTGCCCTCCCTCCCCCCATCCGCAAGGCAGGTGGCAACGTTTCTTCATGTCCTTGCGCCGCCGCGCTCAGCTGCGAATTCTTGTCGCGTGCGCGATTGATTTATTCCTTTTACCTTCGCTTTTTACCTCCGCCTCGTCGTGACATTGCATGCCGCCGCACGACGATCGTTTTAATTTCTTCAGCTGATGAATATTTCCGCGCACAATTCGGGAGGGGGATGGAATTTCAAAGCGGACAGATTTAAGGGGATTTTATTGTTATTTTCACATTGGACGAAGATTCGAGTCCACTTACGTCGTCGCCACCGCTCGAGAGCCAACCCTCTTTGGCTCTCTCGCGCTTTCTTCGTGAATCGTCCGTCTCGTAATTGCGCGGGTAACGCATTTACGCTAAGCGCGGTGTGGTGCACGCGTCGTAAAGCGCTAGCATTAATGACCATAATACGCTGAAGTGGCGAACAAGGTAATACGTGGCATCCGTGCTAATTTGTCTCGGTCCGACCTACGATGCAGTTGCTGCCGCGCGAGTGAACTGTGCCTCGTAGCTCAAAGTTAACACGGGATGATGCACTCGCGTGTGTGGCGTTCATTTTAATAATTATCCCTCGAAAATCGTATCATATTAAAAGTAGATGTCGGTCGACAAGGCGAATTTCGCGCTGAAGCGGGAAGCTTCAGGGTCTGGTTGAAAAAAGATCCGCGACGACCGGCAGCATCATTTTTCGTGAACTCTGCTCATGTGTGAATATCTTTCTACAAAATAAAAATATACACGAAGGAGATGGTTCTGCGAGATGTTTCGGTTGTAGTAAACACATCGATAACGATGACACGCTCGAATTCATGTTGCGATAAATCGTTCTCGCTGCATCCAGCGGCCGTCGTACTAAACTTCGGCACATTCAGGCTCGTGCGTTCAAGGTCGCAGGATTATATGCAGCACGCATGCACACAATGGCTCTCCGCGTATTTCTCTTTTTTTTCTCTCTTTCTCCCCTACGCTCGCCCTTCACGTGAGAGAAACCGGAGCATACACGATGAAAAGAGGAGGAGGCGGGGGGGGTGGGATTTAATTCGCGAGCATGCGCTGCATCTATGGGGGAATCATCGGTGGGGTTGCCACCACCCTGCTGCCACCGCGCTGCCTGATGTTATTGATCAGGGACCTCTCTTTCTCCCCCCCCCTCTCTCTCTCTCTCTCTCTTCTCTCATTCCCACAAAATGGCTAAAATATATCGCACCCTGGGACACGGCAGATCGCGCCCCCTCTGCTCTTTCTCGTCCTCTCTCCTTCTTCCTCCAGGCACGCCAAAATTCCGCACTGCGCGAGCTATGTTCGCGGAGAAGCCTGCGCACATTGTATCGCGAATATCGCGAATTACGGGAGTATTAATCGCGAGACGTTACGAGTAATTTACGGTGGCAGATTTTACAATACACGTTGCATGCGCGCTAGCGATCGAGTCAGGGGGAGGGGAAGGGGGCGGGGAACAATACGGATGATATATCGCAAAATCTTCGCACGAACCAAAAAATATCAATACAGTATAGAATGATAATTTGCCACATCTTGCCGTTGTTTGTTTACGCGAACATTTCTTCTTTGTTCTGGAATAATTTGGTATTTAGAAGAACAATATTTAGTCTTTGAAAGTTCTCTCGACTTCAATGTTCTCGGACTTCGCGGAATCTGTCGACGCGTTACGCTAATGCAGATTGACATAACTCGTGGTCACTTTCTTTGATTCAGCAGCTGTGAAGTTCGCGTTGTATCGCGTTGCAACGCGGGTCTAAAATATATACCATTTATCCTTTGCATTCTCGTGCGCGTGACAGTTCTTGCAATCGAGCGACGTACAAAGCGGCTTATTGACATTTCATCGGTTTATACACGCTCGCAGAAATCCGATCAATCTTACGGAAAAATTCCAACGACTGTCGATACGGCAAAGCGAAGTGGACTTGAGTTAAGTTGCTCTACGACCGTCCACTTGCATCAATTAAGTGTTTCCTCGTCGAGTGAGATTATCCACCTAATAATAATAATAATAATAATAATAACAATAATAAGAGTCCACTCGATTAATGAAATGCGTGATTGCTAAAGAGAAGAAGCCGAGCTGCTGATTAGATAGACACGAGGAGAGCCCCTGGATGCTCGTCCGCGCGCGATACAACGGCGCAAGAAGCAGTGAAAGGAAGAACTTTGTCGATTAGAAGATACACCCGTAAGAAAGTCCGTCAGTGATCCTCCACGAGGAGAAACCTAATAATATAAGTTTTCAATGGAGAACGAAAGGGACGGAAGGCGCGAGATGTGTCGAGGGACACAATCGCCCTTTTCGACGATTGATTAAAGCGTCAAGAATGTCGAATACGAGAGATGTAGAAGCAGTCGATAATATATCACAAACCATCGCGAATAATTCCTCACTAAGTCGCGTGGAGTCGCGGAGAATCGCGGTGAACGATATATTCTTCGCTGAGGTAGACACGCATAAATCACGCAGACTGATATCACGGCGGAAGATCGCTTCGTGTCGTCGTGTTCCGTCGAGGAGCGCGACGCTGATAAACAATTCGTCATTTAATCCAAATCGATCGCGAGACGTCGAGAACACACACACACAAAGAGTCTGGGGGCGTGCATTTCCCTGTGAAGGAACGACCGTTTGCTCACAGCGACCCCTCCTAATTAAACAGAGAAAAGAAAAGCTGCTCGACGGCCACGTAGGATAGAAGAAAGAAGCGATCGCTGGAGCGACGAGGAAACGTCAATGGGCGCGATGGAGAGGACAGGCTAGGGAGAGAAAGAGAGCGCGAACGAGAGGGGGAGCGGGAGATAAGAGGAAGGGGAGGGATAGATCGTGTGAGTCAGTGATGGCGTGTACAGCAGCAGCAGCCAGCCAGGCCAGGCCAGGCCGCCGAGCCCAGCTGTTCTTCGATCCCCTAACCTACGTCAGTTTATTTCAGACACTAACACTGAGCGCGCGGTCTCTCGCGGAGCAGCGCTCGTTCGCTCGCCCACCGAGAGTCGAGCCTCTGCGCGACTGCAGTCTCGTTAACGCGCGAGACTCTCGCGCGACGCAGCTCCTTCTTACACACACGCCTCTTCTTCTTCGGTTCGTTCTTGCTCGTCGACGACGGAAAACACCGATCGACCGACGTGGTCGATCTGAGCGAGTCAATCGTGCTTCGCGAGGAACTTTCGTATACTCTATCCGTGTTTACTTACGCGCGCGATCGAGTGACGACACGCGATACGGAACCTATCGCTGATTGTGCGCTGCGCGCGCGCGTGTGTGTGTGTGTGTGTGTGTGTATGTGTCATTTGATTATTGTTGATCTGATTATTGCGCCAAAGTGACGCGCGTTTTTCTCCTTCTTTCTCTCTCACTCTCTGTCTCTCGTTCTATCGCTCTGTCTCTCTTTCTCGATCGGCGGCGAATCCGTTCTCGAAGCAGCCGGTTTTCACTGTGTGTTCCCCTTTCCGTTCACCGCGTATCACCGACTCGCGGAATTCCTCCGTCGTCTCTCCGATTTCCCTTTAATCGCCTTGGTCGTTCCGACGATGCGCAATGTACCCACGCGTATCTCCGGTGGCCGATCTTCTTTGCCAGTGTAACTTGACACAGTGACGAGATTACGGTGTAATCTCATTCTCGTTGACTGATCGCTGGACTGAGTTTCAAGAAAGACGAGACTTTAGTAGTAGACTTGTACTTTACTCTATTTGCCGTGCATTCAACGCTAAACGTGATAATCTAATTTTTTACGTCACACATCTGCGCGGAATATGGCGTCTCTCCTTCGACATACTTACTTTTCACGCGCTATCTGTAGTCGAGTGAATTAACATTGTTCAACAATGTAAAGCGTCTCTTGCTCAAACACTCGCGGTTTAATCGGAACAATAAAATAGAGGAGGAAACTTAATTGAGACGCGCGCGCACGTGTATCCCTTTCTCGCCGCGTTCTCCTCTTCCTGCTGGCATTTTCTCCATGGGAGAGGCAAGCGGATGAGTCAATAAGGCATGCCATTGATATTCCGCAGAGCCGATCGGGACGACTGAGACTAGAGGATCGATTGAGAGCGCATTTCCGGTTGTAAGACACCGTCGAAACATCCTGTTGTGCTCGAAAAAGAGGAACTCGCGGCCGCGGTCGCCGTTGAAATACGATCGATCCGGCGATTATTAACCGGCCGATCGGACAGTGTGTCGCCGGTCGTATCGGCGTATATAACGGCGAACGAAATCGGGGGGAACGCGGCGATCAACTTTCGAGGGAAACCGAGGGGTACGCGCACAGAGCGAGCGGAGCGGAGCGGAGCGGAGCGCAGCGCCGCGCGCTTGACCGTGTCGCGTGATATATCCGATCGTGCGCGACACGCACGTGCGTATCCGTGCGCCGCGTGTGGCGTGTCGAGTCGAGTCGCGTCGAGTCGCGTCGCGTCGCGTTTGCGAAACGGCGTCGGCGGCGTCGTGTGGGTTGCGCGAGCGTGCAGCTGTGCAGCTACAACTACAACTATAAATGGAACATGTGAGGCATTGACACGTATATCACGGGGGAGAATCGAACAGCGGGGAACGATCGAGACTGTTTCGCGCTGCCTTAAATAGAGAACGGCCAGCCTCGACGATGGTGCGCCAGTGAGTTTAACACGGCGACGACGACGGGCGACATTCGTTGTACGGAGAATGTTCGACTGTCGCTCGGGGAGACGAGCGGGGAGACAACTTTGCCTTTGGCGGGGAAGATCTGTGATTAGACACGGTCGCCCGGCGACTGTGTCTCGAGTGTTGGCTGATGAATGCGCGCTGTGATAGCATGACCGAAATTGAATTGAAGGACGGACAGTGCACGTGAAATGTCTCGATGCTTTACCGATGCTTTATTCAATATCGTCTGCAGTTGCGCGCGACAAGTTGCGGGACAAGCGCGGATCACAACGTAGACCAGTGTTTGTGTTACATGGATATCTCTCGCGCGAAAATATTGCCTTCGCCAAGACGCCAAGACTTGCAGCATCTGATCCGTCCGGAAGCTACGTGATCTAGGATCGCGACGAGGACTATCGACTCGAGCAGGAGGATCGCATCGAGCAGGAGGAGGAGGAGGTGTTGTGTGAATTCGCGACGAAAAGCACCTACAACGAGGCGTCCGCCGCGCGTGATTAGACACGCGCGACTAATTGCACTCGCGAAACTCGCGCGCTGGGCTGCGCCGGGCACTTTGTGCACAGTGAAGGAAGAGAAGAAGGAGAGAGCGTCAAGGCGCTCAAGGATACTCGTGGGCCGCGATGGCGGTGATGGCAAAGCGGCGACGGCAACGGCGGCGGTGATGGCTGAAATGCCAGAGGGACGTTTTGAAAATCTTTGGTTCGACGCATGCGTCCCTTTGCACTCGGCAGCCGATGGAGCGCGATGGAGCCGCCGTCATCGTCGTCTCTGAGCTGCTGCTGCTGCTGCTGCTGCTATTACTAGACGAAAATCACAATCCGCCGTTAGTGCCCGAGAGGAAGGACGACGTCGTCGATTCGCGAATCGGTACTGATAATCGACTCGATCATTTATCGTGGGGACCGCTGCGTCGTCACGAACCTCAAAACGAGACAGTTGTTCGCTCGCGAGGTCGTCTCGATACGATCGATAACTAGTGAAGGAGAGAGACAGAGAGAGAGAGGGGAAGAGAGAGAGAGAGAGAGAGAGAGAGAGAAAAGGAGGAGGAGAGAGAGAGAGAAAAGGAGGAGGAGAGGGAGAGAGAGAGAGAGGGGGAGAGAGAGAGAGAGAGAGAGAGAGAGAGAGAGAGAGAGAGAGAGAGAGAGAGAGAGAGAGAGATCTTTCTGGAGCGCCACTGGCTGAGAGTGTTCGTCGAGGTGTTCTCGATCGGTGTGACAATTTTCAATGTGCATTCATGCGACCGTACGCGAGTGTCGGAGGAGACGGACGGTCCCTGAACGAGTGAATGTTCCACGAGACTGAATTCGAGAGATGCCAGGTGAAAATCGCGACCAGCTGGTTAGAGGAGGAGGAGGAGGAGAAGGCGGAGGCGGAGGAGGCGGTGGTAGCGGTGAAAGAGGAGGAGGAGGAGCTGACGGAGGAGGAAGCGTCCCAGGACGTAGAGAGTCCTCGAGAGGCGGCGGTGGCGGCGGCAGCGAGCCGGATCCCCGTAACCGAGGACTAACCACGATGATCCCGCTTCCGCGCACCGGTCAGTTTGCGTCCGCCTCGCAGAACCAGAAGATCGCCAAGACGGAGAAAAATCGGCTGAGACTGATCATGGAGAGCCGCGGCGCTGTCGCCGTCAGCGACGTCCTTGACAAGGAGCAGCGAATCGGCATGCGGGTGGACACCTCGCAGGACAACTGGCGAGTGTCGTCGGCGGCCAACTGCTCGACGATCGCGCGTCTCCGCGGGGAAGCCGGCGATACGCGTCGGGACGAAAAGGTGATTCAGGCGGACCATTTCGACGAACAGAGTATACATTTAGATCGTCGTTAAATTTCCGTTTCGATGACTCCGGATTGGCGCGCTCTCGTTATCTCTTTCGTGCTTTGCGACGAGCGTGCGGAGGAGATCGTCCATTAGAGATGTATCCTTTGTTCGGATACTTTCCGATTCCACATCGGCCGTCATACTTTCCCTCGAAACGGTGTGAAAATCGCATTAGTATTCGGCGCGAGCGCGAGCGCTCGCCTAGAATTCCGGGCATTCGAGCAATTAGGATGGTTCGAGCGAGCAAAAATCTCCTCACAAACAGGGCGCATCGCGACAACTCTCGAGACATCGAACGGATATTTCGTCGTTTTCGCATCACCGATCGGCACGCTCTGTTTTTCGTTCGCGAGTGTCTTTTTTTCTTTCTTTATTGAGCTCTCGAGATTGGTCATGGAGAATGCTCGCTCGTGAGTTTGGCGTTTTTCTTCTTCTTTTCCCGTTGCAATCGCCGCGTACGAATTTTATTTTCACCAAATAGTCTCGTACGTAACCGAAACGATCGCACGACATAATTGTCATCTCTCTCCTCGATGTAGCTTCGCAACGTGGACGTTGGAGATGATTAATATTCCGAGAGTTTTGGCGGCCCCTAGAAGTCTAAAAGTCACTAGCTGTCTGGAATGCAACTCCTTGAAAAAACGCGGGCGATTCACGGCGCGCTGCGATTCGCTTTGTCACGATATTTCCCACGATTAAACCGAGGCCAAGCAACAATGTGGCGGCGCGGCTGCGCCTGATGGAAAACACGTAATAGCCACCGCTGCGGTCTAGATTTCTCGGACGGAAGCGCTTATTTAACGCGCTGTCTTAGATAACGCGCGCGCAATGGTGTGCGCAAAAAGATGCCTCTGTGAGCGCGAAGACGCCCGCGAAGACCGTTTATGTGCGTACGCACAAAGTTCGTGACTAAAATACACTTCCTCGCTTGGCCGTGTTCAGAAATAAAATTGGTCTGGCCCACAGAAGCGCTTCCGAGACTTCAACATTGTCCGTCACTGAGATCACCGGCCGGCGCGGCGCGGCGCGGCGCAGCGCGTCGTGATGCTCGCTAGATGAGAATGAAGCTGTCGGAATACGACTATCACGTTCCGATCGCCTTCTCGTCAATTATTATCTCTTTCTTGAATTATTACCGCCCTCTCCTCCCGCGGTAATCGCGTCATCGCGTTGGCGATCGTTCCGATGACACAGCGCGAGGGCCTTGCCCGTGCGTTCTCGGTAATGATACGCGCTTACAAGATTTAATGCACGATAATAACGACGATAATAATTTGGCGTTTGTCGGATAAAATGAATAAAATGAGCGAGCGCTTGCAAAAGCGGCTATCTATTCGCTGCGATCGCAATTGAGTGAGTCATTTCGCCAATTACCGAGTCATTAAACCGAGTCGGATCCCGTTCCTCTTAAATGGATCCGTCCCTCTTATCTGGATGCATCATCCGCGCGCGCTGCTGCCTCGTTTGAACGCGGCGCGCGCGGTTCAATAAGACGAATTCCGCTCACCTGGACTTTACTCGGTAAACTCGCAATGATAAGGCAGGCTTATTTCGTCGTCTGTCAGCCGCGGCGGACACGCCTCGCGCGACTTCTACGGGCGCTCGCTCGCTCGCTCGCGCGAACGCGAACTTTTGTTTGCATAGATGAGCGTATCTTTCCGATCTCGGAGCAAGTTTACGGTCGTCGGATAATGAGCTCGCGGGAGAAAGGAAACGAACGATGACGGGGTGAAAGCTAAATAAGTCTCTTACCTTGTCCTATTAGTTTCCGTCTTCGCGATTTAACGCGAGTCGTTCGGTCTCACCGCGCGCGCGCGCGCGCGCGACCGATTGTTGCGTTACGCGACGTGGAGATTATCTTCTTCGCGCGCTTCAAGCACGTTGAATCGCGAATGCGGCGAGCTCGATTCACCGATAAGGACTGATGTTTAGCCAAGCAACTCTGGATTCTAGTAAGTCTTTTGTTCGCCTCCGTGGCGGTCGGATGTGATTCCTGTAACCACGCATATTTTTTGATCGTGGGGGCTGCGTACGCGCGTTGCCCCTGTTTGTCCTTTACCTTCATAATCTTCATTAACTTCTCGGATATCCTCGTATCAACCAGGGGAATTGTCTTGCCAAAAAGCTTGCTGAAGAGAATGGACGTACCTTAATTCGTCCGGAGCCATATACTCTGGATTCTCTGGACTACTGTTGCGCCGCTGTAAATTGCTCCGTTAGTTTAATTCCACTTGGCCGAAATGTGTATACAATTGACTCTCGGTGAACTTGACTCGGGGAGCGACGTGAACGCCGGAGAAAATACGTACACGGTGAAAGTGCGCATCGAGCGAACATGTGCGCGCTTCTGTGCTCGTTCGAAGGGGTTAAACACGCTTCAATTATGCACGCGAGAGGAGATAGACTCGGACTCGAGAGAGAGAGAGAGAGAGAGAGAGAGAGAGGGAGAGACGTTGTCTTCTTCCTACCTACTGTCTAGCTACTTTCTTATAAGGTCCGGCACATTAAGATATTCATTAAGATACCGTCGAACAGGTAGCAACGGGCCGATGGCTCGGACTGGGCCCAGGTAGCAACCTGGAATCATCGCTTCGATCTAAATGAACAATTCAGCACAATAACACGCGATCAGTAATTAACCCTGTGGGCTGTGCTCGGCTATCGCCATTGTTTGCTCAGAGACGATCCTTTACAACACGTTGCGTCACAATGGTTAAGCACAAGTGATATTTTTCCAGCTGAGACTCGGTACAAGAGAGTACGAACGCACACTTTTTCCGCCCGCGCGCACAGCTTTACGTCGATGCGTCGTCGTGCACGACGTTGGAGCTCACGGAGCTGCTTATCTGGCGCTGTTCTGTTGTTATTGTGTGCGTTACCGTGCGCGTTTTCGCAACCGCGCTTCTTCGAGGTTTCTCGCACGCGTTGAAGCCTGCGAAGTTGCCACGCACAACCGCGACGCGATAAAGCGCCGCCTTGCCCACACGTAATTACGCAAGTAATCATATCGCAAGAAGCGCGCTAGTTGACGCAGCGCGGTGCGACTGTAGCACGCTGCTCGTATGCATGTCGTATGTGTATCGCGGGCCACCGCCGTTTTCATAATTGATTATTTAGACGCAGCGTCAATAATTATTTCGAATGCATGCGGTCTCGTACTTTCACCGGTAATCAAAGGAAAGTCCTATCGTCTACGGCTGACACGAGTGAGTTGGCCGTATAGAAACGACGTTAAATCGAGCGACATAAACCTGCCAGGAGCGAGTCGCTTAATTACGGGCGTTCCGAGCGTAATTGATTCCGTCGCGTAACGACTTAAATATGGTAATGAACGTTAATCTCTCCTTACATTTCCACCCACCATACACACACACATACCCATATGCGTTTGCCATTTACATCGAATGACGAATGGCGGCAGGAGGTACTACTGCCGGATATAGATTTATACACACTTTATCGACACTTTACATCAGACAGAAACGGACAGCAACGAAAATCGAGCGATCTTTCGACGCTCCCTTGAAAAGGATTCATTCTATAATTCCCAACGGCACGAAATATAAGATTTTGAAGATAAATTCGTAACTCGATCAATTCGTCCCGAATTTTCTACTTGACAAACGCAACTCTCGCGCGGCCATTGTTTTCTTCCAGCGCACAATATCCAAGCCTCCCCCGCCCCCGCCGTCGGCGTCGGAACTAACGCGTGTGTCCTCTTCTCCCTTTTCTCCTAGGAGAACGCGGAAGCCTGCCGGGACAGATCGCGCGCGACGGAGAGCCGCGTGCCGCGCGGCTCGGCGGCGAGCGTCGGGGTGGAAGGCGTCGCCGCCGCCGCCGCCGTCACCACCGCCACCACCACCACCACTAGCACCGCCACCACCACCATCGCGTGGGGCGGCCAGAGACGAAAGGGTACCTCGTCGCCGCCGCCCCTGAGCAGCGTCGCGGCATCGCGCAGGCTGGAGTCGGCCGCTGACGCTGCAGCGTCGTTCAACCCTGTCACCGTCGTCGCCACGCAAAGATGCGTCGCTGCGAAGGGCACCGTCGTCGATGCCGCCGCCGCCGCCACCACCACCACCACCACTACTACCGCACCGAGACCGCCGCGGATTTATCCGGCTTCCGTCGTCGCGCCTGAGATCAACAAGGAGGATGCCATGGAGCCGGAGGCGAAGGAGGAGGACGAGCGACGCTCGTCGACGCCGAGTCCCGAGGTAGCGTTTCCAGATGCGAGCCAGATCTCTCTCGCAAGTGCGAGAGAGCGCGTGAGGCCCACGCACTGTGACTATTTTTGATCTTTCGTCCTGTGTTACTTAGCTGGGGGAGGGGGGCGGGGGAGTATGGGTCGATGAGTGCCGAGGTTGATTGATCGGTAGAGTACACGTTCCTCTCCGAGGATGGTCACCGTGGTGGGATTCGATGTTAGTGTTTGTCGCGGATCAATTCAGTTTGTACGGCACGGCACGGGGGAGGTTTGTGTGTGTCGCATCGTTGCTGTATGAATCGAAGAGTCAAGCAGTCGACAGAATATTTATGTATTTATGCTTTAAAGTATTCGCTACCTGTTTAGTTGAGCCTGTTTATTTACGCTTTACTCAAACCGCTGAGTAACGCGCTGACGCACGCGCGCGCACACACACACACACACACACACAGACAGAGTCGAAATGCTTCACAAACGTAGAATTATCGATACCTGAGGAAAAGTAGTATTCAGTCCCACGGGGATCGAGTTGTACGCCGTCTCTTATTAGATTTGTTCGTTCGACAGCCTCGTTTTGTGGATCCGATAGATTTTTTTGTTCCTTATAGTTTCGTCAGAGAGAACAAGAAAATTGCCGCGAGTATGCTGCATGTATTTACCTACCAGTGTAATCTTTATTCCAAAGTGAATCCATCACTTTTCACCGTCGCGCGGCATAGGGCATGAGGGGGGGGGGGGCAAAGGTTGAAAACCACTGCCGTACGAATTGAGCCTTGTGCTCGTGGCGCACGAGTATATACACCTTCACTAACGTTCCCCGTATTGATTTTACGGAGCCCTCGCCTTTCGTCTCTCTCTCTCTCTCTCTCTCTCTGTCTGTCTCTCTGTCTCTCCCGCTCTTTCTCCCTGTCCATTCTCTCTTCTCTTCCATTCTCCCTCTCTCTCTTTCCGCGCACATGTACGTGCATTTCCTTTCTCCTCCCTACTCACAGGTCGTTCCGACCTTTCTCTTTCGTCGCCGGGCCTGCCCTTTAAGCCGTCACCCTCCGCGAAGCGAGTGTGCAGCATCGCTTCCAGGATCCCCTCTATTCGTCCGCACTTGTGCACGTGTTGAAAATTTCAGTCGCTCCGCGACGCGCTGCAGCACGTATCTCCCTCTTGTACACGCAACTCGACATGGAAAGAATTGATGAATGCGCACTGATGTAAAGCCACTCTTCTCTGGCTCGTTCGAGTGATGCGACTAACGATGTCAAAATTAAAGTCTCGCACGAGCGGTTTCCCAACTTGAAGTATTTTTGCACTTGAGGGACTACGAAAGTAGTCCGCCCCCCGCCCCCTCCCCTCCTCCTGTTGTTGCATACAACGATCATTATTATGATTTACGTTACATACATGGGGAGGACGTGCCGCCGTGCGTGTCACGAGACCGCCGCGAACAGTCGCGCGAGAGAGCAACTCGCTTCGCAAGTTGTCGCGCGAAGGTATAAATCGGAGAAAAATATTTGTGTCGCACGCAGTTCTACGTGAGGAGGAGTAAGCGTTACAACGAGGATGGCAGCAGCGAGGAGGAGATTAAGCAGGACACCTCGCTGCCTAGCAGCCACAGGCTACCGTCTTCGTATCGCGGTACGTGGCCCATCAGAAGAGACGTATGGGCTAATCAGCAGATTGGTTTTCCAGCCCAGCAGAGCACATCACTCGCTGCACACAATGTAAGTTGAGCGAGAGTTATCGTAGCGGTGTATCGTACGCGTCTCTCGCACACGCATATACGCGCACGGTTCCGAAGTCGTCGCCGCCGCAACGTGTCCTTCCGCAACGATTTTGCACGTTCGGAAGGACATTCGATTTCGTTTTCCGGGTTTTCCTCTCTCAGACATTCCGTGTCCCCCCCCCCCCCAGCAAGGCAAATTCTTCAAATAGACGAAGTGTCTATAAATTATGTTCGAAAGAGATGTGCGAGCGACGTAGAAAGAAGAAGCGTCGTCAACGGTGCAATAAATCCTTATCATTATTTGATGATATTTGCTGTGGGAATTTGTGTAGCTTGAACGTAGAATATAGAAATTGCAGACGCGAATGTGTATTCCACATACAGGACGTGGCGAGCGTAATGAGCTTCTCGTCCAATTCCGCCGGTCTCGATTGCAACTCTGCCGAGTCGCAAGGTCACCGACGACTGGGCGCCAAGGTGGACGTGGTGTACAATCTGTTGGGCATGTTGGAGAAGAACGGCCGAGAAGACATGAGCACCACTCTGCTCTCCATGAGCACCTCCGTAGACAGCTGCCTGGTGATGAGGCAGTCCGGATGCCTGCCGCTGCTGGTGCAGCTGATCCACGCACCTGGACAAGATCCCGACACCCGCGACAGGGCTATGCAGGCGCTGCACAACGTGGTGCACGCCAAGAGCGACGAGAGAGCCAGTCGCCGAGAGGCGCGGGTGCTCCGTTTCCTGGAGCAGCTGCGAGACTATTGTCAGACGCTGAGGATATCCCTGGAGAGAGGTCAGTCTACGGACGACCTCGAGAGACACCCTGCGGCGACGATAGCCGCTCTCATGAAGCTTTCCTTCGACGAGGCGCATCGTCACGCCATGTGCCAACTGGGTGGCCTCCACGCGGTCGCCGAACTCATCGAAATGGATCACCTGGCGCACGGTAGCGAATGCGACGATCAGAACTGCATTACGTTAAGGCGGTACGCGGGAATGGCGTTGACCAATCTGACTTTCGGCGACGGCAACAACAAGGCCCTGCTCTGCTCCTTCAAGGAATTCATGAAGGCCCTGGTGTCGCAGCTGAGGAGTCCCAGCGACGACCTCAGACAGGTGACGGCGAGCGTTTTGCGGAACCTGTCCTGGCGCGCCGACAGCAGCAGCAAGCAGACCCTGAGAGAGGTTGGGGCGGTTACGGGTCTGATGAGAGCCGCTATGGAAGGTCGCAAGGAGTCCACCCTCAAGTCGATACTGTCCGCTCTGTGGAATCTGTCGGCGCACTGTAGCACGAACAAGGTGGACATTTGTGCCGTGGACGGCGCGCTGGCCTTCCTCGTTGACATGCTGAGCTACAAAGCGCCGTCCAAGACGTTGGCGATAGTCGAGAACGCTGGCGGTATATTGAGAAATGTGTCGAGTCACGTGGCGGTACGAGAGGACTACAGAACGATCGTGAGGGAGAGAGGCTGTCTGCAGGTTCTCCTGCAGCAGCTCAGATCACCCAGCCTGACGGTGGTCAGCAACGCCTGCGGGGCACTTTGGAATTTATCAGCGAGATGTCCGCAGGACCAGCGCCTTCTCTGGGACTTGGGTGCTGTGCCAATGTTGCGCAGTCTCGTCCACTCGAAGCACAAAATGATCTCCATGGGCTCGAGCGCGGCTTTGAAGAATTTGCTGAGCGCTAGACCGGGCTGCAACAATCTCGTCCACTTGGACTCCACCGCTCGCGGACTCGGACTGTCGACTCTACCGAGTCTGGTCGCTCGCAGGCAGAGAGCTCTGGAGCAAGAGATCGACCAGAATCTGGCCGAGACGTGCGACAACATCGAGCCGAGCACGTCGCCGACCAACAAGCTGGACGACAAGTTCTCGTTCAAGCTCGATCACAGCTTCCTCGGTATCAACTCGGCACACGGTCTGCGCTCGTATCAGCTGCACAATCAACAACCCAGCACGTCGAGCGTCAGCAGCAGCGGTAGCAGGTGCAACGGAGTCGCCAGGAGCGAGAGCAGAGACTCTATGCGCTCCGTTACCAGCACGCATTCCGACACCATGTTTGAAAGGGTGAACCGTCACGTGCTGAACGGCATGTCGTCCACCGACCCGCAGATCAAGCAGCAATCTTCGTCGCTGCACTCCGCTGTCGGCTTCGACAGCAGCGCGTCCAGCGACGGTCACTCGAAAGCCACCGTCTCCGAGAGGAGATACACGTTGCGTTACAAGAACGCTATACCGGAGCGTCTCAGGCCGCCCGACGGTTTCGACATGAACGAACTGAGATGCGCCAACTCGACCATATCATGGGCTACGGCGTCCAATCAGGAGCCCTCTCAAATCTCATTGCACTCCTCCGTCGAGAACAACATGTCGCCGAACGATCGCAGCGCGTCGTCTTCGTCCAAAGCGGGCAGCCAGACCAGCGTCTCCGAGGAAGCCGAAGCGACCGTTTGCGCCAAGTCGGATTATCGACGAGCGAAAGCGGCCGCCGCCGCCGCCGCCGCCGCCGCCGCTGCCGCCGCCGACACCTCGAAACCGACCTCCTATCTGCCTGAAGTTTCTTCCACGAGGGAGAATGCGAGTTTTGGCAACGTGTACGGGGAGAAGGCCCTTCTACGCCAACACGACGCGCTAAATAGCATACAGAAGGCTATTTCGCCCACGATCAGTCACAGTCCGAACCACGCCGCCAACAGCTTATTCGGCGATTACGCCGAAACCGACCTGGATCAGCCGACCGACTATAGTTTGCGCTATGGCGAGCAGACCATAGACGACGAGAAGCAGCACTCGGGATTCTTCTCGAGCAACGACCAAGGGCTTTTGCATGAGGACACAGTCAGAACTTACTACACCGAAGGTACGCCGCGCGAGACATCCTTGAACTCGTCGAGAGCCACTTCCGCGTCCGATCTGCAGGAGGATAGTCGTATAAGGAACTCGGCGAAGAAGTTACCGGCGGAGCGATACAACAAGACGAGGCAGGCGGCCGAGGACTCACACGGTGAATGCCAAGCGTCGTCCTTGACGGACGTGCCGAAACTGAACGACTTTGTCGAGTCGGAGGCGATTAAATTAAATTTACGAAGCGCGACGCATCTCACCGATGACGAAAGTGGGAACCATTCGTTGCCGTATCTTGAAGGAGGAGACTTGGACAAGCAGGCGGAGGACGCTCGAGAGGATCGTTCAACCGTTCAGAACCATTCGAGGTATTTTTATTTGCGCGAGACTTGCGCATTCGCGCTGTTGAGCCTGATTGCGAATAATGCTATTTTAATCGTCGTATCTTATTGCATTAATAACTGCGTTATGTTATTTTGCAGTGTAAGAACGACGCCGATTTCGATGGTATTGGGAACCGCTGAATACAACGACGACCACGACGGGGAATCCAGTTCGAGAATTATTAATCTCGGTAAAGTCAAGCCGACCGTAATTTCTTGCGAGTTCTCTTCACACTCTCTTATTACGAAGCGTTTATTCTAACAACTAAACCGTAATTTCGTAGACTCAAAAGCAGAATTTGAGTCGCAAGCTGTGCTAGCGAGCAAGTGCAAAGTAACTGACTTGCCATCGAACAATGTCGAGTTCTCATCCGGTGGCACCAGTTTAAAGACCTCCAACAATGATTCGGGATGTAAGTAATAGAAATTCTGCAACATGCGAGAACAATCTGTTTCGATTTAACGAATGTGGACAAACATTTCTCCAACTATCCAGATCAAGTCAGTGACGGGGACGAGGATGACGAGGATTTACTTGCCGCTTGTATTAATATCGGAATGCAAAATAATAGGTAAGATTTTACCAAGCGACGATCTTATTGACCGTCGTGACCCACCCACCACCGTGTGACGGCCACCATAAACTTGACAAGGCTATTTAACTTTTGTAGGCATAGGCATTCTTTCATAGGAAATAATCTCGAGAAGATACCTCGGTCAGAAAGTAACTTGACTCGATATCAAACTAGTCTTGCCTTGGATCAAGTTGAATATAACGAAATCACTGAATCCGACGGCTCGTCGTTTAATATAAAACACACAAAGACACGTGGAGCAACCACCGCAGTTGAAAACTCAGAGCAGTGCAGAAATATCCCAGCTGAAAGGATGAGGGAAGAAAAGCAGGACAACGATGAGTCGAGACAAAGCGACAATCGTTGCGGAAAGAACATTCGATTGCGAGGAACAGACACGGTAAGATTCCAGAACTGCTGGTGCTTTTATCTTTACAGTCTACTACTACTACTACTACTACTACTACTACTACTACTACTACTACTACTACTACTACTACTACTACTACTACTACTACTACTACTACTACTACTACTACTATCATGATAGTGCACTATCATGCCAATTATATTTTAAAATGCAATGTATTTTTTAAGATAACAACAAATGCGAATAACGAATACACGCGACACACTGAAGAATCGACCACGGTGAAGGATGACGATAGACTCGGTAATAATAATATGTTAGACAGAGGAGCGCCTGTATTACAGAGATTCGATGAGGTGTCCTTAGATAAGAATGAAGCAGCGTCTAATAAACTGATTCTCAACGACGGCGCGAGTCCGAAGGGATCCGTTGCGCAAGCGGATGAAGAAGCAACGGCCGACCATCAGATCGTAGACAATCCGTCGATGAAACAGTCATTCGCGAGAGATTCCGAAAGCAGCGAATCAATCGATTCGGTCGAACAGTCCGAGCACGCCCTCCTGGAACTCTGTATTCAGCCGGGCATCAAGTCCGAAGGTAACATCGCCATCGACGAGAGAAACGTAGACTACACTGAGCGGCCGCTCGACTCGTACAGCAAACAAATCGACTTTATAAAGGGAAGCAACGTTGCTGAGGAAATATGCGAGACCGACGGCAACTTGAGTTGCAAGCAAGAAGCGGCGAGCTTCGAGATTGTGAGGACCTCGGACATTCTGCACCGCGACAGCGCGGAAAAGTACATAAAGGAAGAGACGTACAGACGGCAAAGGGATCCCGACGCGATGATCGCGTCGTTGGACCGACTGACAGCGACCCTGGTGCAACAGACCGAGGCGATGCGCGAGCGAGACTCCAACACAACGATGAAGCAGAGCCTGACTCAGAGCGACACGTGGAACGAAGATTCGCCCAACGACGTCTCCTTCCCCAGCATCAGCATAAGCGCGCCGCTGGCCGCGTCGTTTAACAGCGACGCGCAAGATCATCAGCGCACCGGTACGTCGGAGAACAACACGCAGGTGGAGAACAGCGAGCAGACGAGCATGACGGAGTCAAAGATCATACAACGCGAAGCCATCAAGCTGGCGGAGGCGGTGGACGCCGAGGCGAACAACCTCCAGAACGACCTCGAGACGACGTCGAGTCTGACGTCGATTGACCTCGAGGCGATCAAACCCCCGTCTTCGATGGGCAGCTTGTTGTCGTTGACCGCAAGTTACGCCGGCTCCGTTGACACCAGCGAGGTGTTTATCGGGAATCGAGATCGATGTTACTCCACGTCGCTACCTCCGGTAGCGCAGCTGAGAAATTCTCCCCCCGTCTCTGCCGATTCGCGGAATGTGCGGAAGAAATCCTTGCCCCTCGGCGTGGTGGCGAAGCGGGCGCTGGGTCAGGGCGCTCAGAGCCACACCACCAGCCTGGAGAACCTGCTGAACGAATGCACCAGCACGCACTTGGAGAACGTGAAGCCGCCGTCCATGATGGACGAGTTGCCGGACGCGGGCGATATGGAGAACAGCATGCTGAGCGTGGCGAGCATCACGTCGGAGATTGCGGATTCGCGTGAACAGGATTCGCACAGCTTGACCGGCAGCGACCCGGTGGTGTTCGAGATGCTGAAGCCGGTGGCCAACGTGCTCTCCATAACGTGCATGCGTTACACCGGCGAGGGCATGCAGAGCAGCGCGAGCAACAGCCTGAGCGAGTGCTTGGAGAACATCAATCCGCCGTCGCTGTTCAACGAGGTGAGCGAGATGGACGAGTCGACGGTTGAAGCCACTACCGACACACTCTGCAGTGACACCCTGTGCATCGACACGGAGCTGCATACCGACGAGGTGGCCGTACACTCGATCGTGGCGGAGGTGATCGACGAGGCGGAGAACGACACCGACGAGGAGGCCACGCCGATCTCGTCCGAGTGCGTCAGCAGCTCGGCCGAGTCGACGCCGAAGAAGAGGCTGTACAAAAGCCACCTGACGCCGAAGCAGAAGCGCAATCTGACGAAGGAGAGATACCGGACGTACACCATCGCCGCGGAGATTGTGAAGAAGGAGGAGGAACGCCGTAAACAAGAGGCCACTGGCGAAGGCCACAACAAGGTTCCGCGCGGCAAGTGCTCTCCCTTCTCAAAGCTGACGCCCAAGCAACGTAGGCAGGAGGACCGAGCAAGATTCCAGACGCAAGTGTTGGAGAATCCTTTCCCGGATCTGACCGCGGCATTGATCAATAAGGAGGAAGCGCGGCGGCGGCGGCGGCGAGTTGCGTCTGACGATCCCGTGGAGAAGCAGGAAGTCGTTTCCCCCACGAAATCGTCGATCCCTACACTCACAAAGCTGCCCGTGTGCAGAGCGTTGCGAAAGAAGCGCGGGGATTCTCAGGAGAGCAAGGAGAGGTATCGCACGAGAACGTTGAATGATTCGGAGGCCGTGTTCAAGGAGATGGAATCCTGCAATCCCGCTTCGAACGCCAACGCGGCGGCGGCGGCGGACGAAGGACGAGCGAACGCACACGAGGAAATTCATACCATGGTGCAGCAGAACACCCTGAACCTGAACGAGTCGGGCAAGGCCAATAAAAACTCGGTCGCGGAAGAAATCCTGCGTCGCGAGACCTGCATCGCATTGACGTCCAACGAATCCGAGTCTGACCGGAACCTTAGGATGCGCTTCGTGAACGGGCTGTCGAAGAAGCTGATAGGCAGTCAACAGGCAGTCAACGATGACGCGCAAACACCCACGACGAAACACAGCGACGACGAAGAGATACAGTGCGAGAACAGTGCGGGCAACGTCGCGCGGGAGGACCTAGACTATCCCGTCGAATCGGCGGGCAGCAGCGACGAGGAGGGATCCAACTGCGGCGACGAGGAACAACAGGAGCCAAGAGAGACAAAGAGGCCGCGGATTATTAAGCCGGGTATGCCCGGTCGAGATGCGAGCGCAGATTCCAACGCGACCGACAAGTCCGAGCCAGGAAGCCCGAAGGCCATTCGAGGACGAAGAAAGGCACTCTATTCGAACCCGATCACGCGAAAGCCAACTCCGCAATCGTCGCCGTTGAAGCAAGCGAATCCAGTCAGCGGGATACCTATCGGCCGCAGCAACACCTCGCCCATCGTCCGAGCTACCCGAGCCACCACCTTGAGACAAAGCAACAACAGCACGAGCGTTGCTACGAAAGACTCCACCAAGATAATCACGCCGTTCACGGATGCAGAGAAGAGGACGCGAAACGCGGCAGCCATGTCCAAAAGAGCATCCGTGCCGCAGAAGGGATCCTCGTTGACTTTCACCAAGTCCACCAAGCGCCACAGTACACCCCCGGCGTGCTCGTCGAACTTCCCAAACGATGGTAAATTGTCGGAGGCAAGCGTTGGATCGCCGTTCAAGCCGTTGGAACGCCAGGGAACTTTCACGAAGGACGAGCCGGAGGTGGAGAACGCACCGACGGTGCACTCCGCGTCCGCCTCGCCGGTGAAAACGAAGATTGCGAAACCGTTGAAAGGCGTTTCGGCCAAGGTGTGCTCGGCGGCGCCGGGGAAATCCAAGATTTCTGTGAAGGCGCATCAGGCGTACCAGCCGAAAATCACCAAGGCCAATAGCGCGGAGAAAGTGCAGTCGCCGAAGGGATTGCCGTTGTTGGTGGCGCCGAGGAAGGTGTCCAGCAGCGGCAAGACGACAAGCGCGCCGGCGAAAGCAGTCCTCAGCGGCAACGCGAACGCTGCACAGAATGGCGATAGCGGCAAGACCTTCCGCAAGGTGGGTCCTCTCGGTCCTCAACGGTCCAACAGCAACTCCAGTATCATCTCCAACGCGTCGGCAGCAGCGGGTGTCGGGCAGCAGAATCGCGCGAAACTGGCGAAGGAAGCGACCAGCAAGATCGCGGGCCTCTGGAAGAAGGTCGAGGAGAACAAGAACAAGCAGCGCTTCGAGAAGCCGGACACCAGGCAATGGATCAGACCGGCTAATAGCGCGACCGAAGTGGACGCCGCGCCCGTCGCGTGCAGTCAACCGCAGGCGTTCCGATTGTTCCGCAGCTCCACGTTTGAGGGTATCTCGCAGGACGACAGCGGCGGCGAGATGTCGCCCTACAAGCCCAAGTCTAAGCGGCCACCAGTGTTGTTGGGCTCCCAGACCGCCACCGGCGGTGGCGTCAAGTATAGGAATTCGTGCGATTTGACCGGTATGAACGCCAGCGAAGCGCCCTGCAAAATCCCGGTCAAGTCGTCCGAGTCGTACAAGAGGGATACCACCACGCAGCTCGGTGATACTCTGGTGACCCTGAGGAAGCAGCAAAGCGCAGCGGACTTTGGAGCGGAAGCAACGGACCCGAGCAAGAGGATATCGAGGCTTGGTTCCTTCATTCGCGTGGACCCGACGGCGGAGAACGGGAGCAACGGTGCGCGAGCAGCACCCGCATCGGCGATTGTGCCGCCCTTCAACTACAATCCGAAGCCAGACATTCCACCGCAGACACAGATCAAAGCTAGGCCACCGGCGACGGACGAGGGTCAGGGCAAATTTGAAGCGTCGGATTGCCGGGCGGAGATAGTTACCGGCTCCGCCAGGGTGACGACGGTATAGAGGGAGAAAGACGAGTTTTTGACGAAATAAGTTCCGTTAATATCGCCTCTTCTTCGTTCCCAGGCTAGTCATTGTACATTCGCTTGCTATATATGTTCGCTCATAGACCCATTACACACGTACACACACACACACACACACACACACACACACACACACACACACACTTGACATACATTCGTCACATGTGATACGCATTACAAGTAAGTAATTTAATCGTTTCTCTCTTCTGTCTCGTTGTACCGTACGCGTCGAAGCGCGTGCTTCGTTATCTCGTCTCTCGACATTTTATTCGAAATATAAAGGATAGTCACGCATGGTATACATATAATAATCCATAATATCGTGTACGCATCGCGACACGTCAACTTCTACCAACTCTTCGGTAGGAGAAGAGAAAACCGCGCGGTATCAGCGAGTGTCTCAAGACCATTCCTTGTCCAACTTGTCTGTTGTATATATACATGAGATATAGGGTAATACCGATACAACTGGAAACGGAGAAACATAAGTCGAGAATCCGTAAGTAGCGGCGTAGCGATGGTTCTGATCGGTTATTTATTCAATTTTGTATATATAAGATATCTCTCGAGGACACGTGAGTGAGAGGAATGTAGAAAGTTTTAGTAGTACGTGTTTTAAAACCTCATGTACGATGTGTAATACACACACACACACACAAAAACACACACACACACATATATACCGCGCTGATGATATTACATCGCTGTACATCTTCGTACGCGAAGGAAAGAAGGAAGAGAGAAGATATCGGGGAAAGGACGCGGCGATCCTATATTTTGTTTCCATCGTATCGACCGATTCGACCCTTTCTCCCCTCCCTCACCCTCCGAAAACACGGATACAAAGTCCAATTACTTTTCGAAGACTGATAAGTAAGATCTGAGATGAAGATTTGGACAAAGCTCGGGCATCTTCTTCGACGTCGACCGTGAAAGTTATAATCGTAAACGAGGTAGTTTACCGTTTGTATTCGACTGTGTGAGTGTAGAGCGGTCTAAGTAGTTCGCTAAAATACGGCATTACGAAATAACGCGCGTGATGATAAATTTTATAAGCATTACTTTAAGTTTCTCTAGTCTACAGACGACGTACCCTCTCCTTTTCGTCACACGCGCGCGCGTCGCAAAGATTAATTTCGCCCAGTGAGCGGTGTCCGTCAAGTCGGATCTGTTGCTCCTTCGTAGTGTAGCTCCTTCGTTAACGTGTCGTCAAAGAGGTGTACAGATCAATGAGATCGACTCCCAGATCTTGAAATCAAAATGATTCGCATTCGCATTTATCTAATATCTTATATTTTATTTTACTTTATCCTTTTTCAGAAAGTTAATAAGCGAGCATGCAACCACGCGAACTTTCATCTTACTATTTTTCCTTTTCTTTTCTTTTTTTTTTTTTTCTTTCTCTTCATCTCGTGTCTATACTCTCCTTCTGTGGGAATCGAGTCGGTTATCGAGTTCTCTCACGGCAAGGAGATCGTCTGGCACGGAGCAGAATCTGTTGTATTTAATTTAGTTTGAAGGTTCCTCAGTATAGATAGTTTTACTTTACCCTGTTCCAGTTCGAGTTAATTAGATTTAACCCTGCCAACTTGGAACGTAATCAGGGTATCTTTGCACTGTTCCTCGAGAAACAGAATTTGGTCTGTACACCACGACTATTTTTGTAACCTTTTCTTTTCCCCTTTCGCTATCTTTCGTTATTTCTACCATACTACCTTTAGGTTTTAAGAATAACTTTCGTTTAGTTTTGCGCTTTAAATTCACCAGGTATCTCTTTATAAAGAATTCGTACGTTATTATATTTACAGTGCAATAAAATTTATAGCTGAGAGAATATTCCCTTTTTAATCTAAACTCTCAAGAATCGAGTATGTCGTCGGTATACTTGCAATTGCTAAACAGAATAAACAGTATGGTAGATAAAAAAGACATTTATTCGCCCTTTTATACACGCACGAACACTCATACTGTGACGTATTCACTTATTATATATCGGACATTCATATAAATTGATAGATTTATCTTCAGACACCGACGCGATTACGTTATTCTTCTGTGGATTATACTTTACTGCCCATACCTTTTATATAGAAAGCAGAAAGAAATATCAGTTAAAAAATTTTAATATTAAACGGCTGAGAAGTATTTAATTTAAGCAATATACCTGATCATTATGCTCCCTAAATGTATGCAGGCATTGTCTTCGCGCCAATTCCCAGATCTTAACTGTGTGATCAGAGCTACTCGACGCAAATTGTTGTCCATCTTGTGAAAAAGCCACGCCGAGTACCCAAGAGGCATGCCCCGACATTGTTCCTGCTAGATTTGCATCCTTGCTAAAATAAATAAAAAAAAGAAAAACAAATAAATTTGAAACAATGGTTGTTCCTGGATGATGTTAAGATTTCTTCTTTCTACATTATACAACATAATAAATTTTTAATTTACTCACACATCATACAGTTTCATATGTCCATCATCAGATGCTGTTAGGAGCAATTGAGAATCTGGTGAGAAACACAGAGACCTGATAGGCATTGCATGACCTAAACGATATGAACTTGAGAATATAAAACATTCCAGATCTTGCTGATATTGTCATATTGTGGATATATTCACAGTCTACCTTCTAGTGTTCTCAAAACTTTTCCATAGGTAACATCAAAAATATTGATAATTCCATCAATCGCACCGCTTGCGATATATTTACCATCGGGGCTCTGTGAAACAGTTCTTTCGATACAAGCTGTACAAGAAATATTTCAGATTTTCTTATTTAAATTCACTCACATAAGCAACACTCAAAGTGAACTTTCCACCTCTTGTGTCTAGAGTTTGCTCTTGTTTACCACTTTCTACTCCATATAAATGTATTTTACCAGCATGGCTACCAGATACAACAAACTTGTCATCTGGGGAAAAGACTACCGTCCAAATATCCACTGGACCAACTTCAATGTTTGATAACTTGTCACCAGACTCCAAATCCCATAATCTTAAGCTTGAGTCAAGTGAACTAGATGCACATTCTATAAGTTTATAACAATACAATATAATGTAGATATAAAAATTATTTTTGTTTGCGTCATTAATTTTTTTAGTTACATACTCGATCCATCTGAGCTGACAGCTATGGATACCACACCTAAGGAATGTCCTGTTAATTTATGTTTCAATTTCAAAGTATCATCTTGTGGCACCCATACTTTTACGGAATCATCTACAGAACCTGTCACAAGATACTCCACTGCTTCCTCCTCGTTAGATCGAATAGAATCACTATAAAATAAGACACTGTAAAATTAGTTTATACATTTTTTTTTTTACTATTAAATGTAAATTATGACATTAAATTTATTTTCTAATTTAATTCTTTCTTAATTTAAAACAGAACAACTCTCTTATTACTGCGAATCTTCATTGTCAGGCTGAATATTCTTTTTCCTCTTTAGACATGCCCATGCACAGGTCCATATACTGTCTTCATGAGCATTTTCTATTTTATGAGTTAAAGAATACTGAAAAAGGAATTTAAAATGAAGAAAAGAAACATACGATAAAACAAGTAAATAGAGTAATACTCACCATTTTAGTAAATTTAATAAGGAAATGTTCGGTAAATCAACAACCGTCTACAAACAGATGCGAGCAGCCATATTACAAGCATAAACTTAAGGCTAATATTACATGTGTCGTACGACAAGCTTTTCGGATATAATTCATTGGCGTACGCAGAGCAATCCTAGAGATATTCTGTTTGTTAACCAATAAACGTATTTTGTTCTTTTTGACGTTACACCATTAGAACAAAATAAACATATATACTTGCGTTGAAGAGAAAAGGAACAAAGTTAAGCTAAGACTCCATGCATGCGGTGAGCTCCGGCAAACGGCTGCGGTGACCAATCAGGAGACAGACGCATGCTGGAGCTTGCCGCAACCGGACTTGCGCCTCCCTCCTGATTGGTCATCGCAGCATTTGCCGCAGCTCACCGCATGCATGGAGTCTTAGCTTTACAGCACCAAAGAGCGCTAGCTGTTTTATCTTGAGCGTAGCTCAATTACCTCAGAGTCCCATAGAGCCCTCTTGGTCCGTACAAAAATTGACTCGAGGTTGACAGTCTTTATTGGCCTGTTCTTTGTAGCGGCACTGTTGAACTGGTGCGATAAGTTAAAGTGAGACAAATATAGGTTTTCTCACTCTAGCTTATCACACCAGTGCAGCTAAAAAGAACAGATCATCTGTCTAGCTTAATTCCTATTGGAGCAAACAAGTTAGACATCAGCATTGTAGTTTATATTTCCTACCTACAGAGGCGCTTTGCAACACGTAAAAACAGCTCATGATCTTACTAAATTTTTTCTCTCTGGTATTATTAGTTAAATGCGTGAATGCATTCAGGCGTGCTCGGGCACACGTGTTGATCGCTTGTTTGGCAAATAGAGAAAAATGGCACTGAAAGTACAAAAGAAGAGTTTAGCTGACAAAATAAATACGTTAATAACAAGCAAGCCGGAGCATTTTGATTCGGATGAAGAACCAGACGAGACAAAAGCAAAAGTGGTGGAATATTACGATGAGAGCGGTGCTTCGGACGGTGATTTTCGCCAATCGAAAATTCGCAGGCAGAATATCGATACGCTGGATAAAATAGACAAGAGGTAATATTGTGTATTCTGCATATTCAAAAAATATATACAAAAATCAATATTTCACTGTATCTCAAAAGTTGATGGTTAATATCAGATATCTATTTGTTATATCTGTACAGTTGTTTCTTAACTGTTTAAAAACAACTCACATAATCATCAAAGATCTAGCCAGAGTTAAGTTCATTTCCTCAATCCTTAATTATTATATTCTAGTACAAATCAAATCGAATTTGGAATTAGGAGAATATAATGAATGAAGAAGCAACAAGAATTAAGCCATGCCATTTTTCTAATCATTGTATTCCTGATATCAAAATTCCTGATATCCAAAAATTAGATTATTATGACACGATGACATGACGAGTATACTATACATATATAATAGTATGTATACACGATGAAATATAATTTTTAAATGTTGACACAGATACGCGGGTAAGAAGGTTTCAAGAAAAGACATATACAGTGAAGAAGATGATGATACAAGTAAAAGTAAAAACATAGAAAGTCAAAGTTCTGAAGGATGCATGGAGGAAGAGGAAATAGAAAGTCAAAGTTCTGAAGGATCCATACAGAAAGAGGAAATAGAAAGTATTCAAGAAGGAAGCAGCAATGAAGTGTACGATAAAGGGGCAGATTCTCAACAAGAGTCTGAAGATGCTGAGAGTGAATCTGATGATTTGGAAGATGACTATGATATAGACATAAACAATCCTCTTTATAGAAGGAGAGATTCTGTTATTAAGACTATGTCTGAAGCAAATACTGAGGCAGAAATGGAAAAAGGAAACTGTGTTAGAAGTCAATTAAAGATTTGGGAGAATTTATTAGAGATACGAATAAAGTTACAAAAATGTATTGTAACTAGTAATCAAATGCCACAGTACGACGCACATAAGGAACTCAGATCTTATAGCAACTTGGACAAAAATTTCACAAAAGAGGTGAATGAAACTAAAAGCAAATTAATGCTGCTCCTGGATAATATGTTGCAACTGAAAGAACTTTTGCTGAAGCAGTATCCTGAAACAAAAAGTCTATGTGCTGATTCTAAGAAGAAAAATATCGACAAAAATGAGGACAAAAGTGTAGATAATCTAGTGGACGAAGAGATACCTTCTGACACTGAGGATGAATTAGGCAATGAAGAGGGGCCATCTGACGATGAGAAAGCAAAACTAGCCGAAGAACCAACACCTAGAAAACGACTTAAGTACAACGATTACGAACGTGTCCTCCGAGAAAGTCACAACTCGTACATAGAATATAGAGACTCTGTTATCAGAAAATGGAACGAAAAAACGCGAATTATTACAAGCTCGCTGAGTAAGGGTGGGGGGGCTCAAACAACGCTAAATCAAATTGCATTTGCCATGAGCGATATAGGTAAATTGCGGAAGAAAACTCGGCTGAAGCGCTCGGAGTATAACATTGTCAGAAAATCATTACCGCCTGACGACAACGATGGCAGAAGATTTCAAGAATATGATCCAGAAATATACGACGACGACGATTTTTATCATCAGCTGTTGAGGGATTTAATCGAATACAAATCGGCAGACGTGACAGATCCGATACAACTCAGCAAACAGTGGATTCAGTTGCAGAACATGCGTAGGAAGATGAAAAGGAAAATTGACACTCGCGCCACAAAAGGTCGAAGAGTACGATATAATATTCATAATAAGTTGGTGAATTTCATGGCGCCTATCACAGTATATGATACGTGGACAGATCCCGCAAAGAACGAGCTATATAGTTCATTATTTGGTAAAATAAAGATAGTAGAAGAGCAGAATAAATAATAATTATGGTTAATTATGTATTATGTATATATTTTTTCCTTGTGAAGTATGAAGTATGAGTTACATTACTTGAAAAGATTTCAGAGTAAATTACACAGTATAAATAAAGATCTATCGAGTGCTGAAAGCTTTGTTGAAGTTTGTCCAGTTATTTCATACACATGAAAAATCACAAACAAATAGTATACATGTTCGTTTGAAAACATGAACACTTTCCTTTTAAAATCTGCACATCTGCAAGTTACGTTGTGATTTTTATATGCAATAACGACAGTGACTGCTAACAGCAAGTGAACCGATAGATGTACAACGTTTGTTGAAGAATAAATAAATATATATAAATTGTGTTGGCCAAATTTTTCATAGAGATCGATAAAATGTGATTCGTGTCTCGGCTAAACTTTATGGAGGTCGATAAATTGTAGTTCGAGTCTTGGTTGGATCATACAAAAACTGGTAAATTATGGTTTGGATCTTGACTAAACTTTTCATAGACATCGGTAAATTATGGTTTAAGCCTCAATTAGAAAAAAGAGGAAACTTTAACCAAGATTCACATTGTATTAAGACAAGTTCTCTCTTAAATAGAAAGTATAAAGAATATTATCTCATTGTTTTGGCGGACTTACAAGTTGTTATACCAGCAGAGAGGAAGCTGAGAGCGGCCAACACAGCGTTTTCGGCGACACCGATTTTTCGCACTGGGAATGGCCGCTATCTGCATCCATTTTGAGAGCGGAACTACGATGCTACATCCACTTTTAGGTCTCGACGGTAAAACCTGCATCTGGTGGCTGTCCGTGCTACATCCAATTTCAGGCGGTTTATGTCCGTGCTACAACCATAATAGCGTACTTGACAAGCACGGTCTCGCGCATTGTTATGCATTTGTAACATGAATTAACATGTTAACATGCACAAAAAAAAAAGAATTGAGATTGTATATGATTAATATCATGAAGATTATATACGATTTTTATCGATATATAAATATATGATAAGATAATATTTTGTGTGTACCCAAAATTATTTTTCCAAAATATTTCAGCGTTACGTTAGTATTTATTTATACTCCGGCAGGCGCTTTTTAGCGCAGTTGTGTCCATGTGCATGTTGCATTGAAAGTGTGCGTGACGTACGTGTGCATATACGCACTCACACACACATATACACACACACACACGTGTCATACGCAACAGATAGAATCTCAGGGTATATGCTTAAACATTTTCAATTGCCGTACGTTTCTATGTAAGAATGTAGTCGGCACACACACGCAGAGAAACTGCTCCCGTCTATCCGTCTGAAGTCCCGTCCTCCGCTCGGCTTGTTTTGACGAGCCAAGCGAAAGAGAGAAAGAGAGGGAATGTGTTCTCTCCATCTCGCTCTGATTCGCAACGTTGCCGAGATTGTGCCTCCCGACACACGGCCGAGATTGACGTTTCACTCTCGGCGTGAATCCAACGAGATGATCAATAGCAATCGATTTCGACTAAACTCGTTGTGTCGATAGATTTGCATGACAAATTAACATTGCACTTAAAGATACGGCGTAGCATTGAAGCGTTTGTAAGAAAGTCGCGATTGAAAATCGCGAGTACTTCATGAACCAAATGAAGGAGCGAACTTCTCAAAGAGCGTGTGGCTTAGTGGAAGTACGCTGGACTCGCGGGGTTGAAGTCGGTGGTTCGCATCTCCTTCGCGGTCGGCGTTGTCCTTTTTCGCCAATTATTTTTTTTTCGTTTTTTAGAAAAATGCACGTGTTGCATACAACATGCAGGTTAAAGTTTTCCAAGCTTTCCCCGTTGATATCTCTGCTTCTATTGGGAGTAGAGAGTCGTCACTTACGGCAAAATGTAGGGTTTTCAGAGGACTTTAATTTGGTGCCAGAACCAGGCCTGTATCTCTAACCGTTTAGGAGATATCGAAGGTTAAAGTTTTCCAAGTTTTCTCCGTTGATATCTCCGCTTCTACTGGGAGTAGAGAGTCGTCACTTTCGGCAAAATGTAGGGTTTTGAGAGGACTTTAATTTGGTGCCAGAACCAGGCCTATATCTCTAACCGTTTAGGAGATATCGAAGGTTAAAGTTTTTCAAGCTTTCTCGGTTGATATCTCCGCTTCTACTGGGAGTAGAGAGTCGTCACTTACGGCAAAATGTAGGGTTTTGAGAGGACTTTAATTTGGTGCCAGAACCAGGCCTGTATCTCTAACCGTTTAGGAGATATCGAAGGTTAAAGTTTTCCAAGCTTTCTCCGTCGATATCTCCGCTTCTACTGGGAGTAGAGAGTCGTCACTTACGGCAAAATGTAGGGTTTTGAGAGGACTTTAATTTGGTGCCAGAACCAGGCCTGTATCTCTAACCGTTTAGGAGATATCGAAGGTTAAAGTTTTCCAAGATTTCTCTGTCGATATCTCCGCTTCTACTGGGAGTAGAGAGTCGTCACTTACGGCAAAATGTAGGGTTTTGAGAGGACTTTAATTTGGTGCCAGAACCAGGCCTGTATCTCTAACCGTTTAGGAGATATCGAAGGTTAAAGTTTTCCAACCTTTCTCCGTCGATATCTCCGCTTCTACTGGGAGTAGAGAGTCGTCCATGTAGTGCAAAATGTAGGGTTTTGAAAGGTCTTTAATTTGGTACCTGTCCGAAGCCTGTATCTCTAACCGTTTAGGAGATATCGAAGGTTAAAGTTTTCCAACCTTTCTCCGTCGATATCTCCGCTTCTACTGGGAGTAGAGAGTCGTCCATGTAGTGCAAAATGTAGGGTTTTGAAAGGGCTTTAATTTAGTACCTGTCCGAAGCCTGTATCTCTAACCGTTTAGGAGATATCGAAGGTTAAAGTTTTCCAACCTTTCTCCGTCGATATCCAGTCTTCATCCGTCGATATCTACGCTTCTACTGGGAGTAGAGAGTCGTCCATGTAGTCCAAAATGTAGGGTTTTGAAAGGGCTTTAATTTGGTACCTGTCCGAAGCCTGTATCTCTAACCGTTTAGGAGATATCGAAGGTTAAAGTTTTCCAAGCTTTCTCCGTCGATATCTCCGCTTCTACTGGGAGTAGAGAGTCGTCACTTACGGCAAAATGTAGGGTTTTGAGAGGACTTTAATTTGGTGCCAGAACCAGGCCTGTATCTCTAACCGTTTAGGAGATATCGAAGGTTAAAGTTTTTCAAGCTTTCTCGGTTGATATCTCCGCTTCTACTGGGAGTAGAGAGTCGTCACTTACGGCAAAATGTAGGGTTTTGAGAGGACTTTAATTTGGTGCCAGAACCAGGCCTGTATCTCTAACCGTTTAGGAGATATCGAAGGTTAAAGTTTTCCAAGCTTTCTCCGTTGATATCTCCGCTTCTACTGGGAGTAGAGAGTCGTCACTTACGGCAAAATGTAGGGTTTTGAGAGGACTTTAATTTGGTGCCAGAACCAGGCCTGTATCTCTAACCGTTTAGGAGATATCGAAGGTTAAAGTTTTCCAAGCTATCTCCGTCGATATCTCCGCTTCTACTGGGAGTAGAGAGTCGTCACTTACGGCAAAATGTAGGGTTTTGAGAGGACTTTAATTTGGTGCCAGAACCAGGCCTGTGTCTCTAACCGTTTAGGAGATATCGAAGGTTAAAGTTTTCCAAGCTTTCTCCGTCGATATCTCCGCTTCTACTGGGAGTAGAGAGTCGTCACTTACGGCAAAATGTAGGGTTTTGAGAGGACTTTAATTTGGTTCCAGAACCAGGCCTGTATCTCTAACCGTTTAGGAGATATCGAAGATTAAAATTTTCCAACCTTTCTCCGTCGATTTCCAGCCTTCCTCCGTCGATATCTCCGCTTCTACTGGGAGTAGAGAGTTTGCCATGTAGTCGTAAATTTATTAGCATAAATAAATTATTCTGTCATATACTTTAATAACAAATCATTTTTAAAATATGTATATATTGGCTAAGAGTGGATTTCTATTAACTTTTCGTCTCTCATTATAATTCTCTCTTCTTTATTTGTGCATTAATACTAAATATTCTTTATATACATATACACTATATATGTGTCATTTATTTATATATATTTATTGTCATGTAATTAATATATTTAACCAAGCCGTAAGAACACGAGAAGAGAGGAAGAGCGAGCAAGTGCGCGAGAGAGAGAAAGAACGATCGAGAGAGAGAGAGAAAGAACGAGGTATAGGTGTAGCGAGAAAAATCTCGCGGCTCACGCAGTCAATAAGCTAGACGAGCGGGAAAGAAACAGATAATATGTCGACGCTCGTCTAGTCTCCTATGTGCTACCTCGCGTACGTGAAAAGTAATTCCTCGCTTCGCACGTTCCCTTGACACGAGACGCTACCGCGTCTTTTGATGTCTCTGGAGCGTGAAAGATGAAAGAAAAGCGGAGAGATGTTCGCTTAGCGATAAGATTGCCGCTACCTCGCCTCGTGTTTACTGCCACGCGCCGCTCAGTAGTGAGACAAAGACGGAACGATTGTCTGTCGTCTGTCTTTTTCTAATCTACTATCCATTGCATGGAAGTAGTACGGACACGAACCTAGGCGCATTTTACTTTTATCACCGTGAAAGTGCGCCTAGCGGACGTAGTTTAGGCGCATTTTGGTCAGATGGCGTATCTAAAATGCGCCTACCCGTATCCCCCGAAATACGACCAGTGGCCGCTCTCATTCTTCTCTCTGATACCAGGGTTGTTATATCTTACAGTCGCCATTTTGCCGAGGAAATGAGATCGTGATATGATCCACAGTTAACAACCGCAATTGTCCCTTATATAAAAATATCGAAAGAATTCGGCCGATTGTTACTTTTGTAAGAATGATGATATCGAGATTTAAGGAGCATTTGAAAGTTAAGCATCTCTACTTTTTAGACAAATTACATTGGCAACATTACGGTTCTTTATGTTAAGAAATATTGAGTTGAATAAAAAATATACTGTTCGATTTTACTCGTTTCGACCTCTCCTTTTAGTTGTGCTTTTATACCGAATAGTTGTTTTTGTCAAAACTGTGATAAATACATTTTGAAGAGAAAACTTTATCATTTTATTTATTTCTTAGCAATCGTATATATCGATTTTGTTGTTACCGTTGATGATTAAATTCAATGTGTTATTTTAGTTTTAATATTAAATAACTCTATATAAATAATTAAGTGTGTAATCTGTGTATGTGTGCAAATTGAAGGGGAATGTTCACGCTTTTAAATATCGTATGTTGCCATTTGTCTGTGATTTTTTGAGTTTTGTTGCCGACGCAAGTCGGCAAATTTCTTGAAAAGAACTTTAGCATCTGACAAATTTTGTTTTATAATTGTATAATATTTAAAGTTAATTATGTTTTGTATTTGTCAATATTTCTGAAAATTAGAAATTTTGCGCTGTAAAGTGCTTTCGAAACCACTTTGTTATCGTTATTCTTTCGAAAGTTATATTGAATTTGACGTATTTTTCATAATCTAAAGAGGGAGAAAGAGAGAGAGAGAGAGAGAGAGAGAGAGAGAGAGAGAGAGAGAGAGAGAGAGAGAGAGAGAGAGAGAGAGAATGAAGAGCTTGAATATTAAAATATGCTTAAGAGATATGCTCAGTGTTGAAGATTACTGAGAAGCTAAGATAGGAAAATTCAAATAAGCATTTCTTATCGCACATTTTATTTAGCAACGATTTAATTAATTATCGTCGTCTACTCAGCATACATGTGAATCCTGGAACTTACACCGCAATCTCTTGTGTCTACAAAAAAGCCCGCGAGTTATGCGAGTTATAACGTTTAAAATTTTTAACGTCTGCCGCGAAAAATTGGGAATCAACGATACACGCGCAAGAGTCGTCGATAATGCTGATTACGGCGTCGTTATGTGGGGGCAACATCTACGACCGGACTGTACCGTTGTAAATTATGTATCGCGATAATGTATACGCAATGTATCTCGCTTCGCACTAAAGCTCGATAAACGATGATACTTCGCACACTACGATTGTGTGTCGCGCTACTTAGGATTTGGCGGATGAAAACAATGACATTTTATTATTATCGATAAAAGGAGCGTGTTTTCAACGGCTTGACGCAAAATATGTTGCGATACGAAATATACGAGTCAAGCGACGATTAGCGCCGGAATAAGCAAAGTGTGCATATACACGGAGACTTGAGATAATAATAATCTCGGGGTGAAAATTTATAGTGCATTTAAAAAGGGGGACTTTTTCCATACGTATGTTAGCTCAGTGTAATAATATTGTAAGAAAAGAAAACACATGCACGCATATTATTTCGTAATGCCCGTTTATTTTTGGAAGAATGTGCCTCCGCGTGTTATTGCTCATTTCTAATAACATCCGCGTGCCCCGTATCTCGCCAAAGATTACGATTAATTATCGTCTCTCGCTCTCGACTCTCTCTCTGTCATTCACCCCGTTCAATTCCATCCACTTGAGCCTGTGACCCGCCGCTCCACGGTGTTATGTGGCACGTAAACATATATTTATGTGATAAGGCGACAGGGAGTTAATTTCAGATAAAGATTGCTCCAAAAAGTGAAATTGTTGCGCTATATGCGCGTCTTGTAACGACGTACGTTTCTTCAAAAATCCGACTAAATGACTAGCTAAAAAGCTTCGTTTCTGTACACACACACACACACACACACACACACACACAATGCAGCTATAATATGTACAAGTGAGCGATTTTCCATCGGGAAATTCCAAGAGTAAAAAGAAAAAGAGAGAAAGAGTCCATGACCGCCTGTCTCCGCCGCACGCGCTGCGGTCACGAGGAGCGTCTCGAGAGAGCTCCAATCCGCCAATGTCCACAGATAAACGTCCGAGTATGTCCGTCGAGTAAGTCAGCCGAGCGTGGTCCACGCATGTTGATCCCGACAGCTTCTGGTGTCACGTATCATCGCGCTGCTCACACTCCGGCATCGTGTGTCACTCGAGGCACAGAAGAGAGAGAGAGAAGAAGAGCGGCCAGCGACACGGCGACGGCGACGACGGCGATGGCGACGGCGACGGCGGCGACAACAACAACAGCAGCAGCAGCAGCGGCGCGCACCGACTCTGAGGACACGTTACAGTCCTATCAGCGGCGATTTGACACTTGACCCTTGCCGCTGGCCTAAGCGCCTCCGCGTCGGCGGGTAAATCGCGAGCGTTCCGCGGAATTCACAGTCTCTCGTCGATCATCGGCGACGTTTAATTACACCCGTCGCTCTGCGAACCGCCGTTTCTTTTTCGCTTCTTTCGCGCGCCCTTGACGGATTCTTCGCGAGATCGCGCGAGACCGTAGCAGCCACGCGCCAAGCTCTCGCGCACTCTCCGACCTTTCGTCGTGGCAAGGTGACTGACATACGTTCACGCGTTTTTTGCGTCTCACCACGATACCAGGGACTCACTCTTTCTCTTTCTCTCTCTCTCTCTCTCTCTCTCTCGACCTCTCGTAGAGCCGACGTCACGTGCCGACGACTTCGCGGCTCGAAGAAAGGCGGATCAAGTACACACGAGGATCAAGATTGTCGCTCGCGATTGTCGCGCGGCTGTCGAGGAACGGTAAAAGCCTTGCATCTCGTTCACGCCGCTCGAAATCACGCTCCTCCACGAGTTACCGCCGCGAAATCGCAAATTCGTCGAGCATTTGTCAAGGAAATGTCGAGGACACTCAAACTTGCCGAGAGTTAACACTCACCGAATATTGCAGCACGAGATTAAGCACTGAGTAAGAGTTTTGAGTATTGAGAGCTCGTATTCCTTTATCATTTTTTCCTCATGAATAAATGCGTCATATTGCGTCTTTGCTGTTTGTAATAAGAGAGAGAGAGAGAGTGAGAGAGGGGGGGGAAGAGAGAAATCGTACTAGCATAAATTATACGACCGTTACGTATCGTGAGGACACTTATCTCGTTGCATCGTCCTTGTTAGGAGTGAACTTGTTGAATACGTTGTTGGCATCGACGTTTTATCGATGTCATATCGATGTTATTCTCGTTGTGCGGGCCAGTAAATCACGACGGAAATTGCGCGGGGGAACGCGCAAGTTTGAAAGAGAGCCCGCCGGTTCTCGACGTGACTCGAAAATAAGGATTTCTCATCGACTTAACGACGACGTAATCGTCGTTAATTTATCGAGCAACTATCCACGCGAGCAACACAGACCTGACAATTTTTCCTAAGTACGCGTAGCATTAATCAAGTTTTATTGCTCGACAAATTGCGGTACGCATCGATACGTCGATACGCGCGCGCGGGGGAGAGATAATTCTTTTAATTGAATCGTATCGACAACCCTCTGTGCGGCAGCAGCGTCCGCAATGTTACGTCACGCGGAATGTTGTTGCAGAAGCAACAAACAGCTCTGTTTACAGCTCTCGCTTCTTCTCGGCGCAAGTGGCGCCTTCCGATTGACAGATTCGACGCGCATAAACGCCGACAGAGCTAACAATTCTAATCTAATCTAGGCCTCAAGGCTGGAAACTATCGACAGTTGTGCGACAGTTATTCTTTTTCTTTTCCGTTGAAGAGAATAATTGCGCAAACACGCGTACGATTGACTGAATTCGAGGCTGAAATCGGGGTTTGGCGTCGCAGCACCGATTCGCGCGCGCTCGCGATCGCGATATCGTGTGCGAGAATAATGAGAATCCAGATAAGGAATCGCGACAGTTATTGACGCCCATCGGAGCAAATCATTTTCTCTTGACATACATACAGAAATCTCTCTTTCTCATTGGTACCACAACGCGGTACATCCGGCGTCGCGATCGATTTCTGGGATTAATTCCACCATCAACTCAGCCGGCAGTTCTCGTTCGCCATTCAAGAGAACGCGGAAATAGTACAATAGTTCAACAAGGTTATTCAGCACGATATTCCAAAATAATAATCAAAACAGATAACAGTGTTGAAGTATATATAGCACGAGAGCACTCGGCGGTAATTTTACAATTACTTCTGAGGGATTTCTCCCCCCCCCCCTCCCCTCCCACACGTTTATTTATTAGTCGGGCGACATATACAAAATGCCGGGCGAGCCGAGTCCGATCGTGCAAAACGGGCCTCCGTTCGTATCGCACGATCCCGAAAAATTACTTTCAACTGCGCTCGAAACAAAGTTCCATCGCTCCGTCGGACAGCAGATAATTCGAAGCAACGGATAATTAAAAGCAGAGTTTCATTAATATGATATCTTTACGTGTTTCCCCGATGCACTTTGCACCTCGGGGCCGAAGTTTAGTTCCGTGCTTCTGTGTGGCGCATGTCTGGCACATGATGTCAGACGGATTTGGTACTTTGAACGCGATCCTCGCTGATATTTTAACGCTAAGTTTCGCGCAGCGGTGCGCGGAACAAAGAGAGAGAGAGAGAGAGAGAGAGAGAGAGAAAGAGATAGGAGGCTCGTGTAATCTCGTGTTTTTTCTCGTTCTTTTCTTCTTTTTTTCTTCTCGTTTTCCTTTTCACTTTCGCGTTACACCACCGACGAAAACAGCCGGAGGAACTTTGGCCGACCCAAGTAAAAGCATCAAAAGACCAGGGCTAATTCGAGCTTCAACACCTACGACGCTCTCGGACCTGCGCTGAATGGACGAGAGCTTCGTCAGGTCGGCGGAAAGTGAAGTAAACTGAATCAGTATTGCGATACACCCCGTGCGACGAGGGTGGCTCGTCGTGCCGATGCTGACGGCGCGCGAACAGGCGGACGAAACAATTGCGAAGAGCCTCGGCGAATGTCGCTTTGAAATATACTCCGTATGTTCGAATACTTTGCGCGGCTAATGTACGGTGCTCGCTCACGGTGCTCTCGTGAGTCTGAGATTGCAACAACCTCAGCCTGAGTTGAACTTTGCGCGTAAGATTATCGGCGAAACGTCCCAGAAGGAAAACAGATGCGCAGATATTTTTTCTCGGACTCAGTTCTCTGGAAAATGTTTGAAAGAGCAGCTTGATTCAAAATTAACTCGCATCTTCTTCTTCTTCTTCTTCTTCTTCTTCTTCTTCTTCTTCTTCTTCTTCTTCTTCACGTGAGATTGAATCGAGGAGCAGTGGTTTTTCGATGGAATGCGTTTTACCCCTTGAAAACGCGACGTAATTTAGAATACCGCGTTTTACAAGCCGAATCGCGAGCCGTAAATAAATCATGATCTGGTAAACGCTTGTCGCGGACCTCTCACTCACTCTCTCTCTCTCTCTCTCTCTCCCCCTCTCTGTGTGTGTGCGTGTGCGAGAGAATTCTATCGCTTGAACGGCTCGCGCCACAGAGAAGGTGCATTGTCTCGATCTATTGTTTCCCAAACTTGCCGAGCTAAAAGTGCATTTGTGAGGTGTCCCGAGTGAATTCGCGTTACGCGTCTCACCAGACACACAAATCCCCCGTCTCTTCCCTTCGCTCCGTTCGACTTTTCATCGACTCGAGAGAGTTGTGAAGGAAAATTCAAACAGTCTTTAAAAAACGTCAAGCCATAAATAAGATTGGTCGGAGGAAGAAGAACGTCCCTTTGTAAGATCGTACGCGATAGTTTCAGATGAAGTAATAATACGACCGTCGACGTCATGGAGCAGACATTGGGGTTAAATGAAACTGAAGTGGGAATCAGGTGCAACGACATGGACATGCCGATGGACATGCGCTTCAACGACGGTCATATGGTGAAAATAATTACTTACAGCATCCTGATGGTGATATCGGCGACTGGAAATATCGCCGTGCTGACAATGACCGTAATACGAAAACGAAAATCCAAATCTCGGATAAACACTCTGGTGATGCATCTGGCGATAGCTGACCTCTTCGTAAGTGCTGATCAAATGTCATCATCGACACAACGAGATCACAAAGCTAAACACACAATAGCTAATGTGAATAGCAATAATAACTAATGTTAATTCCATAATGAAATTAATCTATGATGAAAGTGATCAAGTTAAGAGAAGAACGGAAGAAAGTAAGCTGAGATAAAGTTGTAACAGATTTGCCGGCGTACATTTCGCATTCAATGTTGAATGATACCGGGGGGGGGGAGGGTAGGGGAGGGGAGGGGGGGTCGCACCTGCATATTAATAAAAATTAATTAAAACTCATTTTCTTTTTCAGGTGACATTTCTGATGATGCCGTTCGAAATCGGATGGTCGATTACGGTGTCGTGGGAAGCGGGGGACGCAATGTGCCGTATAATGTCCTTCTTCAGGGTATTCGGCCTCTATCTGTCATCTTTCGTAATTGTCTGCATAAGTATAGACAGGTCAGTGTAACAGTAGCAAGCAATGAACGATCGAGTTCCAGTTCCTGGAAGAACCTTTTCGCCAGTTCGTCGCTGCGCATTGCTTAAAATTAGTTATCCAATATCGGAACAGGGCACCGTGCATAAGCCGGAAGACTGTTCGGTAACTGTACGACTGACTGTACGTCGTACTTCCTTCGCTCCTTCGCCTCGTTCAAGATTTACATGGGAATGAAATTGATCGGAATTTTCAATCGAATTTCTTCCCTTTTTTTTTAGATATTACGCGGTAATGCGGCCACTCCAGATGTTGGAAATTCACAGAAGAGGCAAGATAAATCTGATGTTCGCGTGGCTGGGCTCCGTATTGTGTTCCTTGCCGCAGGTGTGCCAACTCTCGTTACAATCTCTCGCGACTAGGTCGCGACGAATATTCACTTCGCGTCTAATTTCCCGCAGATGCTGGTGTTTCATCTGGAAGCACATCCGAAATACACTTGTTACAAGCAGTGTATTACATTCAACACCTTCCCGTCGAAGATGCACGAACTCTCGTACTCTTTGTTCGTAATGATGACGATGTTCTGGTTCCCTCTGATCGTGATATTTTACACCTACATCAGCATATTCGTGGAGATCTGCCGTAGATCCAGAGAAGGTATCTACGATTGCTACTATACTATACTAACAAGATTGCTCTCGGAAAATTGTTTGACAATTTATTTCGATCTTCTTTTACTTTTTTTTCTTCTTTTTTTTTATCATGAAAGTGATTGAGATGAAGATGAAGGATACGTCGTTCATCGAGCGTCTAATGCTCGTCTATAAATCGAGGGTGAAACGACTGACATATATATATATATATATATATTAAATGAACTGTGTTTCTCACACAGACAGGATACGTCGTTCATCGATCGCCTTTCTCAGTCGGGCGCGAGTGCGCACCTTAAAAATGACGATAACCATTATCGCCGTTTTCATTATCTGCTGGACTCCTTACTACGTAATGAGCATCTGGTAAGTCTGATGTTAATTCCATCGCGGGCATTTTTCAAAAGAGGCCGATGAAAAATTACTCACTATACTCGATACTCTACGAGTAGAGGGCCGTGCGAACACGATATCACGGACACGGACTCAGAAGAGAAACGGTTGCGAAACGGTAATCGTCGAATATGGGCTAATAACGTGGATGACGTGAAACAAATAGCGACCTCCTCGTTTATGAGCAACATTCGCGACATTTGCGATCAATACTCGGGTCTCGCGTGTGAATCACGTCTTATTAGGGGGCAAAAAAGAAACGATCAGATCGATGCGACATCAACATCGCAGATCTGAACTGAACTTGGAACTGTACGAACTATATATTATACCGAGTCGAAATCTGTGCAAATAGGTACTGGGCCGACCAGGCGTCAGCCCGGGAAGTTGACGTGCGCATTCAGAAGGCTCTCTTTTTGTTCGCATGCACAAACTCCTGCATAAACCCCATGATCTACGGCATCTTCAATATACGCCAGAAAAGCAAGGTGAGTGATTTTCACTACGGCCGCCGACGCTCTTGCGACTACCGACTTCTCGACAGACTTTTTCTCAAGCGAAAGCGTTCTTCATTTTACGCTTTACTTTTCTGCAAGCGGCGCTGTTACAACGGACACCATTATAGATAATGTCGCGTGTAGCGATCTCGCGGCACATGTTCATATCAATAAAATGGTACGACAGGTCAGAGCGTGAAATAGAACTCGAAGCAAGACAAACTCGCGTAATCGTCGTGCTAATTCGATTATTCGCGCTCGATCTATGCGTGCACGCGCGTACACCACCGCTACTTAATTCGTACTCGTCGTGATCGTAAGAGACATTTTTTTCGCCTCGCCGCGCGCCGTATTGAACAAGAGCGAAAACGGACTACTTGCATTTTGCTGGTCCATCTTGTTTCAAGCAGCGTCATCTCAGAGAGAGAGAGAGAGAGAGAGAGAGCGACATATTTTTAATACTCACTAATCGCGCCCGGCGTATTCGTATTCGTTCAACGAACGACTTGTTATCGGTATCAACATCAGCTGGAGCTGACTGATTGTCTGTACTTGCAGACGAATCTTCAATCCTACCTTCCTCTGATGCCCATCAATGCAACCGTAGAACTTCCGGTTGTCGCGCACGCCAGAGATTCCATCTTTACCGTTTTCTTAATAGCCTTGCCGATTCTCTTTAATTCCCCAACTTCACATAACAGACGCTCGTCGCACGATCACGGTAACTATGCGTATTCCTTGTTTACATCACTAACACTAACAGCTCGACATTGTCAACTTTACACGCACGAGTTAGGCTTCTCTAGTGAGCCTCTGCAAATACTGCATATCTTTTGCACGCTTCTCTTTCCTTCAAATCGTTGAGTTCCTTTGAGCAAAGTGCCCCCTCCCCATTTGTCTCCCTCTCTCTCTCTCTCTCTCTCTATTTCTCTCACGTAAATTTCGGCAATTATGCACAAAAGAGCCCCCCCCTCCTCCGATTTAATTTATTTTTAAATATGTTGTTGCGGCTTTTCCTGAGTCGTTTCATATACATATATATATAACGGTCGGACACAAATAGCTCCGGAAATACAAGCTGAAAAACGATGAAAGTAGTAAATATGAAAATTCATTTAAAGTGATGAATCACTGAAGCATATACACACACCAGCACCTCCCCCCCCTCGTCTGATCGAACTTGAGTCACGTGGAAAATCGCAAATTCATGTAACACGAAACAATACAACTTTCCATATGCGAAGCGAGCTTCGTGGCGATTACCGCATTTTTTATGCAATGGCTGAAATCTTCCCAATTCCCAACGATACTACTGCATAAATCATCATTAAACATTTATTATTTTTATACTCGTTATTTCTATCCTTTTTCAACCTGTATCTCCGAAGCTATTTGCGTCCGACCCTTATATATGTATATGAAACGACTCGGAAAGACTCCTCCAACAACATATTTAAAAATAAATGAAATCGGAGAGAGGACCCCTTTTGTGCATAAATACTTAAATTTCTTTCTTCTAGGCGCCGGAGCGAGCAGCCACCATCGAAACCAAAATCACGCCGCTGTCCCTGTCGATCAGGCTTCTCGATTGACGATCAACACGACGTTAGCCAGGTCGAACGGATGCATTTAGACGAGCGAGCCAACGTGTAGACGTAGACGCGATACCTCGCATCTGCATCTTTCCTGCAGACATGACTCTCTCTCTCTCTCTCTCTCTCACTCTCTCTCTCTCTCTCTCTCTCTCTCTCTCGCAAAGATCAGCGTAATACGTTACGTTATACAAAGACCGTGGCTTTGCAGATGCGAGGTACCGCGCTCATACCGTCCAAATGCAATGCAATTCTGTGTGCGGCGTCGTGCGCACACAGGGCCAATCGAAAAGTTCCTTGCTTTATTCCGACACGAAGGACGCCAGACTGATAATGTTACGAATAGTGTTGTGCTGAAAAGCGGCTGTGACCGATCGAGCTACGTTCGAGACGACGGAAGAAAGATCTCGACGATTCTCCCGAAAATTCGCAAAGTTCGGCTTCGAAGAGACGCGCGACGTGTGTTTCCTTCGATCAATCATTCTCTCGCTCATCTTTAGACATATTTATTTTGAAATAGCTGAGAAACTGGACTAGTTACGCGCGAGTTACTCTACGCGTCTTTTTCTTTTTTTTTTACAGCTGTGCGCAATTAGCTCTCGAGCGATCGAGACTCGTTCGAGATTGAAACCACGATCCGACGTCGAGGTCGGGATCGCGTTTGCTATGCGAATGCAAGTTTCGTCGCGCGTTTGCGTTCCTTTTGCCATAACTTTGCGCGACTTTGCGCGACATGATTGTACAAATAAGTTACGTAAGCTCTGTACACACATACATATATAAGTGTATATATATATATATTTTATAATTGTATCTCGGAAGGACCACGAGAAAGCTCTCGCATCCTCGTCTCGCCCTGTGTATTACGTACAATTGTCATTACTTAAAAAATTTCGTACACATAATAAACGTTTGTAGGATTGATTTTAATGCAAATAAATAATAAAACGATAAATGTCGGTTCACGAGAGATGAGCACGTAATACGCGCAGGCTATTGTTCACGATAGCAATGCGATCAGCAGCAACGTAATAATATATTTCGGTACACAAGAGGTAAAGGCTCGTCATTACGAACGTTCTTCCCAGAATCGACAACGTTTCCGCGCGCGACCGTGCCGACTCAGTTTCAATTGAATCGAACGCCGGCCGCGTGACGCCGCGTTGAGTCGGTCGCACGTCACGAGCTAGTTTATACGCATGCACGCATCGAACTCAGCCGCGCGGTGTCATCTTAATGTCGCTTAATTAGGATGGAAAAATGATTCGCGCACGATCGCGCGAGCATCCCGGTCGCAGCATCACACGTCGACACGGCTGTAGCGTAGTAACGTAGAAAAACGTGGCCGGTCGGGCGATGACGACGGCGGACGAAATGGGTCCTTTCGTTACGTGCGTTTGCAAGCATGATGCGCAAGAGAAAGCAGGCGTGGACGAGAGAAATGGACGGGAGAGAGAACGTATCGGAGCACTTCGCCAGGAAAAAACAATCGACCAGGTGCCGACGTGCGATCCGACGTGTGTTCCGATCCGCGATCTCGCCGCTCGAATTTACGAAAACGAGTCCCTGCGAAATTCATTTCAATTCGCACCGCGGGCGATTTACGGAGGGAGGCTCCGTCGCGCTGAATGATGCTCGCGCGCGCGCGCGCGCGTCTGGCCTCTCCCATTTCCTCCATGCCGTTTCTCAAGGCACGTCGTGCATTATCGTAAAAAGGAAACCAGGCTTCGCGCAGCTTCGAAACTGTAGTGTGGATGTGTAGGTGGGACCACTTCCCACACACACACACACAGTTACTGGCGTAACTGGCACACCAGCCAAGCATTTTTACATACCTGTTGCAAGGTATATATCGCATCGAAAGAACAAAATACGCCGCTATATCGGATACGAGGCCCTCGGGATGACGAGCAGCCGGCTAGCCCCGCGATCGCGAATCCCAAGGATTATCGGATAAGCGAGGAGACACACACACATACACGCGGAACGGCTTAGGCGAGCAGCAGGCAGGGCGAGAGAGAAGCCGCTGTTTATTTAGAGTTTCCTGCTTTCTTACCTTGCCGACGACAGTTTTACGCCCCGAAATAACAGCGAAATAACAGCCGGACGCTGATGATGGGTGGCGAATGACTGTATTTCACGCTAATCGGATTTCCCACCACGGGAGATCTCTCCCGTGTCACCGTAGAAGGAAGCGATTAATTTATATTGGCGCCGCTTAGCGACGCGCCTTTCCGCTGTGACTATTCCGTATCGTAGGAAACGGCGCGTGGGCGCGCGTGTGCGCGCAACAGCGCTTCTACAGAACAGCGAGGCATGTAATACGTAAAGTGGGGCCAAACGACAACACGACGATATCGAAGTATCGCTCACACTGGCTGTTTCCGCTCGCGTTTATCGCTGATCAATCGCTGATCACCGATTGATCATTTAAATTAATCGGCCCCCGCCGATTCTCTCGTCGCTCTCCACTTCGCTCTTCTCCCGACGCGGCTGAATGATGTGCGCGACGCGTGAAACCGCCCAATTTACCGCCGTAAGATTCCAATTGATCACGTGGTACACGTTCCTCCGCTCGGCGGAACGTGCATCAACAGGTAGTGGCACGCACTATTTGAAATCTCACTCGTAAAGCCGTCGTGGGCGACGTATAAAGTCACGGGCGATCCGCGTCCGCGCTTCAGTCGGCGGACGAGGCTCTCTCGTATTCTCTCTCTCGTGCGCGCGCGCGCGCGCTCACGTCCGTCGTAAATCGTCACCATCAGAACACCGTCCTTCCGCATTTCGCGACTCGAAGAAGCATCGCGCTCACCGCGAACCGCCGGAGGCTCTCTCTCTCTCTCTCTCTCTCTCTCTCGCTTCTTTCTCGTTTTTCTATCTCGCGGAACGAGTCGTCTCGCGTCTCGTCTTTCATCACTCGCACGGGCCGCAGCTACGCGAGTCAGGATGCGGGTCCTGACGGTGCTGATCCTAGGATCGCTCGTTGCCTACGCCGTCGACGGCGCCGTTATACCGGACGAAGGTAAGCTGATCTCCCGTGAGAACGCGCGACGCTTTGCTTCACCGAGAATACGGCGGCACGGTCCACGGAAATATTGGACGTCCGGGTCTCTCTCTGACCGGACGGCATCTCGAATTAAATTAGCGCGCGATGCTTGTTCCGCCATTTCCGTCCGTCAATTGACCGGGAATTTTGTTTGACGCTAAGCCTGTAAGTGATTCGTCATGTGTTTTCACCAAATACCGTCTAACCGCGTACGCTGTACGCGGTTAGACGGTTCGGCTAAATTCATTGCCGATTTGGTAGACGCGTAGACGCCATTCCCGGCGAGCGAGAGACGAGACAAGAAATCCGGTAGTGAACGTGAGATCGGCGAGCAAAAGACTCGTTCTCACGGTCGCTCGACCTCTTCCCGCGACCGACCGCGGTCGCAACACGTCCTGCCACCCTCCCTTTTGCATCCCATCGCGATTTCCGATTTCAGGTCTCAAGAAGGACCTGCAGAATGTATGGCAGGAAGACAGCTTCGTGATCGCGTTGTCCAACATCAAGATCAAGAAGAGGCAGTCCGGCAGCGCGATCGAGACTCTCCTAGCCGTCAAGTATGGAGAGTCGAAGAGCAAGATAGTATTGATGCTCGATCGGCGAACGAAACGCGGTGAGTCGATCGACAGATTTTCCCAGACGGACGACTCTTCCCGCTCTCTCTCTCTCTCTCTCTTTCTCTCATGCGTTCTCTCAACGCGTTCGCACGTTGACGTTTCTCATTCTAGTTGTTCTCGAGAGCCTCGATGAGAGCGGCCGACGCAGCGCCGACCACGTCAATGTGGACAGCCTCGCGGTGAACACGCCGCTGAAGAGTTTGATCATCCTGCTGCATCAAGATCAGCCGAATCCTCGCGTGGACGTGTACGTCGACTGTGTCTATCAGGGCTCCATACCGTTCAAGAGGACCTTCCGCGACATCGCCGAGAACGAGGAGAGCCCGTATGTGGAAGTGGTGAGAGCTGTTCCAGCTGCGATTTGTTGATCATGCTTATCACACGACGCGCTGAAAATTCCGCGGCTCTCGCGGCTCTCCCCTAACTCGATGTTTGTGATTTTTCGTTCGTCGGTCTTTCTTCTACGGTTCGCACACTCGCGCTGCTCGCTCGCGCTCGCGGTTAGGTTTCTTTCTTTCTTATTTACGTGTCGTCCATGACGTCCGCGAACGTGGGACGACGTCTTCCCAAATATGGTCGACGAGAGCTAAGCTAGTTGCTTCTGCATCGCGTACACCTGGCTGACTTGCCCAACTCTCGAACGCAACGATCCCTGATGAATGCTCGGACAAATTGAATTCGTTTCAATGAATTATTCGCGGCGGCGAGTTATTACGAGCGTAGCGTAGCCGTATCACGCCTCGTCATTTTGCGATTATTCTCAATTCCCAGCTACGCGACTGCGCGACTAGCGCTCTTTCTGTATTTCTCGCTGCTGGAATTACAAGAACGCCTGTGCAGCATGACTTCTGTTTTCTCACTCGCTCTGGTGCTTCTGATGCGACAGCTTGGTAATATCGGAGGCGCGCGAATTAGCACGCACGCGTATTCCCGTTCACCTCCCCTCGTTGACTTGTAATCGACAGGGTCTTTGGTTGAAAGTAGAGAAAAATGTCTGTCCTTTGGGATATCGCTTCGGTAAAATCTTCGCGTGGAAATCTTCTTCTTCTTCTTCTTCTTCTTCTTCTTCTTCTTCTTCTTCTTCCAGTTCCGGGAACGAAAATGCCAGGCAAAAGTGCACAAGACTTCGAGCATCAGCGAGGTGCTGCGGAAAGAGCAATGTCCCAACAACCTAGTCGACATGATTCTCCCGTCGGTACTCGAGACCGATTTATTTCCCGGACGCACGAATATCCGACCTCTATCTCGACCGACCGATCGCGCTTCCGACGAGGACGATACGATCGAAGAGCCCGAGGCATCGGACCAAGATCAGACCAGCAGCCTGGAATCAGCCGGCGGCGGTCACCGTCCGAGTCATAAAGAGCCCTCCGGTAACAAGAAGAAGCCTCACGGCTCACGGCCTGAACGCGGTGATCCCGATGCCGGTTACGCCAACTCGCACCGTCCTAACCGTGACCACACTCGTCGTCCCGACAGAGACCCGCCCGGTTATGTGTTCAACTTGAAGCCCGACGAATTGGGCGAGGCGGGACCAATATCGGACGCAGACGATGAACATCGCGATCGTGAAAATCGCCCCGGACGAGATAAATCGAAAGCGCCCGCAAAGTTCAAACGACGACCCTACAAGGACCTACCGGGTTTGCCTGCCGACAAATCGGACGAACAAGGGCCTAAACGACCCGACAAATGGAGACCGTTTGGCAATGATAAAGACACAGTTCTAGAACCGTACGATCAGATCGAACCGGACGTTCATCAACCTGAAAATAAGACCAGGCCACCCAGGAGAGGCGACATCGGGATCCAGAGTCTAGATGAGAAAAGTGAGTGAAATAAGCGACGAGTAATTCAGTTAATCGAGCTTCGCTTCGACACGTTTTCACGCTCGACGTTTTTCCCAGTTTGTCTGACCGACACCAACATCGTGAAGGCTCTGAATGAATTAATCGACGCCACCAAGAAGATGTGGAGGGAACTGGAGCAAAACGTAAGTTTGCTATACGCTGTACGCAGCGATCTTTATCGCTGCATTCGTCGTATGTCGTAAATCAGTATTTTCAGAATCTGAATTTATCTGAATTGGCGCGTTGAAAGTATCGATTCGGAATAAAGTTGATCTCAAACGATATAAATCCTACATAATACTACCGATAATAGATAATTTGAAAGTTTCCCTTGAGATTAGAGTGCGATAAGCACGATGCGCGTTTCCGCGATAAACATCATGTATTTCTCCCGATTGCAAAACGCGAAACCTTTTCCATTTTCCATTTTTTCCTCTGACGTAACGTCAGAGTTACGACATTCGTAGCCGCGAGACGCTGCCCGAAGCCAAGAGACACGACGCGAAAAATCGCGTCAACTCATCGTCGTTGTATTTTGCAGAGACTGGAAACCCAGCAACTTCGTCGTTTGATCGAAAACTGCGCGGCGTGTCGTACACCCACCGGTGAGTGACCGTTCCGTCGTATTGAAAGGACATGTGCTCGAAAAAAAAAAAAAAAAAAGAAACAAAAAGAAAATAATAGTTCTCTCCTTAACGTGGAAGTTAGCCAAAGCCGCGCATCGTATTTAACGTCGATCGAACGGCGACGATCTGCCGCAGCACCACCACCTATCGACCCTGTTTTATCTTGTCTCACGCGCGTTTATCCTCCCTCCACTCCTCTTCGAACTTGTCTGTACGCGGTGGTAGTTGTCAGCGAAAATACGCACTATTTATATGCAACGAGTTGTATCAAACAATCTTACAACGCAATAAACGCCTGTTGTTAGAAAAATTCGACTTTGTTGTGTGACTCTTGTTCTCTGGCGTTGCGCAATCGACAGCTGCTTGTCTTAGCATCTCTCTCTCTCTCTCTCTCTCTCTCTCTCTCTCTCTCTCTCTCTCTCTCTCTTTATACGCGAGAACTATACGAGAGCTACCGCGGTGCGTTTCGGATACACGTACGATATCTCTGCAACATCTCGCCGAGATCGGCCGACGCTAACGCTAGCTCATTAACTCCTCCGCAGCTAATCGTTCCCCGCAGCGGCAAGTGCGCGCAATCTGGCAATCATTCTCGCGAAAACGCTTGTTTAACACACACACACACACACACACACACACTGACGCTTGCATCTCTGTATCTTATCATTACGAGCGGCATATGGACTAAAATAAACAGACTGAAATAATAAGAACAGGTTGTGAGCGAAGAGGCTGCGCTTTGCACGAGACGCATCACGTACGTAATTTATACTATCTATACCGTGGTAACGCATCGAATTCGCAACGTCGAGTTTCAAGTTGACATATGCAGATCTCCATCTATTCTTTTTTTTTAAATACGCACACGTACGCGCACGTACATACGCGTGCATTTCATTTGCACGTGCACGTACGACACGCTGGGCGGGGGGGGAGGAGGGCGCTCGAAGATACGCGTGTGTGAGCGACGCGTGAGTGCCGGAGGCCAAGAAACTCCCGACAAAAATTCAGGCAATTCTCACTCGTCACGAGCCGTGATCCCGGTAATTCCGCAGTGCCACCGCCGACACGGCCGCCGACGTCCACATGCGACCATAACTCCCCGTGCTTCCCCGGCGCCGATTGCCGCGATACGTCCAGAGGACCCCAATGCGGCCCTTGTCCCCCTGGTTTCACCGGAAACGGACGGGTCTGCACCAAGATCTACGTCATCACCTGCATCGACCGACCGTGCTACCCCGGGGTGCAGTGTTTCAACATCAGCAGCGGTTACAGGTAGAGCCGCGAGTATTACGAGCTTCCGCGAGAAGCGAGATGGCTGACATTCATTCGCGCGCGCGCGCGCGCATGCGCGTTCGCGCGTTAATTCTGCTTGCAGATGCGGCGGATGCCCGAACGGCTACACAGGAAACGGCGAGAAGTGCGAGAGACGCAGGAACCCTTGCCATTCTCAGCCCTGTCACCCGGAGGTTCAGTGCTACCCCATCGAGCACCAGCCGTATTACAGGTAAACGACGACAGGTCAGGCGACGCTTTTGCAGGGGCGCCGCCCCCCCCCTTCGGGTTTCATGAATGAAAAACACTTTCTCGATCGCAACACCCTCGCTCCGGGACTGTTGGAGCAAAAATTGGAGATTATGTATCCTTATGAAGTACTATATATTCCGGCAAAATCTCCTCGCGCTCTCATTGCCTCGTTAGCCCCGCTAATTACCACCATAATACGACACAGATGTGGTCCCTGCCCAAGAGGGTACGTGGGTAACGGCAGCACCTGCCTCGACATAAACGAATGCGAGCTGTCTCAGCCGTGCTTCCCCGGAGTGCGTTGTATCAATCTCCATCCCGGGTACAGATGCGACCCGTGCCCGACGGGTTACGTCGGGCCATTTGTAGAGGGTATCGGCGTCGAAATGGCCCGCAAGCAGAAGCAAATCTGCCGCGACATAAACGAGTGCGAGACCAACAACGGCGGATGCGACCCCTACGCGGAGTGCGTCAACACCGAGGTGAGTGGAGAAGAAGCGGCGAGAAGCGAACACTTTTTTTTCAATTTTCGAACACGTCCGAGCGGATGTGCGGTGCTTTAAACGTCGCACTCGATTCTCCAAGGGATCCTACAGATGCGGTCCATGCAGAAGCGGCTACATCGGCAACCAGACAACCGGCTGTCATTCCAGAGGCAACGTCTGCCCGGACTTGACGACGGCCTGCGACGTCAATTCCGACTGCATCCAAGTGTTCACCCACGAGTACATCTGTAAAGTAAGTACCAAGGTCAAGTAAGAGATGACGAGGTGTCGGGACACAACAACAACACACAGGGGCACCAGTAGGGACCGCCTTGCCAGTAGCGCTACCTGAAGGTAGCGCGCCTTCTCAACCCTACTTTGCTACTTCGTCGGTCCATTACTTGCAACGACTCGAACCGCGCCCTCTTCTCGCAGTGTCACGTCGGCTGGGCCGGAAACGGACTGATTTGCGGCCCCGACACCGACATGGACGGCATCCCCGACAGGAGCCTCAACTGCCACGATTCTCGCTGTCAGTCCGACAACTGCCCCACGACACCCAACAGTGGGCAAGAGGACACCGACAGGGACGGCATAGGCGACGCCTGCGATCAAGATTCCGACAACGACAGCGTGCTCGATAGGATCGACAATTGCCCGTTCATTTATAATCCGGATCAGAAGGACACCGATGGCGACAAGATTGGCGACGCCTGCGACAATTGCCCGTTTGTCGACAACCCGAGGCAATGGGACATCGACGGCGACACCAAAGGCGACGACTGCGACGACGACATGGACGACGATCGTAATGTTTTATCTCGCTACGATTAAATATTACATAATATTATAAACATAATTTTTGGGGAGATTTTGTTTCTCTACAACTTCACGATTATCTATTTACACGGTTGATAACTCGGGTCTCGGGTTAATTAATCGGGGTGAGATTTGAACGATCGAGAAACGCCCCCTTAGGCATCCCGAATCACCAGGACAACTGCCCGAGGGCGAGGAACGCGGATCAATTCGACAGCGACGGCGACGGCGTCGGCGACGCCTGCGACAATTGTCGACACGCGCCGAATTCCAATCAAATGGACGAGGACGGCGACGGGGTCGGGGATGTTTGCGACAACGACATGGACAAGGACAAGGACGGTGTCCAAGACAACTTGGACAATTGCCCCAGCGTGCCGAATCCCGGACAGAACGACGTTGACCGTGACGGTATGGGCGACGAATGCGACGATGACATCGACAACGACGGTGTGTTGAACAGAGTCGACAACTGTCCGTACGTGTACAATCCGGACCAACGCGATATCAATCGTAAGTGCAACGCAACCTTCATCCTTCTTCATATGTGTTTGTAACATGCGCACACACCTCTTACATCTCTTATTCGTCTCGCGCGCGCAGGCGACGGAATCGGCGACGCGTGTTGGAACGACCACGACAACGACACGGTTATCAACATCTACGATAACTGTCCCAACAACAGTCTGGTGTGGACAACGGACTTTCGTAAGTACAAGACGATCAATCTCGACCCGATCGGCACGTCGCAGGAAGACCCCGTGTGGAGAATTAATCACCACGGCGCGGAGATTCAGCAGCTCATCAACAGCGACCCTGGAATCGCCATAGGTAAGTTCCTAAGCATAATTCATTTCCTAAACCTAATTCAGGCCGCATGAGGGCCGCGTGACGCGAGAGGCAGCAGCAGCAGCAGCAGCAGCAGCAGCAGCTTTCTCAACTCCTTATCTGTCAAGGACCGGATGTGCTCAGCGGCGTCGATTACGAAGGCACCTTTTACATCGACGACGACACCGACGACGATTACGTGGGATTCGTATTCTCCTATCAGGACAATCGTAGATTCTACATCGTCGCCTGGAAGAGAGAGAATCAGGTCTACTGGCTGGGCACGCCGTTCCGCGCGGTGGCCGATGCCGGGATCACGTTGAGACTCGTCAATTCCGCGACCGGGCCGGGCGAGGTGCTCAGAAACAGTCTCTGGCATAACGAGGACACGCCTGATCAGGTGAAGATCCTGTGGAGGGACCCGAGCAAGTACGGCTGGCAGCAGAGGACTTCGTACAGGTGGCATCTGCTCTACAGACCGCAGATCGGCCTCATCAGATTCTGGTTGCACGAGGGCACGCGCTTAGTGAGCGACTCTGGGAACATTTACGATTCGACTTACGCAGGCGGTCGACTGGGCGTCTATTGCTTCTCGCAGGAGATGATCACCTGGTCCGACTTGCTGTACAAGTGCACAGGTAAGTGCAAGGCGAGCGATATATTGCTCTTTTCTTCTTTTTTGCAAAAAGGGAGAAGAATCGCTTCTTCTCCGAGAGGCCTCCGGGAGTTACGATTAAGAATACGAAAATAAGTAATACGAACGATACGTAAGAATAGCCAAGGAAAATGTCCCGATTCTCGTGCAATTTTCAGACACCGTGCCACAATCCGTATGGAACGAGTTACCGTCTCACCTGCAGGCGCAGGTTCAGGTGAGTGCAAGCAACTTCGGGCAGCCGCAAATGACACGATGGAGAACATACGACTATTACTAAAATACGTTCTCGGCGACCTATTTACGGCGCGATCAAAAGAAAAGTGAACGGAGGGAGTTTGTTTTGTCATCCGTAATCCTCTCGCAAGAGTATCGAGAGAGCCGAATTACAGCCGGTTTAAAGCCGCTATAAGCAATTATGCCGAAATGGCGCTTGCTTGGCGCACTTAAATAAAATGCAACTCCACACCATTTTTCGAGAGCGCGACACAAAACGACGTGTGTATTTTGATAGATTACATAGATCCCCCTCCCCCTCCCCCGTTACAGAGAGGTATTTAATATTCCAACCGGCGCTCGCACACACGCGAATGTATCTTCTCTCTCTCTCTCTCTCTCTCTCTCTCTCTCTCTCTCTCTCTCCTCTCTCTCTCCCCCCCCCTCCCTCCCTCCCTCCCTCCCTCCCCTCCCTCCCTCCCTCCCTTTAACCCATTAATCAACCCTTTTATTCTATCGAAAATAATTATCCGAATATACATGTGATACGGTCCCCACGTTATTATAAACCAAACGTACTTACTTCGCGCGGGTACCGAGACGCGCATGCAGTTGCGATATGTTTCAATTAAACAATATATACGTTAATATATATATATATATATATATATATATACATACTGTATTCTGAATGTACTGTAATCTGAGATGCGTCATTTCTCACGATGATTCTCTCGAGCTTGACTTTATCAGGTGCCGTAACTTTGTTAAGACACAATAAATCCCGCAAAAGTTATTCTTGTTCTTTAAGAATGAGGTGTGGCGAAACAAAACACTGTCCATTGACGTAAAATCTGTCTACTAGAAATGCGTTGGAACGTTGGAAGAAACTTATTCTATCCGAGTCGAAAAACACTTGCACAATTTCATATTAACTGTGCAAATTTTATTGAAATACATTCTGACAGTGTAAATTCCGACTATACTAATCGATATTGCCTATTGTTTGTACGGTGTACGGATGATTTCGTCCGTAAACAAATCAAGAATATTCTGTACAATAAACAATTTGACATACTTGGAATGTATCGCTCCCCCGGTCGAATCCTGCGTCTCCCGGCTCTCCAATTCAGCATCCTGGCTCCTTGTTGCTTCGTCACACACAGGATATTCACCAACACACCGATCGAGCGAAGAAATGCGTATTACTCACCACGCAACTGTCGACGAGAGCTAGATGAAATGTTTCAAGAACCGGCAAAAAAAACATTCGAGTTCGCCCGACGCCATGTATAGGAATGTGTGTAACAACCATAAGCAACGTGCTGCGTGTATCGATATGTGCGTCACTGACCGACTCGAAACATAATTGATCAACTTGATGGAAAAATGCGATGCGCAAAGGTACCAATCAGTAACGAGAACAAAGATGCTCTCAGCCAGTCGCGAACTCGTCGTCGTTAACCAATCAACGACGCGAGTGTTGGTTTTGGTGGTTGAGAAATCGCGCGACAGTTTTCACTCCCTCGAAATATTTCATCCCGGGTAACCTTACCATCTTCGCGGGAACGACGACGACGACGAGGTAAAGTTTCGCGCGCGCGCGTGTGTGTGTGTGTGTGTGTGTGTGTGTGTGTGGATGACTGAAAAGTGAACTCAACGTGAGAAAAATCAAGCCGACGAATTGTGCGTGGTGCGAATGGAAAGCAATATCGCGCTGTGATCGCGCTGCTCACACAAGGAGAGACTGATGGGAAACACAAGACGCACGCGGTGTGAGGTATTAAATTCGAATTTATTTGTGTTTCGCTCACAGAACACGCTGACGAATTTAACGAATAATCGTAACTCCCTAAGTTAATGATCCTTATTGAAATTGACGTTAAAACAGTCTTCTTACAATGCTTGTTCCCTTGCGGCTTTTATAATAATCGAGACGAAATTACGAAACTAATCGCTCGCTTAATCGTGGTAGCCCCGTGCACCGGCTGAATCCTGCCGACTCTTCGTCGTGTACCAGGGCACTTCTCTGGTCTCTCCTCAAGCCTCGCCCGCGTTCTAAACTCGAGATGTCGACTATCCCCTAAACGCGTGTTCAAACGCTAATACGAGTTGAATCGTGCGCGACATACATATGTATAGTATATGTATATGTATATGTATATGTATATGTGTATATATATATATATACATACACATATATACATATATATATATGTGTATATATATATATATATATATATATATATATATATATATATATATTATATACTTTTTTTCTCCATATATAAATACGATGTTGTTCTAGCTAGAATAAATTATTAAAATCTACGTAATAATTTCGAGGAAGTGAGAAAAGGGTGAGAGAAGGGTGGAGACGGGCGGAGACCGAGAGTCTCGCTGATCTATCTATTTACATTAGGGAACGAAATGCACGAGTGCGACTCGGCGCGTCACAAACCGCAGACACACTCGAGGCTTCGCTTTCGACAGCGAAACGTCGAGCGAGCGCGAAGCTATCGCGCTGTTTCTTTCTTTCTTTCTTTCTTTCTTTCTTTCTTTCTTTTTCCTTCGTTCTTCTTTCTTTCCCTTTATGCCGAAACGATGATAACGCGCGCGGCTATCGCCAAGACCTTCGTTCTAACTTCTAAAGTAAAATGCGTTCGCTGACGCGACGCGACGCGCGCGCGTTGTGGCAGTGGATCGCTCAGAACTCGCTGATTAAGGCAGTTGGGCACGCCTCGAACCGAAAGAATGGGGCTAAATCGGGGATACGTGTCCCTCGCGAAAGGACACTTTTCGCGGATCGATTGGTGGCCGCGGTCCAGCGCGGAGGCGCTGTGTGTGTGTGTGTGTGTGTGTGTGTGTGTGTGTGTGTGTGTGTGTGTGTGTGTGTGTGTGTGTGTGCGCGCGTGTGTGTGACACTCGATCGGGACCAATCTTGGTTTCGCGTCGAATATCACGATCGATCGATAAGCATTGTATCGTTATCATCGATATATCGTTATCGCGCGGTTCTCGCGACTTCACACTGGCAAGGCTTTACGACCGCGTGGTCGATTCCAGTGGGTGATGATTCGACGAACCGTTCCTCGACCTGCCCGACTACAAACTAACTTATTCAGCACGATAACATCATCGTTCGCTCGATGATGCGGATTTTATATTATGTGAAATTATTCGCCAGCGATAGCGTCTACCTCTTTTCACCGGTGTCGCTCGCATTCTGTCGATAGGAAGAAAGAGGGAAAGAGAGAGAGAGAGAGAGAGAGAGAGAGAGAGAGAGAGAGAGAGAGAGAGAGAGAGAGAGAGAGAGAGAGAGAGAGAGAGAGAGAGAGAGAGAGAGAGAGAAGGAGAGAGTCTTTTAGCGCGGGAGAAGAGGACGCACACGTAGGAGATCCAAACGACTTAGTCGATGAAAATCGAACGTGTCCGGGGCATATGCGTATGTTTTAATCTTCACCGGTGGCAAATGTAATATAATGCGGTAGACTCTAATTATACATACGTACACACATACACACGCACACGCACATACATCTCTCGCCACCGGAAAGCAATATCGTTAGAAAATAACGTACACGAGTATAAAAAAGATGCAAAGACTGAAGATCGGGAAGAGGGATAAAAAAGTGCATTGCGCTTTCAGCGTTCCGCGGTCTAGAAACTGGTCTAAGAAAACTGCTCTAATTCGCTCGGCTAAAACTATGAGTAATAAATGAGTGGAGGAAGAGGGATCTCGAGTCTCCCTCTGAGAGACTCGCGAGAGAGGAACGCAACTTCGTAGTTGACGTAGTTCGACGAACAAACGACTCTCGGTCGCGGCCGTAAAACGTAATGCAACGTGACGTAACGGAGCGAGCGGACGCGCGAGTGCGCATCGCGCGGCCGCAGATCGCTTTCGATCAAAGTCGTCGTCGTCGTTGTCGTGTCGAAACAGACGCGCGCATTGTCCGCTGCGTCTGCTCGCACAAATGTGTTTGCTTCGTCTTGCCTGAACGCGGTATTCAGACAGCTTGCCGCGCTCGTCGACTCTCTCTCTCTCTCTCTCTCTCTCTCTCTCTCTCTCTCTCTCTCTCTCTCTCTCTCTCTCTCTCTCTCTCTGTCTCTCTCTCTCTCTCTCTCTCTGAAGATTGTCTGTTCCACGACCACCACATGCGCGATTCCACTCGGAGAACACGCGTCTCTCTCCGTCTTCTTTTACAAGCGAACTCGCATTCCAAGTGCGAATGACGAGACCGCCGATCATCCTTCGTCGACCTCCGTTTATTCGAGTCTTACCTGGACACTGACGTTCGGAATTTACGGCACTGGAATGTCTTCGGGAAACGCGGCTCCCATCGACGAGACGACAACAACGACGACGACGACGACGACGACGTGAAAGAGACGCGTCTTAAAGAGAAAATCGATATTCTTCGAAGCAAGAGAACATCGGCGAACGTGTCGGCTGACGCGACAGAGAAACTGTTCATCGAACGTCACTTGGATCGAATAATATCTGGTGGAAATGGAAGATGCGCTGACGCGGCGAACGCGCGCGGCTTGATCGATGATCGTCGTCGCGTTCGTCACGCGTGCTTTATCGCCCTGTGAGAAGAACGAATCGTCGATTAAACCGGAAGAAGCGTAAGCGGCATCAAAGGGTCCGCGGAGACTCGACGCGGAGACAGCCTCTTCACCCTCATTCTGGTCAGTATTGTAACAAAAGACTCGTCCTTTGCTCGTCCTCTTGAAAAACGGCAGGAGGATTGCGTCGGTCACGAGGAGGATCAGCTCTGGTTGGATCGCTGATTAGAAGAATCGAATTGAAATCGCACTCGACGACTCGAATGACGACTCGAAGCGCGTCGCTTCCGTATCGGCTTGTTCTCTCTCGCGAATGTTCTTCCAAACGATCAAACACCTTAACGTCGTTTCCTTACTTTCGCGTCGTGATCGATGCTGTCGATGGGCGAGGTGCTGGACGTGACTTCGGGTCACCAGGCCTCCGTGTATCGAACGTCGAATTCCTGCAGAGCCGGCAGTCGCTTCTTCAGCGACTCGAATGTCTGGGCCGACAGCTTCGTGCTGTTTAGATTCAATTTCCTTAGGCTCGTTAATGCTGCAACATAACATAATCGACAACATCTTCTTGCGGACGAGAAATGCAAACTGAATGTCAGATTCCGCGCGACTACCCAACACTTCGCGACGAAGAAGCGAAGCCGATCTTAACTCGAACATCTCGAACATTCGAACTTGAAAGTTAAAAATACCGGGAAAAAGAGTAACTTTCTCGTATTGTTTCTTCATCTGTCTATTTTTCTTTATCATTCGTCCGCCGCGGTCTGTGTTCTCGCAGTCTGTTTCGCTGCGCGTTTGCTCGCGCACATGTGTGTTATACATGTGTGTTTCGCGGTGAAATTTCACAGATACTCACAGGCCAGTGTGGAGATGCCTTTGTCCGAGACGGGCGTCTCGCAGAGATTCAAGACCTGCAGCTTCTGCAGGTGCTCGCTGATCATCTGTAGGCCGGCGTCGCCGAATTGCGTGGCCCACAGGTTCAAGTACCTCAGCGCCGGTAATTTTATCAGCTGCTCCGCGCACGCGGACGTCACGGAGGTGAAAGCCAAGCTGAGGCACTCGAGGTTACCGAGGGCACGACCGCCCAGTAAAAGGGCGACGTCGGCGTCGGTCGCTCGCACCGGTAGCGTCAGCTTACGCGGTCCGCCCTTTTGTTGCTGGCGAGAGAAATCGAGATCGAATGCATGTTGAGTGCGCGCAGCCGCTCGCGATTATTCGAATTTGCCGAATGTTGGGGGGCAAGGAAAGGAAAAAGGCGCGTATATTTGACGCATGTCTTTTGACCGATTTTGCATCATTTTCGGCGGCGGCCCGCTCTCGCTCGTGTTCGTTCGATTCTTCACAGCCCCTCCGGCCCCTCCCCCGTCCCCCGTATCTATCGTATCTACTTCAGCGCCGGTGGTCTGACGAGGCGTTGCTTTATCTACTGACTGTATATCTACTGGGAAGTAGATGACCGACAGGAAGTCAGTGGTCGGTTAGACACTCGCGGCCGTAACTCCGTCTTATCTCGAGCGGAAGAACGCGCGAAACTGCTCCGCGCATTTTCCAACTGCGCAAAGCGAGGCCGCCGTCGTCGTCGTCGTCGTCGTCGTAGAAAATATACGTGGTAAATGAGAGACTATTCTTGGCAAACGCGAGAGCGGTGTTCCCGGTAATTTATCAGGAAGACGCAGAAACGTCTTCGTCTTTGTAACGCGCGCCGCTACGACGCGTCCGACCCGCGAGCGATTCGCGTCGCGAGTTCGCTCACCAGCTCCTGCAGATTCTTCTGCCTCTGACAGAGCGCGGCGTAGCGCTCCTTCCCAGACTCGGTGGATTCGAGCGCGTTGACTATCTGAAGCCTCGCCTCCTCGTTCGCCAACAAACGCCACTCGAGCATCAGGCAGAGCACTTCCTGCGCGGCGTCGCAACCTCGCACCGCCAGCAAGATGCAATCGTCGCCCGCTTGTTTCAGCAGCGACGCGATGAATCTCTTTCGTCGGCAGCAACACGCCAGCAGGGTTGTGAGCTATTGGATAAAAGAGAGGAAGAGGGAGGATTCACTGGTGGGAACCCAACCTCTCTCCAAGTTTACCAAGGTGTATCCGTGAGAGATATGACCTGTACGCGTGCTCTCTCACGCATACATTCCGACGTAAGCCGCGAGCGAAAGCGAGTATACGACGCAACGCAGAGGGCAGTCAGAGACCGTCACGACGCCGTCGATTGATTCCCCGGCGATTGAGATTTCCCGGCGACGGAGTCGGATAATAGAATGCGCGCGCGAGTTAACGATCGCGACAGTGGAATTCATCCGATAGAAAACTCGCGATATATTCACTTTCTCGCGATCAGTCGACAAGCCTCATTAATTCCGCGCGTTGATGGCGATTCAGTTCCACGGTCGAGATTGGAATAGAAGCCGTCAATCGCTGGCCTATTGAAGCCGCCGCACTCGTCGTCTCGCGAGAGAGACGATTCATGCATATTCACAGACGGGTCTCTCTCCGCCGCTTGGTTTCGAATCTCGCTTGAGAATAATTCGCCGTCCATGATGAATCGTCTCGGAACGACGAGTCTTATTCCGGCGGGTTATCACGACGCGGCAGAACCGACTCGCGAGACACTTGGCTCGCGCGATTGCAGGCGCAATAATCGTTTCACGTGTGAATAAATTCGGTCTCGTTGCGCGGTCCCGATAAGCGCGATAGTGTCGTATCCGTCCGCGCGTATCCTCCATTTGATATTTATATCTTTGGTCAAATGTGACCCGAATGTAGAGCACGAAGCGCACGATTCGCGCACGCGAAATTAATGGGAGAAATGTGCAAGCGATTGCCCCCTCGCCTTGCAGCCGTTCCTATGTTTCGCTCGTCGTTCGTTCACGTCTTTCATGATATAACTTACGATTGTCACAGAGTTCCGTGATGAAGGAAAATTGCTCAATATTATTAAACGGTGGGAGAGAGGATATGAATACTGCCATTTTCAAGAGGAAATCATAGATCGGTGAAACGCTTGGAAGTAAAAAGCTGCGTGAAAAAATGACGAAAAATGATGAAAGCGCCCCGCGTTCTACCGCGTTCTTCATCAGACTACACACTGATATACACCGATCGGGGGATGTGAGAGGCGAGTGAAGGTAGTTCGCGAGTAAAAGATAAGCGGGAACGCTGCTCACCATCCCGCCGAACAGCTCCCCGCGATCCGGACAGGCTGGACTGGACGGTGCAGCGATGTGGATCCAGCCTGGACGCGGTTCCCTGACGGGCAGCAGCACGCGATGGACCGTGCATCTCGGATCTTTCGCCAGTCGTTGCATCACGCACATCAACACGGAATCCTGCACTTCCCTCGTGGCCAGAGCTTCCTCCGGGAATGGGACAGGTTGCAGCAAGGCGCCGAGACCGGGACGCCAGTCGGCGTACTCCGACCTGTGAAAGGTGCCATCTCTCGAGTTGATTTTACCTCGCTCAAATCTCGGTCGGTCGGTCGGACACTTGGCCGTCGAGATCGGCGGACCAATCGGAATTTTTTATTCAGTGGTGCGCACAACTTACGCGACATTCAGGACGAGCAGATAACACTGCAACGGCGGCAGCAACGGCGGCTTGTCCTCGTTCGACGACACGCGACTCGACACCTCGAACCTGCCAACGAAATCGCCGACGTTGATAGCCCCGTTGATTCGGACTGGACTCGCGGATTGTAATCCTACTCGCGGACGAAACTCACCTATGGAATATAGCCGCGACGCAGATGGACACCAGATTGGGAAGCACTCTTGGGTGCGGACAATCGCTGCCTGGCCCGTGAACCGACGAGATGTAATCCCTGATTGCCTGTTCGCCGTCATTGTTCTCGTACAAAGCGGCGACGAAAACCTGCGCCATACACGCGCAACAACACGCATATAAATCAGCCTGTTACCTTTATACAAGTCGAACTGAGTGTCAGGATCAAATAATGAGAGAGAGAGAGAGAGAGAGAGGGAGGAGGGGGAGAGAGAGAGAGATCAACGCAAAGAGGACATATATTTCAGCAGTCACAGCAGAGACAACGAGAACTTGTCGGGTGCCCACCTGCAGTAACTTCCTCATGTCCGGCGACTTGCCAAAGTCAACGGTGTGCTTGAGACATCTCGTGATTGCCGGGCCGAGCGCCGGGACGAGTTGCGACCGCGGATGCTGCTGCGTCAGTCGAGCGAGCGCTCGCGCGAGTGACGGCGGCGGCGCCGCTTTTTCCAGGAGAGGAGCCACCACCGACAGCACGGCCTCCGCCCAATTTTTGCGATCGCGAACCATCTCCTCGGTCTTGGCATCCGAGTCGGATTCTATGGCCGGTTCCTCCAGCAATTTAGCCACCGCCTCCAACGGGGCGGCCGACACCCTCTCGTCCTGCAGCGGCGTCCACAGAGCAAAGTCCACCATGGTGCGCAGTTCGCGCAGAATCACCTCCTCTCGCGTGCTCAAGGACACGAGGTGCTGGTACTTGAAGATGCTCTTCTGCGAACGAGCAAATGAGCTTTGAACGATTCGCGAAACGAGTCCGATGTTGCGCCGCGGCCGGGGTTTGATCCAAACTGCCGTGGGATCGAAACCTCTCTGCGCGAGAGAGAGAGAGAGAGAGAGAGAGAGAGAGAGAGAGAGAGAGAGAGAGAGAGAGAGAGAGGGATAATACAGAGACAGAAAGACGATAGATATTTTTGCCTCGTAATAAATTCAAATATATTCAGATTATCATGCATGCGAGCGATTGGCGCATCAGCGGAACAATCTTCATATTCAGCTGGAGTCTTCTGGAACGGAGCGCAAAATTCCGGACGCATCATTCGGCTCGCGAGTGACTACCGCCACCAAATAAGGTCGACCTCGCGCGAGAGTCATCGGCATCCAGTCGACAACGCACGGACGATGTTTTCGTCGAAGATGTAACGCCTTAAACAATAAATCGTTCAATCGATCGTTATGGCCGGCCTGGTCGCCGCGATTTGCCCGCCGCGCCGCCGCCGCCGCCGCCGCCGCCGACGACGAGCGCGGCCATTGATTAATTTCCAGGCCGGATATTATAGCGCTCGCGACGAATGCTATAAAATACTGACGTATCCGGAGATTTGATTGAACGCCGTGCGCCGTTATCGCTTCCTCCCACTTTGGTCACACAGCGGAGCGCAGCGTTTTGCGTGTAATGTAACAACGACTGTTGTATGTTGCGTTACCCCGTCGCCGACTCACGTCAGACGGCACGAAAAAAAAAAAAAAAAAAAAAAGACCGATATTAAGAAAAAACATTCGGTATACATATATATATATATATATATATCAACGTTTACGTTCCAAGCGAATGACACGCAACCAAACACGACGCCCTATTGTGTATACATATACTGTGCTGAAAACTTAGCTGTAAATTGAAAATAGAGGGGGAGAGAGAGAGAGAGGAACGAGAGAGTCTCGTTATTTCCAATGGCTGGCGAACAGTTATTGAATCAGCGAAGAAAGAAAAAAGTTGAAAGAATGCAGTGAAACGAAACAGTACGATCAAACGCAATGAGCAATTATCGGAGGAGCAGTTGTAGCAAGCGATATAACGAGCTTCTTGTTGGACGTACCTTCCATAATATCGAGTGATACCATTGGTCCCTCGTGTAAGCGTTGCTGGCTTGCAGAAGAAGCGAGCCATCTGGCAGGACAATGCTGAGACAGTTCTTGTACGCGGGGTCCCATCTGGCGACAACGTACTTTCGTACCTCCGACATGCTGCTGTACGGCACGGGTTGCTGAAGGAAACCCGTAAGCTGCAAAGGACAAACGAGTCAAGTTGAGAGACGCGAAAAGCTTCCCTTCGCTCCGCTGTGCCGCTGTGTCGCGGGATCAATGTCGGTGATGTTACTGCTAACGAGCGTGATCGGATTAAAAATCGATACGGGGAGAGGGGAGGGGGGGGGGGGCGGCGGCGGCGGCCCTGCTCGCAATTATCCATCGTCGCCGCTGAGAAAGCCCTGTGTATTTGGCTAATGCTGCAATGCTAATGAACACGTGCGTGTATTGCGTAAAATGTCCTCACGCAAAAACAACGTCATTGTCATACGCGTCGGATTACGGCGCGTATAAAGGAGGAGCGGCTAATGAAATGTACAATGTACTAACGATAAACTAACACGGTTATGATTAATCACGCACATAGTAATCAATGTCCAGTCGAGAGCTATCAATCTTTCCTATTATATAATTAAACCGCGATATAGAAAAAATGTAGCATCGTCGATTTCGCAATCGAACACGTTACTACGTTATCTTGAATACGGAGAAACGTATCACACGCGGCCAAGAATGCGCGTCAGTCTCATGCCGTGTATGTGTCGCTTCCGGAACATTATGTCACGATAAAATTATTCAGACGACTGGCTAGCTTGTGACCCGACGGCACATCGCACTTTGTATTTCATGCGGATTGGAAAAGAGACGAGTCTAAAGAAGTCTATAGTAAACGCCCGTCGATCATTAATCATTTTTCTCTTTGTGACATTCGTAATAGCAGGTTATTAGTATCGTTTGACGTACCAACACGACAGAATAACGTCATCGCCGATTACATAAATTTATTTTCGCGCGGCCGACGATAAAAACGCTCGCGTGTAATTCCGTTGTTGTTCCGCGAAAGTCGTCGGTATCGATATATTAAAATACTCGCGGACACTGTGTTAACACTTGTTGTGTCACAGCACAATCTTGTGCGGATTTTCTCGCAATGTTTTCTCGTGATCGAGGAAAAAAAACGGAAATATCTCTCCCTCCCGTGAATCACAATATCGTGCATTTATTTTTAGCTTTAGAAATAAAGAAGGCGAGCGATAAGTCCCACGTAGCGCCAAATTATTAAACAATATAATGCAAGGGAAACGATCACCCTCCCTCCCTGCGTCTCCCCTGTGTCAGAAGCAGTACCCGAAATGCACTTTGCCGCATGTCGCTACGCTTTTTCTACTCTACTAAGGATCTCTACCAAGGATATGAGCGAGCAGCGAGTCGATGGACGGGGTCTGAGGCCCGATCTGCTATCATCATTACGAGCCGCTCCCTGATTCGCGCGTCGCCGCGAGGTGTGAAGTCCGAGAGAGGTGCGAGCGCGCGCACCTACATAGTGCGCTGCACACGTGCCGCCGCCACTACCATGGCCACTACCCCGTCCACCCCCGTCAAAGCACGTCCTCCGCACGCGCGTCGAAAACTTCAACTTCGCATGTCCGTATCTCGATGAAAATTCGACGCGCAACGACGGAGCAAACGTCATCCTTTCCGGAATTTCTACGCGGCACGCGCACTTTTGTCACGACACACGTCATCGTCACGACACGCTAGTGTATACGCAACATCGCGATGCCGTTGGATAAGGATGCGAGAGTATGTTTGAATGAGAAAGTGTCCGAGGAGTGTGTTTTAGACAAGGTAATTAGACAAAGCGCAGAGTTTCACGGGTGCTCCTTCGCAGAAAGAGAAATGCAGAAGAGATTCGCGCAAACTTCTGAACACGAGTCTGTACCTCGTGTCGCGCAAAATATTGCCGAGATGGTTACGGTTGAAAGGCCAAAGTTTATTTATTTATATTCCTCCTTTATAATTAACCTCTTCTTCTTCTCGAATCTCCGGGTTTTACATTCAAGGCAAGGATGCCGTCATATCGCCGTTATTAATTGTAAGATTGTAATCTCAAGAGTGAGAGAGAAGAGCAAAAAAAGCGCGCGCGCGATAACGGATGGATATATGAATTAATCAACACGGAGAATTTGGGCGCGATTAGTCTCTCAAAGTGACGCGATCGCACTCGTCGCGAGGAGGCGACGCGTATATATGAATACATAAAGCGACACGGGCGAATCTGGTCGTGGCGACAAAAAGCCGACTTGGCGAAGGAGCGGAACACACACACACACGAGAGCGAGCGGTAGAGGCCGCGTGTGAGAAAAAGGGACGGCGAATCGAGAGAAGTTGCATAATGCAACCTGATGAGGACAATGCGCCCTGGTTCGTGCGCATCGCTCGGCGTCTCGAGTTCTGAGACTGCACGGGGGATGACGACGTCGACGTCGGCGGCGGCGGCGGCGGCGGCGATGCTGGCCGTGTGTGTGTGTGTGTGTGTAAATGTAATATCGGCGACTAATACAGAGACGCGAGCATCTGCGTGTGGAATAGTGAATGACGTCAGCGGGACGCGAATGTAGGCTGAGGGTTGAACGACTGTTGGAGCGGGCTCGGCCGAAACTGGGACGCCGCATCCCCTCGCTAAACGCGGCCGAAAGGCGACGCTGTGCGCGCGTCCCCCCTCCCCCCCCGGAACTCGCGATGTCTCTTGCGACATGTACGCGCGCGTACAGGCTATCTCATTTCGCCCGATCGGCCGTTACTTTGTGCATTTGGACTTCTTGAAAGCCGGCGCGGCGCGGCGGCGGCCGGAAAGAGAGCAAAATGGGGAAAATGGCTGAGAGGAGAGCGGCGAGACGGACAAGTCGGGGGGGGGGGAGTCGCCATGTTGCATAACGCACCCCCATTTTTACGTCGCGCGACCGCGCGACGGAGCATCTTGAAAGTGTAGCGTAGACGGAGAATTCCGCGATTGCGCCGCCTATATTCGTAAATATAGACGGCGATTACAAATGACTTGGGACTTATTCTCGCGCTCGACGAGATAAGTATGCAAATCGACGTTCCGAAGCGGACACGACACGCAGCCATACCCTACCTACTTGTACGCGCCGAATGCTATTTATTGGAATACTACGCGCGTGGTATTCCACGCGAATGAATATCATCAGTGAGTTTCAGCTTTGCTGCAAAGAAATAAAACGCGCGGCTAAATCTTCTTGTTGCACAAATAAAGCGGCTCGTTTTCACGAGCAACGATTCGGGGAGACGGCTGGCCGGCCGCTCGAAAGGGCGCGCAACAATTAACGCGCGACTCTCTGTAGCGCCGCGCGAGAGCTCGTTGATCCAAGGTCATCTTTTGTAAATGACCTCACGTTCTTTTTATGCAACTGTGCTACGAAAAGATAGAGCGCGCGATGCATATGCACGCAACGCGGCGCTATGCATATTCACGCTATGCGTGACGTAAACGATAACGAAACGACCGAGCCCATTGCTTAACTGAAAAGTGGCTGAATTTCGGGACTTTGTGCTCGCGGATGAATTATTAATCGTAACTTTACTCTCCTCCTCCGCCCCCTCCCCCCTTCTTCCATCTAGCTCGCTCGCTCGCTCTCTCTCTCTTTTTCTTTTGGTTGGCATTCACATCGATTAGCGCGCAACGCGAGAAAAAGCAGCGATACGAGCTTCTATAATTAGAGAAGTAACCGCGAGAAGCAAAAGGCGCTGTCTCACACAGAAACGTCGAGTACTCATTACGATAATGCGTTAAAAAGCAGGAATAAGTGAATGACGATGCCGCGATGTGCGATGTGATTCGCTCGCAATTCTAACGTTATCGCGCGGGCAAACTGCGCAAGGAGCAGTCTTTCTCTTCTCTTCCTCTCTCTTTCTCTCGAGTGTACGGTGTACGCGATGTTGCAGTTGCGTCGTAAATTCGCACACTTCCTGGGGGCTGTTTATCGCTGGACGCTTGCAAATTACGTTGGTTACACATTTCGCTCCTCTGTCCGCCACGTCCTCTCGGCTCTTTTCGCGGCGAAATTTGCGACGCGCGTTTGTTCCCGATGCGAAACACGTGATTGCATAATCGACGCGCGCGCGCGCGCGCGCGTTCATTACCGCGCTATAGTTACCGATAGAAACGATAATGCCACCGCTCGTAATTGCAAATTATCTAGATCGTCTAGATTGTTCGAATGTCGACGATGACGATGACACTCGCGCGCGAGTTCGCGTTACGAGGCGACTCGCGAATACACGACGCTTCCTGCCCGCCGAGACTGTGCAAACGCAAATTAGCGACTGACGTGTCGCGCGAGTCCACGTATCGTGTTTGCACGGGAAAAAAAAATGGGAAAGAACCAGACCGCTCGTGCACCTACGCACGCACCACGCACGCACGCCTGCGTGTCTTTGTGTGTCATCATTCATGAATAACATTACAATTACAAACGCTTGAGCGTATGTTGCGTATGACGGGCATATTAACGGACTTTCACCTCTCGCCTTTCGCGACGAAGCGAAACCGAAGTCGAGCACCCCGAGGAGCGAAAGCGACATCGCGGACGCGTTCTTCCTTCGCAGTCGCGCCGTCGCTCGCTGCTCGATCGCGATTCGATCGACAATTCGATCGACAATTCGAGAGAAGATCCTAACAACGGGCGCGTGGAAAGAGGGTGAGGGCGCAATTCAAGTGGTCGCACGCGCGCGCCTTCTCGCGCTCGTGAGAACTTGATTCTCCGCGCTTTGCCTGAGGAATCCGTATCAATTCTACGATTCATGTCGATCATTTCCCCGTCCGCGTGAGGTGAACGAAGTTTAATGGCAGTCGGAAGAGAAATGACGTCCGACCTGGTTGAGAACGGGAATGCGGCGATATACATATGTATATTGCGCGAGCTGTTATATTTCCCAGGAATATCGTCGCGCGAGCGCGACGCCGCGTTCCCCCGCCCTTCCCTTCTTTTCCCGGACGCGAAGAAGCGCGGTGGTGGTCCCCGCCGCAGCGGCAAATCTCGCCGCTGCGATTCTCGCCGGCACGTGCCGCACGAAATCGCACGTGTCCAATTTGTCGAGTCGCGAGCCCGTAACGCGCGGCGACATTCGCGTCACGTCGCCTATCGAATGTAGACGACGTTATGCAACGTTCGGT